TCCGTTGATTATGATTTCGATCTACGGTTGGTGATTCGCCATGGCATCTATCGTCGAATCCTCTTTTTAACGGTATGGATTTGTTAGTGGTGACACCAGCCACCCGAGCAAGCGCGCAGTTTCGACGTCGAAGACCGTTGACATGCACGAAGCCCGACACTAGAGCTCCCACCGTGCAGCGTTCGGACCAAAATGCTCGATTCTTAAGCGTTGACTGCGCCGCCCGCGCAGCCCAGACCGGGAAAATCTCGCACCGTTATACGGTCAAATATAGACACCCAGACTGTACGTTTTATCGTCGAACACGGCCAAGTTGAAGCCAACCCAAGCAGGTCAAACGGCAGGCCCGCGCCGCGGCGTCGTACAGTGGCCGAAACGCCGATCCCTATGGTTCCTCTCTTCCTAAGAGGAAGAGGCGAGCCAATATACAGTATACCTATACCATTGAACTACCAGTGGCAGTAGGTACCGTAGACTGAAAAAGTTATTAGTCCATTATAATCCACCGTACATTCAACTTGTCATCAGGTCAGGGGTCGCCACAGGTTTTCGAAAATGTCGGCTCAAAGCCGACTCCCTTGTAAATTCATCGGCTTCTCGCCTATATTTTGGGGTACCGTAGTCCACCGTGATGATTCCGAACGATTTTATTTCGAATTATTTTCCAAAAATCCGACGAGGAAAGTGGAATTATTTATGCTGATTCCGACCAAAATCCGAATGCCCTATGGTCTCACTCAAAAGGGGAGTTTTTGGCTGCTTTTGGCAGTTTTACGGCTTCCGAGGACCATTTCAGGGTTATTTTACCTTTCCGAATTTTCACTTTCCGAATGGGAAATCCGAATATCTGACTTTCCGAACGCAGATAATTATTTATTTATTCGGAATCATCACGTTGGACTACGGTACTTGTCGGCTTCTCGCTTTGGCCTTCGAGCCGGGTGCTTCTTAATTTTGTCGGCTTTTCGGAAATTTCAATGTCCCGGGGATCACGGTTAGTCGGCTTGTGCCGACCCCTGCATCAGGTATTTCAAAATTTCGCGGGAAGCTGATACATGGTCGATGCCTATTGGCTATGAGATTGTACAGCGTTGCCACGTGGACCCGGCATGAATGCATTTAGCTACGTCACGGTTCAATCTTGTGCGTCATGGTATTAATCGCGTTATATGGCCTTAAACATGTTTGACTTGACCGTTGCCATGCATGTAAGCCATCATGGCAACCCGCAGGCAGTGCACGCCTGTCGTACTGCATCTCAATGTGTGGATATCAAACATGTTGCAGGCCCGCCCTCTATCGGCTATCCGTAGGCTGCTGACAGCCGCGAGCGACATCTCATAGTTATTGATGATCTATTGACCATGCATGAACCAAAAGCAACTCCAGCTGCAGCGAAGACTCACTGAGCTACAAGGACTCCGCCAGAGCACGGCCTTGGGCGCGGCGCATCGAGCGACCACGCTCACAAGCACGGAACAGAGTAAAGTTCTGTATGATTGCATAAAGAGCTGTCAATGTGCATCCACTCGCGATGTAAAGCAGTGTAAATGGAGGTACAAGCTAGCGGGGGTCCGGTCCCAACCATGAAGCAAATAGCATGACGATAATCGTCTAGCGAGGTCGGATCCCTCCCCGTCGGATAGCGCTGCTGGGCTTGACTTACTCAGGCATTGAACAATACCAAAACGTTTGCGTACTAAGGTTGTTTGTATCCTTATACTTTTTCTCGGTCCCTGGCCGCACGCCGCCATCCACCCAATCTTCCCGCTGGATCCAAGCCTCCGAATAATCCAGTACGCCTAGGATACACCCACCGCGCCAGGCGAGTGTCCTCGGATCGCCCCGATTTTTGACCACCTGAATGACAGCGGGTAGACGGACCAATCGTTTATAGTACGTGGTCAGAAAGCAAGTAATCAACGGCGCGGAGAAGCCATGAGCTGTTGGGCAGAACGTTGAAGGTGATTGATGGCAGAGCACGTATCAGGAGATCAGGAAGCCGACTGAGGACCAAGGACAAGTCAAGCCAACCGGCCACCGCCCATGATCTCTTAACCGGCAACTCGACAAGCTCCTGTAGAGGGCGTCCGTTCTCGTAAGCAGTCAGAATCACCGTCAGACAAGTGCGGAAGCAAGCAACGGCCCACTTTCAGACAGTCTGCTTGTAGTGGAATCAAAGTGGCCGACTTGAGTTGGAATTTGTCAGGAGCCATGCAAGCAACACGCGGATCCCCACTCGCCGACCTGGAACCGCCCCAGTCGAATTAGCCCAAAATCCACAGAACACTTGAGCTTCTGGTTGATATGGACGGTTGATGCTGAGGCTGATAACTCGAGGCGGATCCTAGATGGGCGACTTGGAGCACACGTTTCTCCGTCCACCTATGTGTCACTAGGAAGCTTCCAAACGGAGCTTCGCTAGCCGCCAGAACCAGACTCGTTCCGAGCCCGGTTTCCTGTCTGATCACCCTGCCAGAAGCACTTTTGACCAGGCTGAAACCAGCCTTTTCCAGCAGTCCACCGTCCACAACCAGAGGATAATCCCCTCAACCTTCGCGTTCGATCCCAACCGTCCCTTCAAACCTCCCTCGCAATGGGAAAGGCCCCTCACCTCAACCGTGTCCACATCGATGTCCCCGGGGATGGAGTGGAGCACTCTCTCTTCCACGAAGTCCACGACGCCCGGTATGAGGGCGCCCCCTCCGATGAGTTGGATGGACGAGAACAGCTTCTTCTTGAGCTCGGGGCTGTCTGTACAAGGAAGGGGTTCAATCAGGTTAGGTTTCGCCTCGACCGAAATGGGTGAGCGCTCATCTCCGGTCCTCGGACCAATGAGAACGCTTCGATCAATCACGTGGTAAGTAAGTAAGGACCTGGTACAGGATCTTGGCTGGAGCTCTAGTGTACGAAGTTGTTACGCAGACCGGAGATGCGAAGCTGGCGAGCCTGGCATCTCCTGTCGACGCGGAACCTTAGATGGATCCGTGCGGACAATACCCAAACCTTTAGACGGGAGATCTTTTGACTACTCACTTGTTGAATGTCTCATTCATTCGAAACGGAGGCTGGCTGTACGACTTTCCTGATGGGAGACGTCCGCAAGCAGAGGAAGCTTAGACGACAGCAAGTGCGGACAAAGCTGAGAGAACAAAGGCGGCCTCTTGATCAAGTTTCACGTCCTGCGCTCGTTTCTAATTCCGTTCCTTCCTCACCTCTTTCTTTCGGTCGCATTTCGGCATTTTTGTGCTATTCATTCCGTCCGCCTCTCGTGTCTAACACATTCCAGAGGCACATCGACCAATAGTTCCAACGCAACGAAACGCATTGTAAGCGACCTTGCAGAGCCAAGAATCCGCTCACAAGTGCTCAGAATGCTGCGCACAATTGCAACGTCAACGCCAGTCACCGGGGCTCCAATCGCGCCCGGAGAAAGTCGCCGGACAGAGTAAGCAGGTTCCCAAGCCCGACACAAAGCGAACACATTTAAAGCAACCATGCAGAGCCTAAAACCTTCGACTCACAAGTGCTCAGAATGCTCCGCACAATCGCAGCGTCCACCCCCGTCAGCGTCGTTCCCGCCAGCCCCATACCCCCTTGCTGAAACGAGTACAGCGGGTCTCCGACGAGCTCGGAGGCGCGTCTCCCGGGCTCGGCCAGGCCCGCGTCATCCAGAAGCTCCTCATAGTCCTCCGAAAGACTGCGCGGAACGCGAGCATAGGTCAATCGGCGGTCGCGGTTGTCGTGTTGCTTTTCATTTGCGTCTCTTTCCTTTCGATGGTCTCTGTGTCGCGGTAACAACGCACGAGGCACAGCGGACAAAGTCCGAAACAATGTCATAGCGTTATAGAAAGAGCTGTGGACCGCTCTTTTATGCAAAGCTGGACGCTGTTTCTTAAGCACTTTGTTGTGAAGCAGATTACCGGAGGAATGTCCACTCCTTACAAGCAAGAGACCATGGATGCGAGCCTTACAGCACTGTGTCGGCTACCAGAATCTGTGGATATCTCCAAATCTCCGACTGATCTTAGAGAGCAGCAAGCTTACCGTTCTTGACAATCATCTGCACATTCGCACCAGCATAATGCTCAACCGAAGCTACCATACGCACGCGTGATTTGAACGAGCCGGCTTGAGGGACCACTCACGCGCTCTCGTTCGGAGGGGGGTACTCTTCTGGGGCGAGCAACCGGGGGTAAAAGAGGCCAACTGGTGCGAGGTTTGGGGAGCCCACGAGTGACATCTCGTAGTGCTCGGTTGACGCGCCTTTCTCCCGGACCTTGAAATGCACGGAGGGCTCCACGTGTCCCCCCTCGCCGAAGAAGCAGTGCTCCTCTTTCAGGCTTTCAAGCAGTAGACGGTCCTGGGGGGTAACACAAAGATGCGAAGTCAGGGGGCGTGAGACAGCAAGGATATGCTGATTGGTTACCCAGGCGGTAGTGAGTGAATTTGGTTTGTTGAGCGATGCTTTTCTGTTCAGAAGCGTGGGGTAGCGCCTGAAGGCTGCGGGCAGAGATGGTCTCTGTACATAGGTTTCGGATCAGACTGAGACTCTACGCAGGCTTGAGTTCGGAGCATGGTCCGTCTAATGGACTTGAAGGCAAAGGGCTCCTTTAACGCCCCCCCGCGACGTCTTATCAGCCCGATCCGGTGACTGATGGTTTCGGAGGAGTGCTCCGAAAAGACACCTCAGGAAGGGCTGAATCGTGCGAAAGGAGGAGGTAACTCAAGGCTAAACTACCTCTACTTTCACCAAAAGACCGATGCAGAAGGCAGCCTCACGGAAACGGTCGTGAACATGGAAAGAGCATAAGGTCTCAAAATTACCTGCACGTTTTTAGGATTGCCTGGTTGCACTCATCTCACTCCTCTGGCAAAAAGAACTTGGAGGCAATCCCACCTGTACATCTGCAAGCGGATTGCAGGCACCATATGGCCATGCGTGCACGTGGTGCTGCTGAATCCAGAGCAGGGCCCGGGAGATGTCCTCCCCGCCGAATGGCAGCGTGATCCTGGAGCTCGGAAGGACCGTCCCTTCCTGAGGACAGACAAGGTGTCAACCTTTCCGTCGTTAGTATTCCCTTCACATGTCAACATAGATCTGTCTAGAAAAACGCTCCGCGCCTCTCTCTACAAGTGAGGACAGGCTTCGAGCTTGATCGACTCTTGATTGGAGCTTTGAGCTCCTAAGTCCTGCCTTCCTGGAGGCATTCTGAAGGCAATCTAATTTCAAAACGCTCGGTATCAGCGACGTTTTGCGAGACACTGTCCTCAAACCAGAGGAGGACTCAGGACAAACCCCTCCCTACGATTCCAGCCTGACGCTTGGCTACGTTATGGGCAGCGCTTTGATGTTGATCATTGTGAATGACCGTTTATCTTGCGAGTGTATTCGTGGACCATTTCGGGCCCGCGTTCACAGCATAGATGCGGGATGGCGGAGACTCGTCACGCTTTTGTGACAACGAAAAGACGGCCTGTGCGCTGGCTGCGTCAACCAATCATATTCGCTCTTCCAGACAAGCAGTCTCAAAAAAGCGGAGCGGGAATGAAAAGACGATATGTCGTCTCATTAAACGTAAAGGCCGTTGAAGCCAACAGCTAGGTTCTAAAGTCTCGGTCCCTTGCAACTCGTCACTTAAGCCGTCACTGTCCGGGAAGAACGACGAACGGAGTAGAAGGGAAAAAGGATAACGACGCTCGTGAACTCACCTCGACGCATGCCACGGTGCACACCTGCGCTCCTAGGCTGACGATGCACGCTGACGTCATATTGTTCCCGAAGAGCGCGGCGAGCGACTCCTGGTGCAGAATCGCCGACTCAAACCCGAGATCTCTGAAGATTACGGTCAGAAGCTCCTTGGCTTCTCGGGGTTGCAAAGTTTCGGACAGTACGACGACCGCTGACATTGAGCGGACGTCCGAAAGTCGGAGCCCCAGCTTGTCCGTGAGGGCCCACTGCCAGATGGCGCACAGGTCGGTGCAAACCTGGGGTAAGATCTCGGGTTAGCGGCAGGGTTAGTTGTGTGGGTCCAATGCAGGGGAGTGCAGAATATTAGGCAGGTGCACTGCGTGGCTGGAACTTTTGCGGTAAAGTTGTGGGCGGATTACCACTCCTAAGTGTACACTCAAAAATTTGTTGGCTGCTCGGAACACTTGCTGCTCAGGCCGGTTTTGAAAGTCATGGGTAATCCGGGTGCGCCGCCCCACATTGCATCGGCGCAGACCAGGCAACGAGATTCAGAAAGCGAGGTCGAGACCGAAGGGGTGACTCAGAAGGTTGACATTAATAAGGGAGTTCCGTCGAGATCAACCAGGGCTCGAGCAAGCACCGGGAAGCTCACCTGCTGAAGCGGGTAGCTTTTGGACACATTCAACCGCCCCCGCCTGATTGGCCGTCGCAGCACATACGGGTCACAGTGAGCGATGTGGAGCGCTTCTTCGCCACAGATCCATCTCCTGTGCTCGACCTTCGGGGCCCCACTTACGTCATCCGCCTCTTGGTTCATAACAGGATCAGGCTCCTTGTCTGTAGACTGCGGGCCAACTGAAGCCGATGGAACGCCATCTTTCGTGCCTTCTTGGCTGTGTAGTGGTTCATTCCCACCTCTATCGCCTTCCCTCAACTCGTTCTCTAGGCCTACTTCTCTCGATTCGGTTGTTTTCTGCTCAGAGACGCCGTTCTCTACATCGATATCTGCAGCAGCTTTCTCTATTCGGACTGTCTCATCTTGCGATGGCCTGTCTGTTGGGACTGCACTGCTTTGACTTTCTCCCTCCAATATTTCAGCCACTTTTGCCTGGCCTTCAGAATCTTTCTGCGGTTCCGCTTCGTTCTTTGTCTGAGGAGGTAAAACTGTGCTCGTCTTTGTCCAGTGAAAGCCTGTGTCATCAGCTTCTGGCACCAGCTTCAGACGGCTCAACTCTTTTGCACTCGCAGCTTGCAGCCATCCTGGAGTGATGTTCAGATGGGCCTCAATCTGCACATTTGTCCCCAGAATGTTCACCACTTAGTCATCATTGTCAGTAATCCTGCAGTCTACATGTGAATATCGAAATTGTTACAAAGCATCACCAAAGCAGCATCTTATGGTCAATTACTCATAAACAACCTCTCAACGAGTTATATCACAAAACAACCTCTCAACGAGCTATATGTCAATAACCAGAGGTTTTGGGCGCCCCAAGTTTGTCAGACTGAAGAAATGGAGTGATGCAGGCCGGGAAGGCTCAGCAACGGTTCTGGAGCTTTTGCTGATAGAGTAATGAAAAAGTTCACAGTGAAGGCAGATGGTGGCAATAAGTTAAAGCAGCCACAGATCATGCAATAAGCATTTTCAAAGAGCTTGTCAATAATCAATGCAAAGACTCCAAACTTCGACGCAGGGTCAGTTTACTTGCCTGTCGACATGCTTCTTCCTTCTCCTGACTGGTTCCAGCTTCAAGCGAGCTCTTCCGTCGATCTAGTAACTGCAAGTTTGAGAAACACTTCATGAGACGTTTTGGAAGTCAGAAGCACAGTGATTTAGGCACTCTGCCCGCCAGTATCCAAGACAAGAAAGTGGTTTTGAATTTTTTTGATTGGATGCACTCAACCAGCTGCAATCAATACAGCAGCTGAGAAGACACCCAATGAAAAAGCACTAGGTTGTACATGAGGATGCCCCAACAGTACTGTGAAAGGCACAGTGAAAGCTCTCATTGAACAAGTCTCAGCACAGTGCACTCACCGATTCATCGACTTCATTTATGCCCCCCCGGACGTTCTGCCGCTTCTGTGCCAGCTCAGGTGCATAGCGGGCAATGCAATGTGGTATCAACAAAGGCTCCTTCTGGGAGGCCAGCCCGATGCGGAGGAAAGCTGAACCCGGGTTGATCACCACAATCTCCCTCCCCCGCTCTGCTAGCAGCTGTGTTGGGCCAAGCGTTTTGAAGTACTCCTGCAACATTGCAACTCACGGATATTCCATAACACGGAACTTCCAGCTACTTTCACCAACATTGACTGCGCAGCACGTTGATCACAGAGTGGCAAGTGAGCAATTGTCTTTTAGTTTTCTCACAACCACAATCGGACGAGCAGCACAGTTACAGCTGCCAGGGGCCTCTGAGTCCAATAAGATATCATCCATTGATTGTGCATCCAAAAAGTGCGCTCAATCAGCACAAGCACGAAGGGCAACCCGTAAGTACAATAGGTAAAATGGTCTTCCCCTCACCCCGTCGAGCTCCCCTTTGAGCGCCATAATGTCTGACAGGGATGCGATCACCTCAAGGCGCCATGCCAGCCTGCGCCTGCCATAGCAATGCCATTGCAAATTGCAATCAGCCAGCTCAGGTTGCTCAGCTCACAAGAACAGAACTTCAGAAGCAGCCCATACTCGTTCGGATCAGTTAAGCGGTAACGATCGGTGTATCCTAGAGGCACAGGCCCATCTGGAAGTGACCGGTGAAGCTCGCAGGCATTCGGATACTGCCCCGGCTAAAGAATTGATCAGGCATAGAATCTGCCCGGGCCTCATGCACGTCTACCGTACCCGTGATATCCACATGCCCCGGGCTGTTCAGAATTTTGCCGGTAACGGTTTCGTAATTCGCGGAGCAGAAGAACGGGGACGACGCCTTCCTTCTTCCTCTTTCCAGCTGCTACCACGCAGAGAAGGCACACGCTGGAGCCATGACGGCCGTGCAGGGAGCGGGCATCGCGGTTGGCCTGACCAAGGGCCACCAGGTCACCAAGCGTGAGCTGAAGAAGAGGCCCGCATCCAGGAAGGGGGTAAGTTTGCAAGTTGCGCGGCCCGGCCCCCTGTGGGAGGTTTTGTAATGCAAGACTGTTAACAAAAGGGCGACAGCGAGGGGCTAGGGATGTTAAGTTAAGAGGCTATGTTCCCAAACAACCCATGGAATGCCTTTGGAAGCATGTTGGGCATCGCTTCGAAAGGTCTAGTATTAAGAAGTGTAATCCGGGGGGGAACTTATCATTATTAGTCGAGGATCTGGCTAAAGATTAGAAGGACAAACGCATGCGTGCCGTGGAGAATTTGAGAAAAGCAGTGGCAGCTGATGGTTTTTAGAGGCCCTGGCTTATTTCACAAACGGTGTGGAGCACTTGGGGCGTCTGATTTCTCTGTCTCTGGTCTGCAATCTGGGCAAATGCCACTAGGGCGCGCAAGACAAGGTCTTCTTAAGCATCGGTTTGGGCTTGCCTGCATGTTGCAGTCCTTAGATGCTGACATGATGGGTGCTGTGTACTTTTGAGCCTGTCGGTAATGGTCTGGACTGGCATGTGTAGAGCAGAAACAGTGCAAGCTGACAACGGTATGGTGCGCAGGAAGCACGTCGAAATTTCATTAGGTTTCAGTTTAATTGTTATAGGCTGATTCTTGGTGGCTTCTCTTTATAAAGCCCTGTTCCAATAAGCTGTTTGGTACCAGTTGATTGCTGATCTAATATTTTGTGGTCACTAAAGAACGAGCCTCGTGCCAGGATTGCCTGAGTAACACTGGTTTTACCGCTCGCTTTTCACAGAAGCTTGGAAAGCGCACTGCCTTCGTGCGGACCCTCATCCGTGAGGTCGTCGGGTTTGCTCCCTATGAGAAGCGCATTCAGGAGCTGCTGAAGGTCGGGAGGGACAAGCGCGCCTTGAAGGTCGCAAAGAGGAAGCTGGGGACGCACCTGCGGGCCAAGAGAAAGCGAGAGGAGATGACGAGCGTGCTGCGGAAGCAGAGGTGAGGCGCAGTGGTTGGGGCTGAGAGAAGTGGCGTGGGTGCACTGTTAGTCGCCGGTTTGCCGTTGTTTTCTGAAATTGGTTTGCGGAACTGGAGTGTACATCTGTCTCTTTTGTCTGGGAAGACGAGAAGAAGTACGCCAGAACACAGGTGATTCAGCGACCGGCAGTTCCCTAAGGCCCAGGTAAGACATTGCTCTGCATCAAGAGCGGGACATTTTAGCGGCTGAAGTGCCATTGTCCATTGCAAAGGCTAACTGCAACTCAGGGAAGAAACCGAGTGGCACATTAGAAGGAAGGTGCTAGCAAGTGTGCAGGAAAAAATCATAACCGCAGGGGGCAACTACTTAAGTATGGGATCAGCTGGCACCAGAGTACCTTCTATGAGCACATGACAGCAGTCGTGGCCGTTGCACCTGGGCCCTGCTTTTAGGTGGCTGGTGGCTGGCCAGCTCATAATCTATAGCGCAGAAGCATTTGCGCAATCAGCACGATGGCGGGCTCATTTGCAATGGTTGCATCAGTTGTAGGAGGTCACGATCGTCAGCCCCTTCATCAATTGTCTTCTTTGTGGTAGGCAGCAAGGGGTCATGACTTCCGTTAGCGTCTTAGGCGCATGTGCAGATCATGCGGTGGCTCCTATCTTTTTGTGATTGAGGCAAAAAGTGTGGCAGTCAGCGAGACTGGCCACAAAGGAGATTCTGTGCTTGGGAACATTTCTTTGTGGGGGGTATCATCCACTCGGACGTTTTCTGCACAGGTAATCCAGAAGGGGTTGTCGGTTGCTGTTGAGATCAGCCTGAGGGCTGCTCAAGGCTCATGCCTCTTACAAACCGTAGAATCTGCAGGCTTGAAGGCATTGGGCCTCTTTGGTAAAATGACGCAGTTGCTACCCAGATACGCCCGACTTTCTACTTGAATCTGACCATAATTGCATTTCGTGCAGGGCTGCTGCTTCTACACACCACAAGGAAGAGAAGAAGGAAGAGAAGAAGGAAAAGAAGTAAACTGTCTATGGAAAAACGATCGTCAGATTTGGACTTTTCTCAAGCCCACCGACAAGGACTAGTTCTTTCAAGTCTGGGGTGCTCATCCGTGGTTGACCATCTCATGTTGCGCAAAGTCTGGTCTGGCTTGTGTTGACTGTCACATTGTTCAGGGTAGCCTGGGGCTTACCGGCCAAAAACATGGTTGGGCTCCGTGAAGAAAGCTCCTGGCTGCATATGCAACCCCGCACCATGCAGTACATCGGACTGGGGCTCTTGCCTGCAATGGCTGGGTCCATTGAGAGCTATTTGCTTGAGTTCATCCGACTGCGACCCGACTGCTACCATATGATTAAATGTGCTTGCAGTGCAATTCTGAGTCCAGCAGCGTAGCTACCGTCACACTGACAGCTGCAGTAGCGATTCTTACGCGGGTAATTTCTCAAAATGCCAGCATGGACGCATATGCGGTTCTGAGGTTGCCGACAGGCCTGTCGAAGCATAATTCTAGCTGTGGCCGGTACATGTGCTTGCGCGGTGCGCCATGCTGTTGAATTACTTTCGCATTTTGAGTACTATGCATTGCGACAGGTCACTTGGTAAGTCGGACAATGCACCGCATGCTGCCAATAGCTGTACCGATGCATGGCGGCTGCATGCCATGATCTGCAACGAGTCATTTAACTTATAACGCTTGACGACTGTAATAGGTTAGCTATTATAGCCAACTGATTCAATATATTGGTGACATGGAGGCATACTCGATCCGGATGTGATTGATAATAGTATGCACCAATGATCGATCCCTGTTGGTGCAAGAGTTATTGCATATGCGCAATCTCGATTTGTGTATCGGTTCCGAGGACTTCCCAAGCAATTTCTTTCGGCAATTGGCCATTAAACTTCCGTATGGTTAGTCAGGAAAACATTCCGCGTCAAGAAAGATTTATAGCTCGGCGCTAGCTCTTAAGGGCGAATCTAGCCCTTCAAGAGCCTCGATTGGGACCTTTATTGTAGTGCATCCAGCTACACAAAGGACTTAAGGATGGTAAGGTAGGCACATCCAAATTCTTCCCTCCGAACCTACTAGCACTGCTAGCTTTTATTTAGATAAGCTGCCTGCAAACACGGCAAGCTGTCATGATATGCAGATCGTCAGCAACCCATGACGTGCAGCATCACCCCGTTCTGTGCGTGCATCCTGTTCTCCGCCTGCTGGAATACAATGGAATTTGGCGCCTCCATGACCGAGTCCGTGACCTCCTTGCCCCTCTCGGCTGGTAAGCAGTGCATGAAGTACGCATCCTTGCCCGCTCGTTTCATCATCTCGTCGTTTACCTGCCGAAATGAGGGGACGGTCAGGACATTCGCACATCGGAGAATGCCTGTTACAAAGGTTGCCTGGACATTTCCTAGCAACGCAGCCTATGAAAGCCAAAGGATTTGAATCTCAGCAGCTTCTCCTTGAGCTTGACCGGCTCTATGTCATCCGATCCTCAAACGCCAGGAACGAAAGTAAAACGGGATATCGCCTTCTCAAAGCACCATTTTTACGAGCACCCGTAAGACACTATAAGCTGAGACGCCAGGATCCGCTGAATCGATACTACATGCAAAGAGTGACCAGGTCCAGCACAGAATAGTCGCACATCGTCATCAGCATATAACCGAAGCTTTCATACCCCACGCACACTAGCAGAACCGAGCCCTGAGGTCGCATGAGTACAACACAAGACATGCCCGAGAACGACCAACCTGGAAGCCCTGGAATCTTGAAAGGCGCGCGGCCGCCTCCTCCTTCTGGCCCATGCTCGCCCACACGTCACTGTACACAACGGTTGCGTCCTTAACGGCCTCCATCGGATCGTTCGAAATCTCGATCTTGCTGACGCCAGCTTTCCGGGCCAACTCAACAGTTGCGGCATCGGGCTCGAAACCTGGACAAAAGTTAGCGCAGGAGTTAGGAATAAGTTCCCATTGTCAGTGGGGTTTTGGCAGCCTGAGACGCACGCATTGCGAGGAAGGTGACATTGGAGAGATTCAAAAAAAATGGTGTTCCCCCCCCTAGATGACCGATGCTGGAGGGACGATTGTCAACTTACAGACTGTTTCTCAACCAGTTGAGATGGAATGGCGCGGCATGAGTCTACTTCTGCCAAAGTGACCGACCATCTCGAAGCCGTCAACATCAATTAACAGCGGCAGAATTGGCACTACTTGTGGCAAGCGACAGGTGCACACGAAGCGTCACGCCCCAATTGAACTTCGCTGACGAGGTCAAAACTTGTAAAGAGGCATAATAAAGCAGCGAAAGGCTCAACGGGAAGCATTCGATGGTAGGGCAGAGGGGACGCGTCGTGAGCGCGCCGCTCACCTCGTGGGCAAGCGCACACGAAGTGGAGGGGCACAATGGCCGCGAGCCGCAGCCACGAGTGCACGATGTTGTTGCCGTCACCGACGTACACCACCTTGGCGCCCTCCAGCCCGCCCGTCACCTCCTGGATCGTCAGGGCGTCCGCCATAATCTGCAAAAAAGAGCCGGAGTCAGCCAAAGAAAAGAGCAACTGAGCAAGCCTGGTGTGGGGTCTGACTCGCCTCCGGGTTCGATAGGCACGTTTACATGAATGTGCGTTCGGCCGGGGATCCAGTGGTGATCTACAATTTCCTTGAAATGAGTGGCCTCACAATCGCTAATATGGTGATAAAGTCAAGTATTTGTCTGCCTCCGAGACGCGCATGCCTCATGAGGAATCGAGTTCGGGAGGGAAAACACTCTTCAGCGACGAGATGAGCGAGTATCGCTTCGAAAAAGTAAAGACATCGCTTGCCTTCATTGAGTAAGCGAGTCGCTGGTTTGCTCTTCTCAACAATGAGCACGCCGTCGGTTCCAGCCGTCTACCCGCACTCATTCTGCTCAGTTGATTTCGCTTGCCCCAGATAACTTACCTGGCACGGGTGGTTGTAGTCCGTCAACCCGTTGATGACTGGTACGGTTGCGTACTTGGCGAGATCTAGGGCGTCTTGGTGAGCGAAGAGGCGGGCCATGATGATGTCATTGTAATTGCTGAGCACACGGGCAATGTCTCGCGTCTCCTGCAGCGTGCAATCGATTAGTTTTGAGAAATCGATACATGAACGAAAAGTGTGTATTTTCTCTGATAGGAACAGGAGAAGCATCTGCCTGCACCTTCTTGCTCGGAAATGCCAGTTAAAAAATCAGATCGCTGAATCGAGGTTCAGATTTTGTTACTTTCCGACCCAATCACTCTTGTTCCCCCCTGCTGGGCGTGGGGGCACTTCCTTTTGTCGAAGGGTCGCTTGATGCCTGAAAAAGCGCAGGCGCAACTTCGAGCTACCCAACTTCTGCAACTTCGAGCTACCCAACTTCTTCCCTCCTTGACGCCGAAGACAGCAGATTGTTCTCTGATGTCAACCCAGTCCCTCTGTCTTCTGAATCCGGCAGAATGTCAGTTGAGGTGCTCTACTCTGATGGCCCCATCATTTTCCTCGGCTTAATTTAGTTGTAATTGAGAATCTGAGAATCTGATGATCGGCCGTTGCATCTATTGCTGATTTCTAAAGTTCCTTCACGGCCTCGATCTGGATTCGAAACACGGCAAATCCATTACGACCAGGTAAAAGGATCGTAATTCGACATGGTCGCACAACGAGAGTTCGTTAATTAGGGAAAAACCAGTCAAGAAGAAGTGCATTGCGCAGCCAATCAAGAGCAAATCCGTTCCCAATTGATGATTCGTTGTCGATGTAGTGAATTGAAGCTTATAACGCTTATAAGGACGAGTACCCAAACACTGAAGTAAGAATAAATTCAGTGTACCTCTCGCTTCCCAAGTTCGATGGACTTGGGGTCCAAGTAGATTGCATGCCCTCCCAATAGATAGAAGCCCTGCATGAGAGCAGAGCCAGAGTCACCATCAATCCGCCGACCGAGCACAATGATCGATTTTTGGCCGTCTGGAGGACAAAGGAAGCACAGCTCTTCACAAGGTCTTTCACCACATTCGACAGAAGAACTTCCATGATTGCAAGCTCTTTGGCTGCCGGACAAGCTGACTGAGGCTGTTTGGCTGCTCAACAAAGCAGACAAAGCCGCAAAAGAAAACCTCGGCTCTTCTAAGAGACGCTTTACCAGTTGGAATAAGGTCGAAACAACCAATTGGGTGTCCTGGCCTCACAGTTTCGAAGGAGACCCTGGTCCGCATGGAGGGCTTCGTGAAGATCATTGCCATGGTCTTGTCGGCAAAGGGCTTGTAACTGCAAAGACAAAGCTCAATCAAATCGTCAGGCTTGTAAAGTTGTGTTAGCGAAAGTACATCCCTCAGCGTACAGCCAGCAAAGATAGGACCAGTTGGATCCCAGGATTTCTTCCATCAGAGTGGCAAGCTAACAGTGAGAATAAATCGAAACAATCTGCACAAGCTCCAGACGACCAAGCCCAGACGTTGGCGCTGCATACCTGTGGTCATAAGCTGTGATAGCCGCTTTCACCTCCTTTGAGCGCTCAAGAATCTTTAGGATTGTCTCCTTGGGGTAGTCATCAATATGGATGAAGCTGAGCGGTTTGCTGTCCCCACCCGCTGCGGCTGAAATCTGCAGGATGGGCAGACCTGGTGTTCAAAGTCCATAAAAGAGATGCTCAATGTGGTAAGGAAGGAAGGAAGCAATACTATCTGAAACATTGTGACCTTGGAAACCTCTTCAGAACTCCTGGATGCACATAGCAAAGAGCTCTCTTTCAACAAAGATTTTCTTGTGACACCAAGGCTTTTCCTCCTGATCAGACACAATCTCAGCAAAAGGTGGGCGGTGCAAGAGAGGTCTTGTGTAATAGATGGCCTCCAAACGAGAGGCACAAGGATCAGCGACGCCTCTCTAGGACATGAGAAGTTGATTTAGTCCCGAAGATATGGCTTTGTGCATGACACGCAACAGAAACACCCAGTGGCAGTCAAGAACACTTACAATGAGACAATCTTCTTTGCTTGTTTGTCATTAGATTCAGGCTTTGTCAATTACAGGACTCTTCTGGTAAGTGCTGATACTTTCTTCCCTTGGAACAGGCAATTGCAAGTCAGGTTGCTAGAATTGACAGTCCCGCTCCGTGCAGGGCAACTGACAAGCTGTGGCGGTGGTCACGCCAATTGCGTTCAGGCTATCCAAATTTGATTCTGAAAGTGATTAACTTTGCCATGAAGTTGTGGCAATCACTTTGATTGCTTGTTGCTATTCAGCAGAACAGCAATAGCGGCCTTAGAGACTTGTGGTCAATTGCAGAAAGGATCCGAAGCCTGTCCGTCAGTGGTTGGGAAGCAATCAAGTTTCTTCAGCTTGGTTTTACCAGTTTCCTCATTGGGATCACTTTCAAACCACTTCAGTCCCACAGCCTTGCTTTCTCCAGCAAGCAGGAGGCTTCGATTGAAGAAGAAGGCTGGCTCAGAGAAGGTTCCTGAATATCTGATTATGTGCCTGCCTTCCAAGCGATCGGACAAGGCTTCTGGGCTTGTTCTCACCTGCTTGTGTGGTACTTTTTGTGTTCGTACCAGAGCAGCTCTTGAGTGCGCCGGAATGCGTTGACCCCAGATCGAAGTGGGTGAAAGATCAGACAGATTGCCCTGACATTTTGAGAATGATGATCGTCGCGAAAGAGATTGGGACGTCAAGGGACAATTACAGCTCAATTGAAGGACTGAGGACGCCATTGATATTGCAATGTGAGCGTCAGATCTGTTTCCCCTTTTCTCCTGGAAAATGCTGAGCTGCAAATGTGGGGCCAGCAAGTAATTTTGTGGAGGTTACACAATCAAGGGGCGCCTCAAGACGTTTCACCTGCAATTGCAATGTAGAGAAGGTTTGCTGCTTCAATTGCACAAGCAATGCGGCCACCAACAAGACTTGGAATTCAGTCGAGCTAGCCAGCACAAGCTTGATCCTGCAGTGGTTGGTTCATTCCTCCGGAGTTGAGTTCGGGGAACAAATAGAACCAGGGGCTTGTAGCGTAATAGTCCTCAATTGTGTGTAGCGTTACATGTTCGAGGCGCTTATTGCGTCCACCGGGCACCCCCGGTGGACGTAGTAGAGGGGGAATCCAGACGCATTCTTGGGTGTGCTCAGCGCAATGCACCTCATTGCGTTTCTCAAACATCCTGTTTACAAAGTTCTTGTCACTGTGTGTGCAAAGGGGGAGTTCGCCAGCGCATCTGAGGGGGCCATGGTGGACACGAGCCCGCCCAACGGCATGGCGGGCGGCTCAAACTCAGCACCCGATGAGGAGTCCGGTAGTTACACGCCACCCTCATCGTATCCCCCCGGCAATTCCTCAGAAGCCAGCGCTCATGAACCCGTCCTAGAAACTCTGCACAGCCCCGCAAAAGAGGCAGGGCCTCTTCTGATGCGACAGGGCTCCCAGATCGATCGGTCCCCTTCACTGGCATTAAGGATGCACAAGGGGCATGCGCGGACGTTGATTCTCTCGGGGTGGCAGTCGGGGGTGTTCGGATCCTGTTGCAACATGTCCAGTACGATCCTGGGGACGGGCATTCTGGCGCTGCCTCTGACGGGGGTGTGGCTGGGCCTCATCCCGATGATTAGCATGCTCCTGATTCTGGCGGTCGCCAATGCTTATAGCTGCAGGTGATGAGATACCGCTTTGCATTGGGGGTTTTGTTCATGGCTTGGGTGTCAATGCACCACCCCACCAGCTCCGCTTTTGTTTTTCAGGACGATGCCCCACTTTATGGTAGCCTTCTTCAAGCTCCAATGATCCTTTTCCTGTCAAGGAAAGAAATGGGCTTATTCGTGGCTTGGTCTCGTTTAAGCACCAATCAGCTCATCTTGTTCGCTAGGACGATGCCCCACTTCAGGGCACTTCCAGCTTAGGCTAGATACTTTCCTTCTTGCATCAGGGAACAAAGTGCAGGTAAACATGTGGTTTCAAAGTTCTTGATGCTGGGGGTGGTATGAATGATCGTGCATGCAAGCGGTCCGGGCAATCTGAATCTGCAATGTCTGACCTGCCGCTTAAGGAGAATGTTTTTCTGTTTCGTTCCTGAATTCAAAGCTGAGCTTGGGCCCTTGCCAAGCTGCCAACTGATCAATGGAAGCCATCGCCGGCGTTAAGGGCAGTGACTCTTCTGGAAGGGCAGTACACAGAACTTGAGTGGTATCAAGTACTTGGATCTGCCCAGGAGGTCGGGTGCTTGCACAGTTTCATCAGCATGCCAAACTTATTGATATGACTGGGCAATTTGGGTGCTTGCAGAGTTTCATCAGCATGCCAAACTTGTTGAGATGATGCACTTTCTTTCTCCAAGGACCAATGAGAAACCTGGGTCTATCTGAAAACCAGGCTTCAAATATCACCTCAACTGAAAGCCAGATTCGCCCCTGGCATGGCAACTGTTGTTGGCTTTCTCTATGCTTAAACGCTTTGTTCAGAAAGCTTGAATGTTGGGTTGAAACCAGTTGCAAACCTGGTCGCTGTGAACAAACCCCGGTCTTCAAATCACACAGGCAAACTCTGGCGCAGTGACCTGTGCAGGCACCCGCTTTCCGTGTGACGCCTATTAGCCATCTGTCAATTTCAGAGGAAATTCTTGAAAACTCTTGAGCGAAGCTCTGACTTTGTTGAAGACCACGGTCTTTAGCCATTTTTGCAGTGAAGGATGAGGTCCTGTTAGAGGCCGTCGAATCAAGCATTGAGCTTCTCAATAACCTGATTCTGCAGGCTCCTCCTGCTGGTGGGCACCTTAACCCGGCTACTACACCTTCAAGGACGCCACCGTGCGCGCAATCTCGAAACTGGAATTATGTGCGCTCGAGGAAGAGATGAAATTCAGATCCTCTCGAGACTCGTCTAGTTTAGAAACATTTTAACCTCCTGCTAACCCCTGGTTTTGCAGGCTGCTGCTGCTGGTCGGTGCCTTCACCCGCTCCTACATAATCGAGATCTCGAAACTGAAAACAAGCCGAGCAAGAGCAAACAAAAAACACCTCGTTCCTTCGAGAGAGTTTCTTAAATGGTTGAGAAACCTCTGTTTGTGCAGGCTCCTCCTGCTGGTCGGCGCCTTCACCCGCTCGTACACCTTCAAGGACGCCACCAAGCGCGCAATACAAATCTCGAAAAAGGGGGCGATACGAATGTTAAAAAACCCCTCGTTACACTCGAAAAAATACTGAACCCTGTCGCTATCCCTGGTTATGCAGGCTCCTCCTGCTGGTCGGCGCCTTCACCCGCTCCTACACCTTCGAGGACGCGACCGAGCGCGCCATGGGCCCGCGCACCCGCAGTTTCCTCGACGTCTGCATCTTCACCCGGAGCCTCATCGTCCTCGCGAGCATTCTCATCTTCACGAGCGACTTCCTCTTCTCCCTGGGCAACGCCCTGGTTCACTGGCTGGGTCTCGGGATAATCCTCGACAAAAACCTGCTGATCATAGTGGTTACCGCCCTGGTTATCTACCCGCTGGCCCTGATGCGCAGCATGAACTCGCTCGCGCTCTTCTCGTGCTTCAAGCTCGTCTGCCTGTGGCTCTTCGCCGCCGTCGTAGTGTACCTGTCGGTGGAGAACATGGCGGCCGGGAAGCAGGGTCAGTACAAGTGAGTTGATCCTCGTTTGTATATCTCTTCAATTGAGGTAAAGTAAGCTCTGGGTATTGTAAGCTCTTCTACCTTAACACTAAAAACCTAACCCTCAAAATTACACGCTCCGCACCCGAACCCACTCTACCCCCCAAGCTAACCCCACCCGTCCCAGGCGCTTGGCTTTCTTCACCTAAAGCTTCGTTTACCTAAATTGAAGTGTTATCTCGTTTGTGATCCTCTTCCCCATATTTGCCCCTTGCCTTCCTATCTGAAACGCACCACGATGAAGGAGCCGAAGTCTTGTTGATCCGCTTCGTCGTGGAGAACATGGCAGCCGGGAGGCAGGCAAAGTTCCTGCTTTTCCGTCTTTGCACTCACAAACGCGTTCTCTTGTCGATGCAGGGTAGTAGCCTCCCCCTCGTGGCACTGGCTGCGTGCGCTTCCGATCGCGGCCTTCAGCTACCACAGCCACGTGAACCTGTTCCCCATCTACGCGGAGGTCAAGGCCGCAACGCTCCGCAAGGGCAGCCAGATGATTACGTCAGCCTACATCCTTTGCTCGATCCTGTTCATTCTGGTCGCCACCTTCGGCTACCTCCAGTTCCCCGAGAGCACCTACGGCAACTTCCTGCGCAACTTCGATGACGTGATGGGTGACTTCAACGGGGACATCATCCACGTGCTGCGCGCGAGCTTCCTGGTCGTGACGGTGTTCACGTTCCCGATGCAGGTGAGGTAGTTTTTGAGGCGACATTCGAGTGGGTAGACGTGTTGAAGGTCGCCGGAAAGTCAGGTCGACTAGGTGGTGGGCTGGTTTTTCCACACTGCGTTGCTGACGTGGTAACTGGTGGTGAAACCACAAATCGAGACCAAATTGTAGACAAGCACGGAGCTGAATGTCGTTATTTGTTGCTCTCTCGAGATGAATTCAGGAAAGAGAAAGCCTCGATTCTGTTCGGTTGGATACCTGACACAGAAACGTCTTTTAAATATGGAAGATCGTACCACCGCTATTTGTGCCCATCCAGAAGGAGGGGGCTGGGTGAGCCACGTTTTTGACAATGAGCCCGCAACAGATTGCAAATTGCTTCCATGATCGCCGTCTCGATCCTCATATCCTTTTTCGCCTTGCTCACTCGTGTGTGCCTCGACCGATCGCCTATGGTTTTCTGCCCGGCTTTTTTTGTTTCCTTTGAGCCCTTTCGTCCGCATTCGGAATCTTTCAAGCGGCTATCGATTTTCTTCTCAATCCGAGGCCCTTTCCTGTTTCGTTTCCCTCTTCTCCAACCTCGAGCCGAAGCTGTCGTCCCGTCCCTGCAGCTCTTCGCTGCCCGCATCGCGCTGCACGCCCTCGCATGGCCCCACCAAGAGAAGATGTCGGCATTCCAGTCGTTTGGCATCACGACGCTCATGACGGCCGGCGCGCTCCTCGTCAGCCTCGTCACGGACGACGTCGCTCTAGTTCTCGGGATCGGCGGGAGCATCTTCACGTCCTACATCTCCATGATCCTGCCGGCGCAGATCTACCTGCGCGTCCTGAACATGCGCGCGCAGAAGGACGGGGGTTTGCTCGACCCCTGCGACAGGTGGACCGATAACGTGGACCTGGAGCGGTTAGTGAACGACGAAGCCGAGACGCAGGTCGCGTCCGCGTTCGAGATCGCAATGCGGCCCGAGCAAATAAAGTACGAAATGGTTAAGGCGTCGGTGCTCCTGCTGACGGGGCTGGTGGTCGGGGTGGTCGGGTTCGGGGCAACGCTGTGGTTTAGATAACCAGATTTTCCCTCCATGCGCGCACGCTTGCTGGTGTATGCTATAGACCGCATAGACTTCCGATATGAGTGTACTTATACGGTGAGGATCGCATATAAGCTTCGCATATATGACGGCTTTATACTTGTACCCTACAAAATAGGTCTAGTATACATGCTCTGCAGGGCTGCTTTTGAGATAGATATGCTTTTGGTGTAGTATTGGAAATGCAGATAGATACATTTTTCTGTGTCTGTATAAACTCCGGTCAGCCAGTTTGTTGAAGTGATTTTTAGCAAGGGTATGTTGACACTGCAACATGAGGTCTCGCTGAAGCTCTATATAACCATCCAACAATGCAAACCGCGCAGGCTTGCGTGCATATGCATGCAGGCACGTACCTCGGAATAAGACTGACTTTTAACGCCCGAAAATACAGTAGAGTACTTAAGCGCACCATCGTTATCCGTCAAAGAAAGGTTCAACTTTCACTTCAGTGTGAAGTGTATACATACATGCGCCACTGGTTGCCCAGTAGCTTACTGCAAGTGACGGGCCGGGCCCGTCGGCGTACTGTACATATGTGCCTCTTGACTTAATTATTCCTATACAATATACGTGCTAACGTGGTACATGTGAGAACTAGCTATAATTTCATCGATCCTTTTCAAACAGGGCTATAGAACTCGGAAAAATGTGGTGCGCTTAGTGATATTGACACACGTCAACTTCCGAGTCTGTTGCCCTAGGGAAAATTCTTTAGCCAGCATTCCCAGACTCGGGTTCAAACGATGTTCGTCTGAACTTGGGCAAGATACTGGCAAAATCGTACACCCAACCCACAACGTTTGCTTGCATTGCTTCGATTACATGTTGCCCTTATGAACGCAATGCACTCGGAGCCTTGCAAACTACAACCAAATTGTTTACTACCTGATTCGTTTAGAGCTTCACATTGCATGACCAACTCAACGTCATGCAAAGCAACGGACTTCTGTACTGAGAAACTGAAAGCAAATCGCCAACAAACCGTTCGATAAAACGTTCTCAACATACACAACTCAACCTAAACCTCAGATCTACCTACAAATGCTGCATAAATCAGACACAAGCCCAGCTCTCTACTTTGGCGTCAACTTGTAGATCTGCTCGAGGATTCCCAAACTTCCGAGAAATCCCTTCCCAGTAACAAGCTCTTGAACAAGGAGGAGCACAAACCCAACCTGCAATTTAATGCAGAGCAAGACTGAGATCAGCACCGACCAATGCTACAATGTATCTCCAAGTTCAAACTCAGCACGGAGGAAACCTGCCCTTGCTACTCACACAGAATACCCCGCGTGCATCTGCCACAAAGCTATCGAGCAGATGCCGCCGGAACGAGAATCAGCTTCGTGCTGTCCCCGAGGACATCTGATACCTTCCAACGGGCCCAACATGCGTAATACTGGCAATCGAAGGGTGTCGTACCTGAGCTGCTCTTCCGTTCAGGATCTCGTTCCTGGGGGTGAACCCGAACCCGCCCTGGGTCTCGTCGACTTGCATCTGCGGCTCGACAACATTGACTGCAAGCAGAAAACGAAACGCCGTTTAGGGGCCTGAGTCTGGTCTAATATGTTAGCGTGACGACGTCCAAGGCGCCTTTCTGCAGCAAAGATTTCGCCAGGAATCACATTCGCCCTGTCAAGAACGACAGCAGTAACTTGGATTCAAGCCCCAAATATGTAGTCCACTGGCAAGTGCGTCATTCTGCCTTGTGCTGTCCTTTTAAAAACAAACTCCTTTTCGACTCAGAGTTGGAGGGGAAGGAGGGGAAGCAATAAAGTCGGACCCTCCGGTCGATTTGGTACAACTTCGTTCTGACAAGCGGACAAACAGATTTCTAGGATCATGTTTGTCTAGGATCAGATCAATCGCCAACTTGGCTCACCTTGCACGTCCCTCTGCCCTGCCGCCATGTCTCCAGTCTGCGAATCTGCACCGTCACAACATCGATACTTCAATTGACGGTGTGCAAGAAGTGAACAACTTTGCTGGCTGACATCGTCTCTATCGAAAGGGCACAGGAAGTGACCTTCTCATGATAAAAGCTAGCAGTTGACGTAACAAGTTCAACCTCCGTAACAAAAAAAACGCAGACCGATCCTGTCAGTACTAGAAGTCCGATACAGACCAAAGACCCTTCCAAATCTCACAGACGCACACACGACTTACACCGAGCAACCTGCTGCAATTTTCAAGCCCTGTTGCATGCCGATTTCTAAGCTTAACCCCCTGATTATTTCTTAATAGCAATACCTCCATCTCTGGGCTCGAACTCGATTCATCCAGACCGACCATATTGAACCCTTATGCCCCAGATTGAACCACATTCCCGATCTCGAAAAGGTACCTAGCACATCCTTCAGAAGAAGCTTTCACAGCAAGATTCGTTCCAGGGCTACGAGCAGCCTGGTCACTTACTGTACAAAACCTCTGTGTAGCCACCGCCGGCTTCCCTCTGAAGGTCGATGAGGATGTTCTCGCCGTCCACCTTAACTGGGTAGGTGATCAAATTTCTAGTGGGGGAGGTCAAGAAGCGAAGGACGGGGTTCTTGGGGTACCTGCAGGGAATGTCAGGCTTATTTTCGATTTCACCTAGAAAGGATGGAAGTAGGATTTCTTGAAACAGGGACAATCATTTCGGTGCCTCTGAGAGGGGCGCGTACCCAACCTGCAAATAACAAGATTTGACTCCCTTTTTTGATGCAAATGGCTACTTCTAAAAGCTGCGAGATCAATTCTTGAGCAATCACCTGCCATGTAAGAGGTGTCCCATATTATCTACCCAGATTTTGTATCTCGAGGAGCCTCCGAAAAGTCGTCACTATTTGTAACATCCTTTCAAGCATACTTTGCCAAATGCAGGTTGAAAATCGACAGAAGCACTCTGCTTATGGGAGTGTCTACTTGTCGCAAAAAAATATCTCTCCAGAATAAGATGCACAATGCTTTTAGTGACCAGATTTTGCTCCGGACAAAATGTACAATCAAAGCAATGTCTTGACCAGATTTTGCTCCGGACAGTATGTACAATCAAAGCAATGTCTTGAAACAAAGCGAATTCCCCTCAAAAAAGTATGCAACCAATTGTAGTATTACTCTCAAGGGGAGCCCTTTGCTGGGCTATCAGAATGCAGGCTCCCCGCTGGCATGGACTGGCGCAATACACTGGACAACTGCTTGAGCTCCCAGCATTTCCATTGCCCAACTGTGTAGACTCACCACTCCTTGATTTCGCCGGTTTTCAAGTCATACACAGTGTCCGTCCCGGGGCACACAATGCCACCTTCCTGGGTCAGCTTTGCATTGCTGAAGCCCTCGCTGTAGGCGCCCTCAGCAGGTGACCTGCTCTCGATAGCGCAGATCTCTGACTTGTACCAAAGAAGGAGAATGAGCTCGCCGTCCTGTCGGACCAGTCTCCGAGCGCCACGTGGCAGCGCCGTAATAGGCAGGACGGGAACCCAGTTCTCCTCTGCAAAGGACATGGATGTATGTTAAAGACAAAATACATGTCACAGACTAATCCACGACGAGTTTTCAAATGTTACATTCTTGCTCCTCCAAGCTGGAGACAAGAACCGTCGGACATGCAGGAGATAAGAAAAATCATCAAGTGCCCAAGGATAGTTGAAGCTCTTAAAACGCAGATTACAAAGTCGTCAGCAAACGTAAGTATGTAGCTCATGGAGAATGCAGATTACAAAGTCATCAGCAAACGTAGATATGATCCTCATTGAACAGCCGGCGCAATGATGCGGCACTTAAAAAGAAAGACGGGCAGGATTCAAGGCATTTGAATTTGTGGAACACACCTATCTGGCATTCCAAGTTCTGATTTTGGTTAGCAAACAAGCAACACAAACATGAAGATGCATGTGTACAAGGTAACCACGATGCCTCTTTTTGAATCCAATCACTAGATTTCAAGCACTAGCATACTGAATGATGGACCTGGGCATGGCTGCAAACCCTAATACCTGGCAAATGAGCAACCATCATTCAAGAGGACTGCATTCGGTCTTGACATTGACAGACCCCAAGAACTGCAAACTGTCCTTACGGGCGTACAGAAACCACTTTCCAAACTCGGAAGTAGATTTGTGCAGAATGCGAGCTATACGATCCACAAAAGTAAGCATGCACTAAAGTGTCCGGCACACAATCTGCAAATAAACCTGATGACAAAAGGCAGACCTGAGTTGCGTGAAGATAAGAAAAGAGCAGACACATACAGTAATGTAAGACCAAGGGTTCTCACTTTGACTCAAAAGTCAGCTCATGAAAAATTGAATCTCTGCAAAAAGTCAGCTCATGCAAAACTGAATCTTGCAGAGATCCGAGTTTTTTGACGTGGATCAATGTATGAGTAATGCAGGTAAGTTGTGAATGCCCATTCTCAATGCATAATTCATAGCTAACCACAGGTTAGCCGTGGTGGCAGCCATGGTGGCAGCCAATGAAAGACACAGGGCAGGATCTCACCCTGTGCAGTGGATGCTTGCGACGCAGTGTCTGCGGTGGCCCTCACGGTCTGTGCGGTTTCGCCTTGCCTAGACTGGAGGTGGGTCACAACCTTTGGGGCAAAACACCTGGCATTGCTCACATGCCTGCCACTTGAAAGGTTGAGGGGCAGCTTTGCTGCCAGCACCTGCTTTGCTGGGACGCCTGCTGCGGCAGACTGCTGGCTCGAGATGGCACCAGCAACAGCGGAGCGCCCAGCGAGAGTTTGGGAAAGCGCCATCTCTAAGTGCGGTACAGGTCCTTCTTGAAAGGCTGGAAATAGTGCCGGTGTTCGTCACGTTTGGGCTGCTGATGCCAAGCAAGCTGAACCTTGCGCCTCTGACGAAGCGGAAAACAGAGAAGACGGTGAAAATGTGGCGCCCAAAACAACCAACAAAACCTGAGAAACGGGAGAAAGCAAAGGATGATCTGGGCACTCTGCGCAAGGAGCCCGAACAAGTCAATATGGCCCTTGGCATTTGCAGTTGACGGTGTTGGATGGCCCACGTCAAACGGTAGGGAAAGATCGGCGGCCAAGATGCAGGCGCGTCAACGCCTTCACTACTGGCTTCAGGATCTGCAGATGTTCCGTCCGTTGCTCCGGTTCGACCGAGTCCCTGTCAAGACAGCGGAAAGTTGCTTGGCGCGGAACCGTTTATTCTTTAGGCTTGGGCCTCAGGCCAGGCTTGCAGGCTTTGGCCGCACTTCTTGCACTCCTTTCCCGCTTCGCACAGCATCAGGCATGGCAGATCTCTTCCTTTCGATCCGTCGAACTCTCGATGTGATAATTTAAGCAGTCGTTTGGATAGTTAAAGGTCCATGTTTTGTAAGGCCGCTCGCAACCCTTGTACAATGGAGGCACCGCCACACTTCGTGCTTTGTACTGCTCTTCACCGACGTACTCTTGCAGCTTGTTAGGATCACGAGCCGTCCGTCCGACTAGCTTCGACATGTCCCTCGACTCGACCCTGTCGTCTGACTCTGATCAATCGTTGGAGCGGGCATTTCCATTCAATTGGTATCCATTCTGACCATTAGTATTTCACAAACATTGCAGATTTAGCAGACACGAACACGCTGACGTCGATTTGTCACTTCGACACAATTTTAATCTGGCCTTACTTTTAAAGGCATTCTTGAAACTCGACGCCCTGATTGAGGACGTCAGAGTCTCGACGCTCTGTGCAGAAGAAAATGCATAAATCCACACGCGAATCGAACTGTCGAAATTGAGCGAGGAAGTACAGTTGCTCCACATGTACACAGTCTGATTATGCAGAACTATTAGCATTATTTCGCTTTGTTCTACAAGACACCTGAGCGGTCAGGGGCTGAAGTGCGCCGGCCTTACTGGCCATATGACGACGCCGCTGCATGCTTGGTGAAAGAGCTGCCGAATTACCTGAAAGCAGCTGCAGGCGTGTGCTGACTGTCAACTTCAAGCGTCTGACGAATTCCCAAACTTCGTATGGACCGCAATCAGCTTTGCATAGGAGATATCAAGAGGATGAAGCCTTCAAAGTTTATCGCATATCTTTCATTTGCGGAACGATCGATTGCAGAATCCGACATACATCATGGAGATCTGCTGACGCCTTGCACGTCCTTCAAAGTAAACGTTCATCATTGATGGTGCCTTTGGCACGCATGTTGGCAATCGCAGTTGGCTACGCCCATGGCATTTCGAGCTAGCCTTTTTACAAGGCATCAACTGCTCGAGTCCTCATCCTTCCTGCGTGCTGCTATTGAATAATCACTCGAAGCCGAGTTCCTGATGTCATGCCAGGATGCGCTGTTGAAGACAAATAGACTGAAGAAGGCAATACCGCAAACATCCTTCTTTTCTCCTCAGCCTGTTCGAGATCCGCTGTCGACACCCGGTTATCTGGGGGCCGAGCAAAGACTGGCGGTTGAAAATCAATGTGCACACTGCAGTACGACTTGAGCTCAATCAGGCCAGCTAGCGCCCGGCACAAGAGAGAGATTACGACATCGGACTTCTGGAATGATGTCAGCAAGCAACCATCGACTGCACTTGATGCAGTCGAAGTGGATGTATTGAAAGTTCATCTCGGCACGTGAAGATGTCGGCACCGTCTGACAACATCAACCGCCGCTCTAGAATATCCTGAGGCTGCCATGCCGGAGATCTTCACAGATGGAAGGGAGCAGAAAGGCTCTGAGGATAGACCAATGCGCTTCTGAGGACATGCTCACTGTCTGCTCAACGGCTCCCTTCCGGCCTTCCAGACTGGTGGAGTCAGGAGACGACGAGCTACATAATCCTAAACCCTGTTCACCATTTTCATTCTCACAATCCTCATCTCGAGGATCCACTTTCCAGCCGCTCCCTGCTCCTGATCACCAAGCTCTCTCTCATCTTCTCCACCTCATTCAGTCGAGAAGCTGCGCTCGATCTCCTGGTCCATTTGATTGGATTTCTCGTTTCCAGCATTTCTGAAGGAGCGATGGCGACTGCAATCTCCACCTGGAACATCCTGCCGACCTTCCATGCTCTCGGGGCTGCTGTTCTTCTCATTTTGGTTCATTCTGCAGAGGCCCAGACGATCTTGTCGACAATCGACTACAGTAAGTAAACCGACTAGTCTTGATTGAGACGATTCATTGTGATATTCTTGAAATCACTCACTTATCCAATCGGTCTTTCTGCTGACGTTGCAACTTCTACAACGACGAGCCTCAGTGAAAGCTCGACACATATGAGAAGTCGACTAGCTTCTGATTGGCGAGCTTGGCAATCTCTGACGACACGCGTCTGATAATGCAGGTCCGCAGCAAGTGTCGACTAGCGGAAGCACCGTTGCTATCAGAATGGACAAGAGCGGGGGAGCCAGAGTCCGGACGTCAAAGCAGTATTCTTACGGCACGTTCTCTGCTAACATCAAGTGTCCTGCTGGTAAGCACCAGATGCACTTCAGTCTTAGTTCCAGGATCACTTCTCAATGCAGCAGTCAATGTGCTAAGCTTGAAGCAAACCTTTCCAAGGTTTCAATCTTTCCTTAGACCTTGAGTTGACGTCTTACTGCCGTCCTCACTTCTTTTTGCAAACTCTAAGGAATTACAAATCCATTCTAACTGAGTTCATTCTTTTGATTTGCAGGGGACATTAGCGGATTTGTGCCTGCCTTCTATACAAGCTCCCTCGAGGGAAGTGGCAACCAGGTGCACAAATTAGTCTTTCCGTACCAATACATGAAAGCACCTTGCTTGCGTTCAGAAGGGCTTCAAGGCTGCAGAGATGACCAGCTTTTCCGCAAACTGCAATGAGTATGAGGATCATCTAGTTCAGTATCGCTGCGAAGGGATCATTTCCGATGACGATGTTGGACTCGTAGAAAACGTTTGCAAATCGCTAGTTCTAACCCTGCTCTTCTTACAGGACGAGATTGATGTCGAGTTCCTCGGGAAGAACAAGGGGGCCATTCAGACAAACTACTACGTGAATGGTCAGGTGTGAAAATTCAGTGTCATGTCTCTTATGAATTGTAGTAGAAACTGTTGTCCTCATATGAAAAGAGTAACCTGATCTTGCTCAGTCGTCGAAATACAGCTGATTCGTGGAGATGAGGGTTATCAACTCTCTGTTTGGACCTGAATTGAATCTTGCTCACTGACAAGCTTTCGTCGATTGTAGGGCGGACGTGAGCAGATGATCTCCCTTGGCTTTGACTGCTCCTCTGCTTTCCACAAGTATACAATCCAGTGGACGAGCTCAAGCATCAAGTGAGTAGCCTGAATTGTGGACGAGTGATGAAAAAGAGGTTTTTTCAGACCCAAGTAAGTTGAGTTGAAATCCTCAGCAGCTTTGCTATTGAGACTGATGCTGGGACCATGAACTTTGAAAAAGTCTAGATTGACGTCATCTAATCACCTCTCAGAATGAATGATCGTCACTGGATGCAATTAATCATCGATATCGTTTCTCCTTACGATTTCCATAGAGGCTGGATTGAAGTGAACCAGACGAGACTGGTCTCTACTTGCTTCTCTGATGGCTCTTCTCCTGGTTCCTTGAAGGCTCACTTCATGTGACCTCTTTTTGCAGATGGTTCGTCGACGATAAGCTTGTACGAACTGCAACCAACGACGGCAGCTCACCATATCCTACCAAGCCTAGCTACTTGTGAGTTTACTCATCAGTCTCATCCAAGCCGTCACTTCAAGATTGAGCAATCATTTCTCTAGTGTATGTAAAATCTTCATCAGCTTTTCCTACGCCTGGTAGCAAAGCAGGTCAACAGATCACCGATAGACTCGGTTGCTTTATTGGTCTACATGATTAATAGTCAACCCCTCAATGTAAGGAATTTGTTGTTCTGATTGGGTGCTAAGCACTTGCGTTTTTCGATCCAGGTATGCTTCAATTTGGGACGCATCTAGTGTGAACGGAGGAGCCTGGGCTGGAACAGCGACCTACGCGAATGCCCCGTACTCTTTCCAACTGCAAGGGATCTCCGCTTCTTAAGCTTCTATAGACAGAAAGGCAGACCTGCTATTACCACAGAGGTTGGAAACTCGGTGTCATTTGAGAGGCTAGCGTAGAGTTGCAGATTGAGTTGCGGAGTAATGTTTCTGACGAGAAACGACAGAGTCACTTAGCAAACCTACTGCCATCAAAGAATAACTCGTTCTTTGATGCGAAGATTGTCATAAAAGTCGCATGAGCAAGACCTTGAGTAAGTTAAATCTGACCAAACAGAGCATTCCTATCATTAATCCTCAGTTCATGAGACGGTAAAGTTGGTGAGAACATCACATGCCCAGTCTTAGTACATGACTGTATATCCACCGACTCTCATACCGATAAAAGGCGTGAAACGTCTGCCAATTGTATTTTCGTTTGGAAGGTTTCGAGTGCCGTTGCGATGCAAGTATGTCTGGTTGATCCATCGCGTGCATGACGACTTAGGGGGAAAAAAGTGAAATGCACATACGATCCATTAAGCAGTGATCTTGATCGCTTAATTTTAATTCAATGCTTTCACACTTCTAGTGACTTTTTCAACGTGCAGATGCATTTATAATTTCCCGGCCGTTCGAATTGCGGGCGATGGCATTCATATCCTACCGGCCGTCCTGTGCTGCAACCCAACGTGCGCCAGGTTAGCGCATCATGACATATATGGTGTTTTCGAGTTTGATTAGGCCTTGCATGAAACATAAGTTTAGTTGCGCGCTCATAAATTAGATACCTCTAAAGATATGTTGCCCTGTATACTGGAAGTGATCTGATAGCTTTTCAATGCAGCTGCTCACGCTGATGCGTGCTAATCCAGTGGAGCGAGCATGATGACCGACGTGCACGTAACGAATTGAGTGCATGGGAGATTGAGTGCATGAGCTACAGCCCGTCGTCCTTTTCCGCGGTTGGTGATTCTAAGTTCGTTTCCGATCCCCATGCTCTCTGGGTTGCAAAGAATGAATGAACCATCGTGATCGTGGTCAGGCCGCTCCCGATTGCCGCGCGGTGCATGGCGTCAAGTGTGAGTGACATGGGGGCCCATCCTGTGCCCACCGACGCAGGCAGAATCCGTTCTACAGTAGAGGCTGTTCAGATATATTAGTAAGATTCATATCCTAACATGCAATATCGGCTTAGTCCAATCCCGGAAGGTCTGCATGGCCGTGAGTCGTGCGGGCTAGGCGAAATCAGTGACTTATCTGAGGAGATATAAGACAATTTGCTTGCGCACCTCATGTGTCAGCACGAGCGCCATGACTCAGAAAGCAGGCACAAGAACACCCGGTCCTCTTGACGTCTTCAAGCTACCCAGCCCGCAAATTCTCCGCCAACATTATATCCTGTAGCCTGACAATCTAGAACGGATTTTTGCCCGTCTGTTTGCGTGCAGCAATTGACTAACGTTCTCGCACCTTCCTCAGATAAAAGGCAAGTCACCTCTGATTTTTGCCACAACGGTCAAAATTGGTCTGCCTTTCATACTCCTTTTCGCGGCAGACTTGTCTTGATCCCGACAGATTGGCTCTCCTCGCAGCAGCCTCCGCCTCTTGCGTCTAACCCATCCCTCGTCGGGCGCAGCCAGGGTTGGCCGTCTTTCCGGTTTCCCCTCACTGCTCTGATCTCTGGAGCCGCTTCCCTAATGCCTCCTGGTTCAAATTGTTGAGAAGCTCGATGGCGGGGCCGACTTTCTCTGCCTGCAACGCATTTCAAAAAACGAAATGCTTGAGGCTTTGCCGATGTACACAGGGCCATGTCTAGCCGACGAGTCTCTCTGTCCGGACGGCAGGAGTTCCTGGTGCAAGAGATCAGGCTAATTTCTGTCTCCAGATGAGGAAAGAGTGTTACTTTGTGAGTACACGTCGCGCTTGGTCGTCTCGGAAGCTTGGAAGGCACACGCAAAGGGCTCAAAACGAAGCGGCGTAGAAAGGTGCCTGGCAAAGCTCGGGCCCCTTAACCTCGCACCCAGAATGTTGTTTTCGACGGATGGGTCGATGGTTCCCACAAAGGCCTCGAATTTGATGAACCGTCGGCTTCCGCAAGTTTTGCACCCAATGAACTGCAGACTGGCCGTGCAACATCTTGGGTGCGAGTTTAAGGTGCCCGACAAGGGCCGGCTGCGTATCGCTGGCGGGTTCACGGCGACGGTATACTCAAAACTGCCCACCAGGCATGCCCACCGCAGAACAATAATGAGGGGGAAGAACCGAGCAGATTCGAATGCTCCAGCATCTTTTCCTCTCTTAACAGGAGCGTCGCTGAAACTCAACGAAGTTCTCCTGCACTTCGTGCAGCGAGAAGAGGCAACTCTCGAAGTATGCACATGCATTGGGACGTGACCAACGCGCCATCGGAATATAAGCGGGAGTGCTTACCATAGTCCGCCTGTCATACGTGGACCGCTGCATCTCGACGCTGTGACCCATGTAGATGGCGAGCGCCTCGAGCTCGCGCTCGGACGCACCCGTGCCGCGCAGGTGCGTCACCACAGAGTCGCGAACTAGGTGCGGATTAGTTTTCTTCCCGGTGATCCTGCACAGCCCACACAAACGATCATTATCCGGCTCGGATAATTTGTGCAGACAAGTCTTCCTTCCTTTCCTGATGTTGCTGGCCAGGATGAGCGTCTGTTACTGCGGCCCTTCATGAATCCTCTTTGGTCAAAGACGAGGTCATACGTGCTCACACCAGGAAGGGCGGATTTCCTGATCTGCGGGGCCTCTGGGGGCTTATACCGATACCAGGACCTGCCTTCATGTTCTATCTGATCCTATCTCCCTTGCGTTCAAGACCGTCTTAGTGCGTTTCGAGGCAAGGGGCAGGGTCGCGTAATGGATCGGCTGAATCTCGTGAAAAGTAGTTGTTTTGCAATTCAAAAACCATGAATCCTGCGTGCCCCTTACCGGTATGCCGTCGTGTAGAACAGTTTGTACACGTCTGTCTCCTTGAGCGGCTTCCCGTTCTTGGTCGAGAACAGGAACTCGTGCTGCGGGTTCAGGTGGGCCCGCCACGTGTCCATGAACGCTTCCAGCTCGGGGTAAAGCTCCGAGGAGACGGCCAGCGCGGGCCGGACGCCATATGCGCGCCCGGTTTTGTAGTCGTCCGGACCGTGCCGGATGACCCACCTGGAGCAGACACGTGGAATGAGACACTTCGTACTAGATACGGATCTCTGCCTTTGCTGCTATTCATCCATTATCTGTCGTGATGGTTGTGTTCCTGCGATTTTGGGCGCGCCCGGTCTTGTAGCTGTCCGGACGGTGCCGGATGACCCACCTGGAGAAGATACGTCCATCGAAACACTTCTGGAGGGAAATTCTGCCGTATTCTCCCTCGTCTCTTTCTAGATTTGTAATTTTTGTTTTAGAGTCGTCCGGACCATGCCGGATAACCCATCTGGAATAGAGACTTGGCTTCAGACGATGCTAAATGGAGGTTTCCTAGGTTGCTGTTCCTGGCCTCTAGGCAGAACTGTTACTTGTGGACTTGCTATACTTTGGCGCGCCCGATTAATGCTCATCCGGACCGTGCCGGATTAGCCACCTGAAGCAAACACGTCTCTTCAGACACTCCAAGTGGAGCTTTTTGTCACCAGCCTTTGTTCGAGCGTCGTGAGCTGAATCAAGGACTCCTTGTTGCGGCTCCTAAAGCATGAAAAACCTTTAAGCACCCACACTCAGCACGTCAAGTCGGAAAAGCAGAATCATGAGATGAGTGTTTTAGAATCAGAGAAGTAAGCAGCACAAAAGCAACAGCGTAAACTTGAAGCGATTCAAAGCATCCTCTTGGCGATGGCGGTCTTTGCCGCAGGGCAGAGAACGCGGCAACGAAACGCAGTTTGCATGACGAGTAACAGAACAAACACAGTATTGATCCAAGCTCGTTCATGAAAATAGCCGGCTCCAGTCCGGAGGCACAAACGTGCAGAACAAGAGAGGAACAGGGTTAGAGTACGAACGGCGGGCGCACTCTCACCGGGCCCCTTCCTGGGTAAACGTCAGGTCAAAGGAAACCTCTTGGCGACAGAGTCTCTGCTCCGGAGGCGAGAACGCGGAGGATCAATCGACAACTAGGTGCGGAGCGAACTAACGACGACGGCCGGCGTATTCTCACCGGTCCGCTTCCTTGAAGAGCGTCCGTGTAGGAAGAAACCTCTTAGCAAAAGCAGTCACTGCTCCAAGAAGAGGCGAGAACGCGGGGAGTGAAACGAACAACTAGGGGTGGAAAATGCAAAGCACAACTAGAGTGGGCGCATTCTCGCCTGTCCCCTTCCTTGAAGAGCGTCCCGTCGAAAGAAACCTTTTCACGAAATCCGTCTTAACTCCGGAGGCGCGAGAATGCGTAACATCAAACGAACAATAGGGGGCGAAAGTACAGAGCACGACTAGAGCGGGCGCATTCTCACCTGTCCCCTTCCTTGAAGAGCGTCCGGTCAGGAAGCGACTTGGCGACAGCAGTCACTACTCCGGAGGCGCAAGAATGCGCAAGATAAAACGAACGACAGGGGGGGAACAAAGTACAAAGCAAAAGTACAGCGGGCGCATTCTCACCGGTCCGCTTCTTTGAAGAGCGTCCCGCGGAATGAAACCTCTTGGCGACGGCAGTCTCATTCCGGAGCGAGAACGCGGAGAATCAAACGAACAACTAGGGGTTGAGAGCACAAAGCACAACTAGGGCGGGTGCACTCTCACCGGTCCCCTTCCTTGAAGAGCGTCCGGCCGACCTGCAGCTCCCGGAGCGTCCGCTGGCGGTCCGGGATGCACGACAGGATGGCGAAGATCAGGTACCGCTGCAGGGACCACGCGACGGCGGACGGCGGGCGCAGCCGCCCGTTGGGGTCGCGGCCGGCGCACTCGAGCTTCAGCTCCTGAAGGCAACCTTTTGTGGAGGTGATTTGATCGGTGTTGATAGATCTGATAGACAACGTATGGTACATGAATGCATGGTACACGATTGGGTGACCCGCTTTGAGCAGGAGAGAGACGGTGTGTTACTGGAGCAGATCTTGTGGTTGCGGCAGAGGTTGTGTGTCGAGCTTCAGCTCCTGAGGGAGCAGGGGCAACGATTTTAAGTCGATCAATCGCCATCTTTCGTTTGTGAACCAGAAGGGAGCAGAAGTGTGGTGGCCGGATGAAAGAGTCAGTGGTTATCTGTTGCTGGTGGCAGGAGATGGAGCAGAACTTGTAGTGACCGGGTGATCGAGCGAGTGGTTTTGGTTACTTGGAAAAAGACATGGAGCAGGTCCTTTTCGCCAGCAATTTGGAGCGCATAAATCAGCGTGCAGGATCGCATAAGTCAGCACGCAGGATCGCAATAGTCAGTGCGTAGAATCGTAAGAGTCAGCGCGTAGGCCAGCTTCATTCATGCGCTTATACGCTCTTCGACGCACGCAATGAGCGACAATGTAAGCCGCCTTAAAATGCACAAAGACCAGGTATTCCGGCCAGACAAGCCCCTTCTTCGTCCAGAGAAGTACGAGAAGAACCGCCTAATAGAGCCATAAGAAACCGCATAGGCTTGAATGTTCATACCCCCTCTGAAGCAGGCATTAAGCGGACGGTATAAGCCGGCCCACCTGCACGACGTTCAGGTCACCGGGCCACTCAAGCGTGCAACAAGAAAAGCGCTTAACCGAACTCATAAGACAGCGCTCAGGAAGGCTTTGTACAAGCGCCTGTACGCTCAAAGCACGCAATAAGCGGACGGTATAAGCCGCAATCAGCGGACGGTATAAGCCAGCCCACCTGCACAACGGCCAGATACTCGGGCCAGCTGAGCCACTTGAGCGTCTCGTCGGACGAGCGCGGCGCGATCTTTGCCTCGCGCCGTGACTCGTTGGCCAGCTTGCGGTACTCGCGCACGACCATTAGGTCGCCGTAAGCTTTCTCGCCCTCCGATGGCTGGGCCTGCGCACGTGTTCGGTGGGTTTAGTCGGGGTTTAGGGTGCGTTTGGGCGGGGTTAGTCGGGGTTCAGCGTTAAGGCGCTTCCTGAAGAACTCAACTGCTCGTACACAGACGATTGAAGGCACAAGGTCATTACTTGCCACGTGCCGATGAAGATCTGCTGACGGAACGACATTAATGCATAAGGCCACCGCAAGGACCTCTATATATCTATCGGCTGTCGATAGATATATAGACAGCTCGGCTATAGGGCTCCTTTACTCCGCCTTGCATCCGAGCATGTTATCAAATATGCGACATTTTGCTAAGCTTGAAAACTTGTCTACTCACACTTGGCTCCTATACTGTACTTTCGGAAGGTAGCTCTGAAGAGTGCAAATATTTTGGACTTTTGACATCCTGGATTGCCATAGCTTGACTCGAACTTGACAATGACGCTTTCGTGGTTGATGACGTCTCAACAACTCTTATACTTTCTAAGACGAATTTCTGCAAAGCTGCATCGAGATCGTACCTTCGACTCCGCGTGGAACAAAAACATCGCGAGCCGCATCAGGCTCCGCGCGACGAGCCCCTCCGTCTGCCGGGTGATGCCCCGCTCGCGCAGCAGCCACATGACGTAATCAAACCCGACCTGCACGCCCGCTCGCTCGTGCGACGGAACGAGAGAAGGCAATCGCAAGTCGGTCAGGGGGATCCCCCTCTCGTAGTGCAGCCAACCGAGCGCCCCTCGTATGTGGTCCAAGTATTTCCTGGGGGGAGAGACGAGCCGGTTTAGCGTTTCCCCAGTACACTTTGTAACAGGCGAACGGAACCGCAGCTCGAACAGGAGATTTCCCTCTCGTATTGCAACCAGCCGTGGTTCGAGGACACTTTCTTTTCCCTTCTTTGGGGGAAGAAAAGAGGCAGTACTGAGGCCCACCGTTGTGATTCTGAAGATATCTGGACATTTTCGAACGAACGGAGGATGTTGGCCCAATCGAAGCTGGTAAATCGGAACGAGTTGATATCCTCTTGGAAGGAAAAGAAGGTCCGAGCGGCCCCAATACATACTCTCTGACAAGGAAGAAGAGCTCTATGCAGGGACTATTGCTTGCTGAGATGCCTTTGCGCAAGAAGTGAGAGGGCCGTCCGGCACCGACCAAGAAACGTTCGGCTACCTGCTTGCACCGCTGAGTTCGTATGCAACGACAGAGATGGACTACGCAACCGTGAAGGGGCCAAACTACCGTGCAACAAGTTTCCGAACTGTGAGAGCAGGCGTTTCAATGGAACCTTAGCATCTGCGGATGCTGGAGGAGCTTACCTGGCGGTGACGTCAGCAATGGGCGCCATTTGCTGTCCATAGAAGCGATTCGTACAGTGGTACAGAAACGCGTCCAGCTCTTTGGTGAGCTCCGGGGAGCCTTCCCCCGGCTTGAGCCGATATGACGTCAGCCCCTCGACCTTCCGTTTCGTCACCCTAACGTCATAGCTATTGCTGTGGCCGTGCCGGCCCATGGGGGGCATGCGGCGCGACATGATGTCATTATCCACGGCGGGAGCAACGGCGGCAATCGAATCTGGAAATACTTGGTCGAAGTTAGAAACCATGCTAGAAAAGGGGCATGGTTGCTTTTGGCTAACCGCTCCGAATGTCAGAAGCCTCGACGTCTTTAGAATCAGCCCCGTCTCAACGTTCGTTCCAGAACACCAATGTGCGCTGCCCTCAGGAAGGCTCGTCGTCGAAAGTAAGCTGACGACCGAAAGAAGGAAAAAGCAACTAAGTGGATCACTTCATTTGACTCCGGGTTCACTGCGGTGAGTAACGCCTGATCAGGAAGCCTTGAAGGCTTGGTACTCCTGAAGCCTTGAAATACGAGAATACTGGGACCACGAGACGAGAAAGTGTTTGTTCGGAGACTCATTTTGATGGTCTGCATTCGAAGACTACGCTTACCAAACGCTGTACTGAACTACAACCCCTACTAAGGTCCCTTCTCTGCTTTAAGATACCCCTTTTTGGACAGGGTTTTCTTTTCCGATACCCCTTTTTGGACAGGGTTTTCTTTTCCGGCAAGGACAATGAAGATGCTAAGCAAAGCGGGAAGGAAAGGCAGTAAAACGAGCGAAAGATTGACAAGAAAGAGCACCTGACCGCACTTTTGCGTTAATTTCGGCCAGTAGAATTACGATGACGTGGTTTCACCCGATCCCTTTTCATTCTTCAGCCCCTACATCATCTCCTCCAGTTTACCGGCATTGGTCACAGCTTTTCTCGTCTCAGCGATATTACTTTACGAAAATCGATGGCTGAATCCTGATGCATCGACCCTACTTCCTTGCAGAGGAACCCACCAGAGAGGCCCGCCGGTTCAGCAACCACCTTCGAAGAACCCAAGTCGGTTTCTAAGGTCGACACTGCCCCGGTGCTCGGAGCAGAGGTGGAGGCGCTCTCGCCAGATGTCGCTCGCTCCTGTAATCCATACACGCTATTCTGTCTGATATGACCTTACACTGACATAATCAACTTTCTTGCTTGCGGCTTCTCTTGCCACCTGGGCTCTTTTGCATCCAAAAGTTCCTGTAGTGGATTTTGTATCAGGGACCAAACACTCTGCTCCAGGAAACTCATTTGAAGAGAGAAGAAATTGGGAGCACCCGTACTCTGGATTCCTAAGTGCGTCTCCTTGGCTCGAGATTTCTTTCGAGAAAGGTTCAGAAAATTAGAGACAGGATTACGACATTTGTTAAATCTGCTGGCAAACGGAGGATCTTCTTTGTTTTCCACAGCACTGTTCACATGGCCGTCAAGACGCTCTATGTTTAAGAGGGATGGATTTGCCGAGAAGACTATCAGCAACTTGCTTCCCACAAACATTTGATAATCAGTGCTATTTTGAGAGCTGCCACCATGAAAAGTACCCTCCACATTTCAATCACATTGCCAGCTCACCTTCTCGTTTGTCTTCTCATTCTGTACCCCGTTCAGAGTCTGCCCATCCTCACTGGCGCTTTGTGCGAGTCCTTCCCTAAGCTTCAGAAGAAAACGAACTGGAACGGCGAGTGTTCTGGCCTCTTGGTCTGCCATCCCGACTAGGTCGCTAGCTTTCGAGTACCAGTTTTCTTGCAATCGCTCCGACTGCAGACAAGATAGGGGCAAGCTTTAGTTGTGACACAAGAGATCAAAGTTGCGGCGAGATGACGTGAACATGTCGATAGGAAGTGGGCTCAGAAGCATTTCAGTAATGACAAGGTGTCAAGCTGGGCAGACACCTGGCTGTGCCTCCTCGAAGCTACTTGACAGAAAGGAATGATTTCCTTCGCTAACGGAAGCGACATTCCAACTGAAACATGAAACTAGATCCTTGACAGGAATTTATCAAGAGAGCAGCCCCGACCGAGGCACATGCCTCCGAAAAGCATTGAAACACACGCTCCGTCAGATGTGTCAAGAGAATCTTCGCGATTTAGTATGAGAAAACAAATGACCTTGTCCTCAAGACATCTGTGTTTGCTTCTCCTTTGCTCACCAGCTGTTGCTCTGCTTCCCCAGGAGCCCGGCCCAGCGCTTTGCAGCACCACTCCAGCGCATCGTCAATCGAACTTCCAAGCGTCAGCTCGTTTTGAGCTCCCCCTGCGGCCGGCACCTCCTTGATCGGTTCCCCTGGTTTGACGACCGCATGTGCCGGTTCCACTGGTCCAACCGCTGCACCGTTCCTGGCTTTCTTCTTGGCCACAGGTTTTGCTCCCCTCTTTGACGATTCCCTTTGCAAGCTAGACTCCTCAAGTGCAACCCCTGACCCCTGACTGCTCTCAGAAGCGCCTCGCACAGCCCCGTTGCTCCTTTCAGGTTTCCCCACCCCGTCCCTGACACCTTTGCTGACATCCGCCGCCAGACTGCCAACCACCCCATTCAAGGCTCCTTGCTTCTGCCCAATTGAAAGCGCCTCTGTTGCCTTTGGAGGCACGCTCACCACCGCTTTTCCCTTCCCCTCTCCATTTGAGTCTCCGCCTCTCTCTTTTGTTTGGCGTGCTCCTTGATCTTTCTTAGTGACCCCATCTTTGGGCTTTGGCGTCCTGAAGAGGCTGATCCCCTGTAGGGCCAGCGCCTCTTCCATTGTGACTGCGACATTCGGCCCAGCCCGCTTTTGAACCGTGGCCCCCTTCTTCACTGGGCTCGCCACTTGCTGGCTTGGCAATGCAGTCTGAAAAGATCTCACAGCTCCAATTGGACGTCCACCGTTTTTCATTGGTGTAGCTCCAGATGGAGAGACGCCTCGCAATGCCCATGTGCTGTTGGCATCACTAATTTGGCACCCAGGCTTGCGGAGAAGACGCCAGACTAAGTATCCAGTGCCCTTTGATAGAAGCGCAGAGTCCATCGTGATAGAGCAACATGGAGCATTCAAGGGAGCCCTGGCAAAAGCTGGTCCTTTGGCTGCTTGGATTAAACCGGAATTCCCTTGTCTGACCAGAAGTTTGATAACAGCATTGAGTGCACTGCTAAACATGCTGGTGCCACATTGATCAGATTAAACACCGGAATTGACTGTCAGGGGCTCTCCCTGAACTTGCATTGTGCCGCCTGAATCTGCATTGGCGACCCTTCTATGGCTGCTCCCCAAACTTCAGCTCATTGCACACAGTGCACCACTAACTTCCTCATCATTCTTACTGTAACTGAAGCTGGTGGTGCGGCTGATCAGAGAGGGTGGTGCATCTGAGAGACAGCATTCCTAGTGGCTAGCTAGCAACAAGTGCTTGCGCCACACTATTTTATCTCTGTGCTCATGCACTGGCAGCAGCCTCATCATACAGAACATGGGCCGGCGCTGGCGCTTTCCTTATCAAGCATCATGCATCAGGCTGACTTGGAAATTCACAAGCAACCATTTCCCGCGCGAAGTAGTGTTTTCCGTACCTCGAACACCGGAACCGGAACCGGAATCCGTATCGGGCAGGACTTGAACGTATAACGGAACCAAGCGGAACCAGGGCGCGGAAAGCGAACGGCTTGCATGGCCTGGTGAGCCAATGTACGGAAGACCATGCTACTTGCTGGCTAAGCTGAACCCGCCAGCAAGTCCGTCGCGCGGAGGAAGGAACCAGTCGGTGACCTTTGCCCACATGCATGACCATCACCCAACGAAATACTTTCAGTATTCGTAAGTGATCGAACTGGGGCGCTCAGTATTTAGAAGTAATGGAACTCGGACGGCAAACGGGAGAGTTTCGGATCCGACAGGCAAGCCAGCCACTTCACACCAAAGTGAACAGGCGCCGGCGGCTAGAAGGAACCAAGCAGCGACATCATCAATCAAAAGCAGAGATTTATACCCATGTCGTAGACATCCATGTCGGACACTGCCTGCTTCATGAGAGTCTCGATTGTGACAAAGGTTTGATCGACAACGAGGATTTGGGAAGTTACACCGAATATCTGTCGCAAAAACGTTGAGCAAGGTGAACTCGTTCAACCTGCTTCCCAATAATTCACGTAATGGCCAGTCCTTGATGGATGGCATGCATTTCTATCCTCCTGACCTCAACTGAAAGTTGGCTAAGCTGCACAGGGGCCATGCGACGTGTAACGTCCGGGCAGATTTTTGAAACAAGGACCCATGCACCGTATGTCTGAAGCAGCGCTCTGCCTCAACAGATGCGCAAAACTTGACCGGACTGGCCGTCGGGCTCCAACCTGCGACAAGAGGACATGGTTTGCTTGTCATTTCTGAAGCTCGAAATGCCAGGATTGAGCTGTAGCCTCAACGGAACCGACTCAGCAACATTCAAGCCCCATGCAAGTAAAATGTCTCAGACACAGTTGAGAGCCATACTAACGCACAACCTAGGACAGAAAGTCCGGTCAACGGCTTATCAAATCTGAAAAAGACTCGAAGCATCCTGATGAGAGGCGTTGACGGCTCAAAGATACCTATTTATTCCCTTTAGATTTGTCCAGATTCTGAGAGATTCAGAGTCGGGCACCTTGAATGATTCTTCTGAATTGACGCAGCAACTTCTGATCATACTGGGATGCTACCTGCCCGATGCACGGGACTCTGTCTCCAATGATATAGTTTAAGCATCTCCTAAAACAATCTTTTCAATGTCAGTGTATTTTAAATGCGAGCATTTTGAAGCACAGAATTCACAAAGCCCTAAAGGGCAGTACCAACAGAACTTTGCAGATCCTCACCTCTCGCTCGCCCCGCCCTACTTGTGCCGCCCCGAACGCCTGAGCGGCGTCAGGGCCGCCTCCGGGGGGCGCCCGGTGCTCTTCTCCGGGCTCCTCTCATCCTCCTTCTGCGCTTGACCTCTTCTCGTCTTCTCCTCGGCCGACTCCACTGGGCCTTCCAGTGCATCAATCTCCTCTGCATCGTCGAGCATCGGGGTCTCCGCTTCCTTAGCGGCGGCTTCCCCTCGCCCTGACTCCATCGGAGACGCCTTGTTTTCGGCGACCGCGTCCTTAGCTTCGTCCGCTTCATTCGCTTCGGCGCTAAAGAGCACTCCCCTTGCTTCGGCGCTGGAGAGCACTCCCCCTGCTTCGGCGGCGTCTCCGACCCCCACCGCACGGGGGTTCGACCCCACGGCAGGAACGTTCTCTGACTCCCCCGGTGCGAGACCAATCTCCGGAAGCTTTGCTCCGCTCGTATCCTCAGGATTATTGCCGGCCGGTGCTGGCGCCACGTCACCTTCCCCAGCCTCCGCCATCTCCGTATCGCCCCCCTCCTTTTGAGCCTGCTCGTCTCCCCCACCAGGCACGCTCTTTGCATCCCTCATCTCAACATCCCCCCCTGCGCTCTTCACGCTCCCCGACTTGGGTCGCCCGCTGAGCGAGACTCTCTCCGGCAGAACGAACCCTGCCCGGAGCGCCCCCAACGCTTCCTCCGTCAACGGCGCCGGCCGCTCGCTCATCGCCGCTCTAGTTGCCTCCTCAACCGTGGTCTTCTCCGGCACCGCAAACACACCCGGGAGGCTCGCGCGCCGCGCCGCCTCTTCCACCGTCAGCCGCTCGGGGACCTCGAAGAATGACGTCGTCCGCGCGCCGCGCCCGTTGGACAGCGCAATGGACGTCCGTTCCGGGAGCTCGAATGGTGACGGGGGAGGGATCCCCGTGAACGGCGGCACGGGGGCGATGTTTGCGAGCGCTGCGCTGGTGATGCTAGGCGCGACTGGCTTGAAAAGGGGGGGCGCCGGCGCCAGGCTCAGAAGCCCTCCGCTTGTAGTGGGTGGAAGAACCGGGGGCTGAGGCTGGATACTCACGGTTGCTGGGGGCGCGATAGTGGGTGCGCTGGATATGGGCAGGCTTGGCACGGTTTGGGGGTTCGTTTGCTCAGCGCTTTTCGGGGGGGTGTTCTGAGGTGGAGAAACCCCCGGAGGGGCAGCGGCTGATTGTGTCCCTGGAGCAGTAACCCCAGGAGCGGCGGTGGTTGCCACTGGAGCGACATTACTGGCCGGAGATGCGCTCGATGGGAGGGTCCGGTTAGCCACCGGGTTAGCCACCAACCCCGGTACACGTGGCAGAGTGACCATCTTGGCAGTCGGGTCGTCTTTCCGAGGCCTCCCGCGACCCCACTTTGCGCCAACCACCTCCGGATCCAAGTCGACGATCTCGACAACGCCGCTCGCCCCGGTGTAACCCCGCTTCAACCCCGGGTTATCGAGCAGGTTAGACTGGCTTCCGAGCGCGGTCTGCTGGGCGTCGGTTAGCCCGGCACCTTGAACGGACTTGAGCGCGTTCATGAGGCGCTTGGTGACTTCCTGTTCGCTTGCGAGCTTGTAGGTGGCGGTTCGCAGCTCCATCTCGAGGTGCGCAATCTTTTCTTGCGCGCGCGTCATGAGCTCGAGCGCTTCTTTGCGCTCCGCCTCCTGGCGCTGGAGCATGTCCACCACAATGGCCGTGTGGCTCCTGCGAGTCGGAGAAAAGATTGGGTTGAAAGACTGTTCTAATCCGGGTTAAAGCTCATAGAGGAACTTTTTTGGAGTCTCACAATACGCGGGGTTCCTGGCGCTATAGCATGTCGTCCGTGGTCTTAGTGTGGGTCTTGCGAAATCAACGGATGTTTTTAAAATGGGTAAGCAACGGGTTAGGAGAACGAAGCGAGATACGTGTGAGTTGCTGGCGCTCGAGCATGCGACCACAGTCGCAGTGAGACTCCCACTGTTCAGGGGAACCGGGAGACAACCAGTTTTGCAGGTTCGCAAGAATTAAAAGTCAACTTGCAATACGGCTCCGACCCACTTGGCAGATTGTATGCCTGGCAGCGACTAATCGCAACGTCTGGGAGTGCTTTCTGAATGGATCCCGAGGGTACAAGCCGCAGTTGCGTCAAGCCCCGATAGTGCAACCAGGCAGCTTACATGGCAGCAGACTTCAGCATCAAAGTGAGTGTTGTGCATCGTATCAGACATGCACTCACTTGCAACAGATGATCTGTCGCATACACACCGTAAAATATCTAAATATTGCGCGGGTGTCTGTAAAAAGCCAGCAAATGCAGGGAGCTAACAAAGCCAGGAGTTCCACTGCCAACTGCCTGACTGACCGCTGTCCTCTCACACTCGTAGCCACAGCTTGACCCCCAGAAGAATTGCAGTCGTTTGCAGACCGGCAAGGACGTTCAGGTGACTTTCCGCGAAAAGACGAGGAAACGCAAGAGAATGCACACAAGAGCTACTCTGCAGGGCTAAACACAGAGGTGTCCCTCACCTGAGGATGTCGTCCAGCAGCGTGCCCGAACCGATCGCACCGACGACATGCGAGAAGCTCTTGAGGTTTAGGTCGTTCTGCACGCGGAGGATCCCGTCATTCTCGAGCGCCGTCAGGAAGATGCCGCACGGGACGTCGCGCACCTCCTCCTTAGGCCTCTGCAGAAGAAAGAACCGGGGTACGGTAGCATTAGCGACTGGGCCAAATGTATTTGTAACATGGTTAGTTTAAGTGGTTGAACATGTTAGGACATGCTTAGGCCTTGGTTGAAATGCGGTTTAGACATGGTTGGGATGTGGTCTTTTCCCCCAAGTATGTCAACCATATGGAAAGGCGGATTTTGAGAGGTTGTGCGCTCAGTTCACACCACTCAAACAAGGATGAATCGCTTTGCCATATAGCAGGAGTGAAACGCAGTAACATTTGCAATTGAAGAAAGACAGCAACGATCTCTCATCAGGTTTCCCTTGATGTATCATGTGGTGGACTGATCCGATGAAACAAACAAAGGACAGGAATAGGTCTGCAGGACTTCGTCTCTCCTCCATCAGCACTGATTGAAAAAGTCGGGCAAGCAACGATTGCGAGAACAAGAATGTTGCAAAGAGAGCTGATTTGAATCTGGTACTCTTACCTAAGCAGCATGAAACACTTAAGGTACGAAAGATCGATCAGGTCTCCAACGGAACTTCAAAGACTGTAATGACTGACAAATGACTATCAACGGCCACAATTTGTCTCCTGAAAGACCACTTACCGGCCTGTTCATCAGCGCGTTTGCCAGCCACCCAAGCCGCTGGATGTACCACTCCGCAAACAAGACGTTTGGCAGAGACGATTGCTGCGGGGGGGTAGCATGAGCGGGCATGGCTTGCTGGGGGCCTACATTAGCAATCTGCGGCTGTACCCCCGCTGCTGCTTGTGGTAAAGCGCCCAGGCCTCCCAGATGTGGCAGTGGCGCGGGGGGGGGCGGCTGCTCAGTCGCTGGCCAGCCCAGGTTCTGCCCCCCCACTACAGTCGGTATCTCCGGCGCCGGCAGCGCCCCTGACGTCTTGTCCTTTCGCGGTCGGCCCCGCTTTGCCGGCGGGGGGCCCTCCTGAACAGGAACCTGTCCGGGGGGCAGCGGTGGGGGGGGTACCTTGGGGAACCGGAACGGCTGGTCACCCCCTGGGAGAGAAGCAGGGGCCTGCACGTGGACAGGAGGTGGAAGCCACCCACGCTTCTCCAAGGGGGACCGTGTGTCCAGCTGCGGAGGGGGGGGCGGGTGGTGGGCCCAATCGTTTATGCTGGAAAGAACAGAGGTTGGCTGGGGGGCGGGGGGGATCGTAGGGAACTTGGCGCCCGCCTGGAGGGAGGAGCTTTTGGCTGCCTCAGCAGCGTTGGTGTACAACCGGACGACGTCCGCCGAGTTTGCAGATGCCTCAGCGCCAGGGGGCGCTTGCATGGCGTTGGCGACAGCTGGGGGGGTCAAGGCCGGCTGAGAAGAAACGGCCCCGTTCGTCTTGTCCACATTGCTTGCTAACGCTGGCTGCGAAGCCTCCGCCCTTGCAGTTCCCCCGGGCTGCATAGGTGTTGCATCTATGCCCGCCCTACTTCCACCCTCTGATGCTGCGATTATGGGGGGCGCAACACCGACGGGCTGAGCGGCAGAGACCGCTGGTGCTGCCACTTGCATTGTTCCAAGTTCTTATCAGTCTGGCATCACTAGATGGGAGCCTGAGGGGTTTCCTCTGTTTTCTTGGGACTAAGATGCTGTAGAGCCCCTCAACTTGGACAATCTTAATCAACTCGCTAAGTATCCAAAGCCCCCACTAACAGCTCAGCTTTTCAGTGACTTCTTACCAGCTTTCCTAAGTCAGCAGAGTCACTGGCAAGGCAACCTGCCAAGATAGGACACGGGTCACTCATAGCGTCGCGTTTCCTTTTCTCAGCGGCCCAGTTTCGGACACAAGCTGATAATGCACTAAACTTCTTGTTCCTTCCTTTGTCATCACTTTACCAGAGCTCTGGACACCATATGCAGACAATAATAAGCAGAGAAGAGCACAGAGTCAGAGTGCATCGCCAGATTGCGTGCGTTCATGGCTTTTCAGCAACTTACAAATGTGGAAGAAATCAAGATGGATCCCTAGCTTGGTGGGTAGGTACTACAAATGATCAGATCATGCCCGCAAGACAACATCAATGCTATTATTAATTTCTCCCCAGTGTGCTCAACTCGCTGTCCTTTGCTGACAGTAAGAGTACATTCATTTTGCGTCTACTCAAAACAAGCGGTCAAGAAAAGATCAGAGTTCCGTCAGCATGCATCAAGAACTCGTTTGCTTACCTTTACTTTGGGCTCTGCGGCATCCTTGCAAGCAATCTATCCGCCATTCAAGCGACAGCATGCAACAGCCCTGCAATCTTATTCTCTTCTCTATTGTTTTTGCCTGTCCTCCGTGCAGATTTTGAATGCAGGAGAAGGCGGGAAGTTGGAAGCTGCATTGCCTGGGTTTGCCTAATCAAGGTTTGCATTCAAACGTTGCAGCCAGGCTGGCATGTTTGCCGTAGGATGCGACTCTGGACCATCGGACGGACAAATGTGCATTGTACTCGTCCTTCTTGAGACTTGAGAGCCCTTCGATTGGACTGATGTCACTCTGGTTAGACTAACCTCGTTGTTACTGGTCAGCATCTCAGGCTTCAGCACTTACTCCCACTTTTTCTTCCCTGATTTTTCTGCTCGAAAGTTATCGAGCTTGTCTTTAATACGTTGTGGCGTGATCATTCATTTCCCTCCATCATGGGGTCAGCAGAGCGCCTTGCTGCTCTGCGTTCTCTGCTTCAAGAACATGGACTTTCTGCGTACATTGTCCCCTCGGAAGATGCACATCAGGTGAGCTCAAAATTCGAATGCATGCAGCTTTTAGGGTTTGCATTTAGAGCTGCAATGCAATGCGCATCCTTTACGACCAGCATTTCTGCTGCTTGCTTCCCATTGCCAGTGACAGCTCTCTGAAAGATGCACAAGCATACTTGAGGCTATCGTCTGCTGATTACTTCCTTGAAGTTTTTAGAGGGTTGGGGGCCAGCAGGAGGGAGTCTGTTTTCTTCCACCACCATGTGCAAAACTCTGAATTGCACTTGCACTTATCATGACAAGATTATCCCAACTTGATCTTAAGGTCAGCACCATAACTTTGTGCAGAGCGAGTACACAGCAGAGCGCGACAAGCGGCGGGCATTCCTGACTGGATTCACAGGCTCAGCAGGTACTGCTAGGTCTGAGTTCTTCCAACATCCAAAACTGATGCGGTCCGGTAGTCATGTGGCTTACCTGCATACTGGATTACTAGGATGGCGGTGGTGCATGCCTGACATTGAATTGACATCGCATCAGCATCCCATTCTCTTTGCTGCAATGTGCAATGCTGGATACGTGCACTTCAGGCTGCAAGAAAGTTGCATCTAGCGTGAGTTGGGGCACTCGACCAAGAATTGCACAAATTGACATTTCTGAGTCCACTCACAAGATTGTGCGCTGGGCCTTTCTGTATTTGTGTCTACTTTATAGATGTTGAACTTCTTAAGTTGACTTCAAATGGAATGTGAGGATTGCAAAAATGACTTCCAGAATTTAAGAAGCAGATTCTGTTTGACTGAAAGGACACAAGGCCCCGCAACAATCATAGGTTTACTGCTTGTAACCTGGTGACTACTTCAACTGTTGTAAACCCTGACTGCTGCAGGCATCGCAGTGGTGACACAAGCTCATGCCCTTCTCTGGACGGACGGCCGCTATCATCTGCAGGCCCGCCAGCAATTGCAGGGCGAATGGAAGCTGATGAAATTAGGCGAAGACGCCTCTCCCGAGGACTGGGTTGCCAAGGTACGCAACTTTGAAGCGGGCACCAGGGGTCAGATGCACAATTTACTGCGGCAGGAGATCAGAGAGATTGCGACGTTAGAGGCCTATGTTGTGTTAGACAGGTGCCTTTGTGATACCGTTCAAGAAATGCATGGCTATCCAAGTGTCTTCCCTACATCCAGTCGACACAAGAATCGATTTCAACAATCAAGTATTTGCCACAACGGTGATCGCAGACTGTTCTTTGGACAGAGCCATGACAGTCCACACAGTCCAGCTGAGCATAAATTATTAATAAACTTCTCACGCTTTTCCTATCTCCCTGCGCAGGAGTCTGGCCTCCCCTCTGGAGCAAACGTCGGTGTGGACCCGACCACAGTGAGCCTTTCATCGCTGAAGCTGTGGGAAAAGCGCCTGGAGGAAGCTCATCTTGCTGTAAAACGGCTCGAGCAGAACCTGGTGGATATACTCTGGAAGGACCGACCGTCTCCCCCAAAAACCTCCACTCGTATTCAGCCAGAATCGCTCGCAGGGCGACCGGTTTCCAAGAAGCTGAAGGAAGTGAGAGAGGCAATGGAGAAGGAGAAGGCGGGGGCTCTCGTGGTCACGGCTCTCGACGAGGTGAGTGTGACTGTTCGATTTATCATTAAAGAGTGAGCCAATTGTGGATCTGCAGTTTGGAATTCAGGAGCGAGCCACCCTTTTACGTAAAGAGGTAGATTATCAAGATGATCGAGATTGCGGAAACATCAGATGCCTCTTGGATATCCATCCGAAAATTCTCCGTGAAACTTCGTCCACCTCCTCAGTCCTTAAAATGATGTCTTTGAAGACACACATTTGAAGTCCGAGTATGACCAGAGATCTCCCGTTTTCAAAAACTCATCTCGAACTTCTCGAACTTCATCAGGAGGTTCAGGTCTGAAGCATTCACACGATGCAAAACGCACTCGAAGTCTTGAAAGGGAGACAGAGCAACAACTTGCGAATTTGAAAGGCGTTTTAGCTCACCACGTGCAGGTGGCTTGGCTGTACAACATCCGTGGAGAGGACGTTTTGTATAGGTAAGAGGCGATTCTTCGCTTGTAAAATGGGATTTAGAGGTTGCCAAAACGTACATCAGAGCCTCGACTGTTCTTAGCTTTTGAACCTTCGGGCGCACCTCCTCTCATGCTAAAATATATCCACGCCGTTTTCGTCCTTCCTGAGTTCTTTACGAACGCGCTCCAACGCCCCTCCAACTCCACGATTTCCTCTCTATTTTCACGATGACGACTCGGCAAACGAATCCTGCTTCTTCCGACTTTCTATCAGTTGCTGGAAACGTATGTGGTCCTTGTCGCCTGCTTTCCTGTCCAACTTACTTCCCGACCTTCTGCAGTCCGGTCGTGCACGCGTATGCGTTCGTCACCAAGTCGAGGGCCATTCTGTACGTCGACGCGGCCAAATTAACGGACGAAGTCGCTCGGCATCTGGAAGAGAACGGCGTGACGGTGAAGCCTTACCACGGCCGGGCCATCCTCGATGACATCACCCTGTTTGGCTCCAGTGAGCGCTCTTATTCCTTCTTAGCCTCAGTGACTATGTCTTATTAGCATGGTCTTGCAGGGCCGACTCGGTGGCTGCTGTACTTTGAGTTGCTTCAAAAATTCGATTAACTAGTGGGCCTAGATTAAACCGTTCGCCCGTGTCCTTGCGCAAAGCTCATCTTTCTTACGGTTTCCCAACATCTGCTCGATGTCAACTTTCTCAGGAACAGAAAGCCCTCTGCTTCAATAGGATGAATCCCGCAGATGACAGACGTGCCTCCCGTGAACGAATTCCGTGTGCTTTCTGCTGTCCTGAACGGACAAAACTTGCAAATGTCGGTTATGGCTCGAAACGTGAGCACATTCCGGACTCCTCAATTCTCCTAAGCGTCAACTCGATCATTTTCGTTTATGCTGACACAGGCGCTGAAGGCAAGATGTGGCTGGACCCGGCATCGGCGAACGCCGCTATTGGGAAGGTTTTGCCGGAGGGCGAGTTGATTGAGAAGGCCTCCCCGCTCGCGCTGGCAAAGGCGGTGAAGGTACGGAGCTTTTTGTCGCCAGCCAACGCTCCTATGGGCCCGCTTTACTGCCAACTCTAATCTTCTCCGCTTAATTCACTCGACAGCAAGAGTTTTCAACACGTTTTGAATCCTTCTTGTAGGTTGGCGCTTGCTTTTCGGAAAGGGTGTGCCGTTGCAGAACATCCGATCCCTTTGTGCAAACAAGCAAAGCGGTGCTTGTCCGTGCCTTCTGCGATGAAAACAACGAGCGCAACACGAGCACAGGACGGTATCTTTTACTGGGAGGTAGAGCATTACGGTGATATCTGACAGCGAAGCCCTCTCTTGCAGAACCCAGTGGAGTTGGAAGGGTTGCGGGCGGCGCACGTTCGGGACGCGGTTGCCTTGGTCCAATTCATGGAGTGGCTCGACAACGAGGTGCGTATCGAATCTCGTTTGGCAGTCTGAGTCGATCACTGTCACGTGGCATTCACGTCCTGAATCAATCTCATATCTCCTCTCTTGAGTTCTATTCATGCTCAGAGTCCTTCATGCGATTGCTGCGATCAGCTGCTGACGTCAGCGGGGTCCTGCTTTGCTGACATGTCTTGGTTGCTTCCTGAGTCCAGGTGCAGCAGCAGTTTGGGGTCAGTGGGTACTTCTCGTCGACGGGCCACACGAACAAGCGAAAACGAAAGTACGAACTCTACTTCGTAGTCCTACATCACATGCTCCTTTGAGGGGCGAGCCAGCTTCATGGGAACGTAAACTGCATCCAAGATGCTATTCCATGTTAAGATCCGCTGTTGACGTTTGCGGAATACCCTTCATGGAATCCTACGAGAAGTCGAAACAGGGAATGCTTCGAGCAATTTACTCATCAACGGTGCCTCAAATTCTCCTCAATGCTTTGTCATTAACGTGCAGCGAAGAACACGGCCGGGTCCATCTGACGGAAGTCACCCTAGCCGACAAGCTCGAAAGCTTCCGAGCACGACAGCAGGTGGGCTTACGTCAGCATCATTGTCCACATGCCTGGACAAGACAGGATCCTGAGTGAGTCGTCCTTCGAGTCAGGCATGGTCGTGCTTTAATAAGCAGAATGGAAGGAGTTTCAAGAGTGCCCGGAGCAATAGTCCGAGTTCCGCTGCAAAACGAGTTTCGCCTTTCAAGGCCGGCCCACTGAGCGCCACCAAGTCTCAAGCTGCGCTCCTCCTTTCACCATTACAACCTGAAGCGCATCATTGAACGAGTTAAGAAACCCTCTTCTGACCTTTCAAAACGTACGAGACTCGGAGGTGATTTCCTTTAGCTACACGACCTTAAAGACATCGTGCATTTCACTCAGTACTCCCCGATCTGGACTATTTTCTGAGGTCCAATGCGAAAGATAGTTTGCTCTCTATTCGGATGTCCTTACCGTTTGAGACGCCGTGCCTGTCTTTGTTGATTTCACACTCTGTAAATCATTTCTCCTCGAGACGATCTCTGACAGCAAATGAGCTCAGCCGTCCCTTTCTTCCTCCGGTGCAGCACTTCGTCGGCCTCAGCTTTCCCACCATCTCCTCTGTCGGGTCGAACGCCGCCGTCATCCACTACGGGCCGCAACGGGACACCTGCGCGGACTTCGACGCTGCCAAAATCTATCTCTGCGACTCGGGAGCTCAGGTATGCGTGCAATGCACAAGGCAGATCCGTCGCATTGGTGGTCCGCCAGGACGGTCCGCCCGTCTATTTCTTATGTTCGGTCAGGCAGATTGGGAGTTCCAGCTTTCGTGTGCAAAAAGACAATGTTTGAACGTAAAGACAGACGCGTGCTCAAGATGTTAGTGCGCCGTAGATGAGCACACTTGTTTTGCAAGGATCAGAAGTGGTACCAGTTGGAACCGACTCCCAATGTTTGCTTGCCTCGCAGCACTGCCAGTCGAAGAGGCAGCCTCAATGCCTCGACTGTAGAAACCCCAAACTCTCATTTGTCCGAGAACCCGACTTTCAGGAGAAGGTCTACACGCAAATCCAGGAAGCTGCTCTATAATGATTGCCATTTTTTCTGCCCCAAGAAACTTGTTTACTTCGATCGTCGACCTGACCACCGTTTGCACCCGCGCTTGGCAGTACCTGGACGGAACCACGGACGTCACCCGGACCTTCCACTTCGGCACGCCGAGCGACCACGAGAAAGAGTGCTTCACACGGGTAAGTCCATCACACTTGTGAATGGTTTATCAAGGCAGTCATGACCAGCTAACGAGAAGTAGGGGAGGAAAGCAGCGTGCCAGCTAATCTTGCCGCTCACGGTTGGCACCATTCGTTGGGTTCAGCTCGTGCCACACGTCTCTCATTGCGATGTTTTGGGTCGGGAACGTGCTGTGGTGTTCTCTTCCGTCTGCTGTCTGGCGGGATTTCTTGCAGATTATCGGTTGTTTCTAGAAGGATGCAGAATCCGCCTCTCTTCGTAGGCATGCCAATCTCTTTCATTGTAGGTCAGTTCTCCAAAAGTCTTGCGCCTCCACAGCCATCCACGCTTGACGCAGACTCGTTGCCGCGCAGGTACTGAAAGGTCACATTGGGCTAGACACGGTCATCTTTCCTAGCGGGACGACGGGTGAGAAACGGTCCCGCTGTTGCCAACAACCGTGTGAGCATTGCAATGCAACGTTCTGGCCATTCCATTTGCACAAAGTCTGATCAATTCAAGAAGATTGAAGCCGCCTTATCGAGGTGCAGATTCCGGATGGCTTGCCTCACAAACCGTCATGTGTGCGCAAGCATGCAATAGTTTGGTCCAGCCAACCTCAATCCTTTCGCTTCCGTTCCTGTTCCGTTCAGATTCCGTTCCGTTCCGTGCAGGGCACATGCTCGACGCCTTGGCCCGGCTTCCCCTTTGGCGCGCGGGTCTCGACTACCGTCACGGGACGGGGCATGGGGTCGGAAGCTTTCTTTTTGTCCATGAAGGTGCGCTCTTATTTACCACTCTGATTTGTCGATGCATACGAAATCCTGCAAAGCTGAAGTCCTGAAAGCCTTCGACGTCGACGTAACAGTCTGACAAGATAACATTCTTCTTTACGAAGCATGGTGTGAGTTGAGCACCAATCTAGACGCCTTTGTTTTGGTCACGGACGGAGCATTGCTTGGGTCGGCCTTATCGTACATGAGAGAGACTCGCTCTGCAGATCGGCATGCAACAGGTTGCAGAAAGAGGGTCGCCCAAACTATTGATTTCAGTGGCCTTCTAATCGCTGCTTCTTCATCCCTCTCTTCCGTCCTGCCAGTTTCAGAGAGGTTTTCTTCTTCACGGCAATCCTGCCACCCCTATCGACTGCGCTCTTATACTGAGAGCATTCTGCAGGTCCGCACTTGATCAGCTTCAAGCCGACGGCCAGCAACGCGGGGATCAAGGCCAACATGACAGTCACAAACGGTACGTCTGCTTTTAACTTGAATCTTCTCCTGCTAGCTTTTCTGTTTTGCGGGGGATTCCAGATGTGCAATCATAGTGGCTCCCAGGTGTCGCGAGCGAAGGGGCTCACTACACCTGCAGCTTCTTGTGACCACACTCAGCCCGTAAAAATCAGCTGAAATCATCACCAGATCTGCCAATCTAATTGTTCCATCGGCCTCTGTACCCAATCCAAAACAAAAGATGTTTCCAAGTCGTTTTGATTCATTTTTGGAAGATAGTTTGAGCTCCCACTTCGCGTCCAGAACTGGTGCTCTCTTCGCCGTTTGACACTGTCCGAGGAAGAGATGCGAGGTGACGCTTCACTGCGTTGCTCTCGACCGGCTACTTTTAGCGGACGTCCATGAGTTTAGAACCTGTTTTTGACTCAAAATCTTTTCTTTGCAGAGCCTGGCTATTACGAGGATGGGGCATTCGGGTGCCGAATCGAAAACGTCCTGGTTGTCAAGGTAGGTTAACAGCCTTAGGACTATCGTCCCGCTCTTTGCATGGCAACTTGCCAAGAATGAAAGGCTCTGACTGCTGATAGCTTTTAGAGGGACACTCTAATTCACTCGGATGGATAAGCTTCGTGCAGTCTGGTTTTGCAGTCGTGAAACCTGGTGGAAATGAGAGATGTATACGCATGAAGCTGGAAAGTCGGGCAGCAAAATCTGAGTAGTACGCAGATACGCACAGCTGGCATCCACAAGTATGTCCGCACCCAATCCGCATCGACTGACCTCCGTCGAGCCGGATGTACTGCTATCAGGTCGATACCTCTGTGAGTGAGCACAAGGCTGGCAAAGGACACGCTGATCTCACGAGATGAAATGCCGATTCTGAAGAGCTGACAGCGGTTGGCTGCGCATCTGCAGGAGGTGAAGCTCGCAAACAACTTCGCAAACAAGGGCTACCTTGGCTTCGAGCCAATCACTCTGGTAAGCCAACGCATGTCAAGCATTTGCACGGTCATAGCAGATGAATTTTCTCTCAGAAACGGATTTTACTTTGAAAAGGGGGAGAGATTGTTTTTGTCGAGGGGGAAGCCCAACTTCTTAGGCAGCTCTGCAAATACTCAGAAATGAGGACGCAAACTTCGGCAGCTTAATCAGCAGCTCGATCCTTCGAGTGCGGTGAAGTGCAAGCAATACTGTCGTAGCTTGTCATAAAGGCCTATGAAGGTGATACTTACTCCCAGATCAGGAGATATGAAGGTATGGAACCAGGCAGTTGGAAAGTGCTGACGTGTCCTTGATGTCTCTGGCCTGCAGGTTCCCCTACAAGCGAAGCTTATCAACACGTCGCTGTTAACTGGGGAGGAGCTCGCTTGGGTTGACGCATATCACGCTGCCTGCCGAGAGAAGCTGTCGCCCCTGCTCACAGGGGCCACCCTCGATTGGCTCGTGGAAGCAACTGCACCCATCAGTCAAGCAGTTTGATCCGTGACGTCCTGGCCGAATCTCGACTGAATGGTAAACCTTGTGTCCTCCGTTAAGGATACTTTCAATCACGAGATCTGACTACCTTGCCCCCCTCTCATCGCATGCATCTGGTGAGTGTGTACGTCATCGACAAGTCAAAGCAGAAATAAAATGGATGCATTCATTCTGCCAGCGGCAATATCTACCATCCAGCTTGTCGAAACTGCTTCGTTAAAATCATCTCCCCATGGCGCATTGGAATGACATGGTGACTCTTCCCATGCATGCATGTTGTACGGGGTCACAAAAGCTGACTGAAGGCTACGACTGACTAGATCGTGTACATGTAGACGCGTCAAACAGCAATCAAATGCAAGCATGCAGTCATTTCGTAGCATATATGCTGAGTCTGCATGCTGAGTTCCTGCACATGCTTGACACAGGCAACGAGCATGCCTCAGATACATGAGATCGCGCCTTTAGCAGACCTGTGCGCGGCCGTGGCCTGATCGTCATCGACTAGTCACTGTAGATTGCAGTCGATCATGCCATGAGACTCGCATGCAAGCCTGCATTTCGAATTATCAGCAGGCCTCAGCAGTGACCTGGCAGCCTGGCCTCGAAGCTAACCCTAGCCTGCCGCGCTCTCTCGGTAGATAAATCTAGATCACCTCATGGCGCACGTAGTGACTGCGAGGACATGATGAGCCGAAAGCAGAATGGACTTCAATCACTGTAAACACTGTAAACAGCCTGTCATGTGAACCATAATCAGCTTCTACTAACGCTACAGGTATACAGGACCTGCCTGAATGTATGATGGTCATTCTTAAGGTGACAGCAAGCCTGTGATTCAAATCGTGGCTTTGCAATTCACAAAGAGATTGATCCTTGAAAAGAGCGAGGCTCATCTGTGCGCTCAAAGGGTCAAACCCATCACCTGTTCGTTTAAACATCATCCCTAAACGGTCTCACCATACGCAAGAACCAGCAGAAGTACGAACTAGTTCAACGGCTGAACGGAATCAAAAGCGTCACAATGATTTTCAGGCAGAGTTCCAATATATAAGTGCTGACAATGTTTGTTCGAAAGAACGAGTTGTTCTTTATGCAGCCGGTTCTTTGTCAGTTTCTATAAATACTTGCTTTCGCTGGTTATTCTGCTTCTTTCAATCTCTCAACGCTCTGGCTCGTAGCTAGCGGCGCAATCTATCTGCTAGACTCTCAAGAAGCAGACACCCCTTGCAGTTGGAAAAAGTACGGTGCGTTGGCGTAGGTTGCTGTTCCAGCCCAGGCTCCTCCTTGCACACTGGATGCGTCCCAGATCGAAGCATACCTGAAATCCAAAAATTGTTGGCCTATTCAGCGACCGAACGAAGACTATGAAGTACCTCTGAAAAGAGATGTGGTAGGACTCACTTCTTCGCGGACTTATGATCTGGTATGAAGATCACACGGAGTACTGACGCGATGGCGAGACTGACAACTAATTGGACAAAATCTCTTCGATCAACTTACAAGTAGCTAGGCTTGGTGGGGAATGGTGAGCTGCCGTCATTGTTCGCAGTGCGCATAAGCTTGCCGTCGATGAACCATCTGCAAAAGAGACTTCTGTGATTGAGTTGAGAATTTTGGGAGAACCAACAGAAGTGACGCATTTCAAGCGGGCAATCAAGCCGTTCTTTCTTTCGCTCATTTTGAGGGCGCAGGGGTAAGGAAACAAGCGTCCAGCGTGACAATTTCTCTATAAAAACCGTACATTCGACATTGTTTTCAAGAGGCGAAGGGCATGGCAGCACCTTTTTAATAGTTCGCTACTCCTTTATGGTACCACTTTTCGACGGACCACTTACTCGATGCTTGAGCTCGTCCACTGAATTGTGTATTTGTGGAAGGCAGATCGGCAGTCAAAACCAAGGGAGATCAATTCCTCACGTCCGCCCTATAGTTCATCCCAAGAGAAGAAAACGTTTCGGCGATGGAGTCTCAGATGCGATCGAACAGGAAGAAATGCATTGCTCATCATGATCGACATGATCTATTTCAAACCAGAACTGTAATGTGCATGGAAGCTGTGGAAAGAGCCGGACTACCATATGATGGAATGGAAAGCTTATCTCTGAAAGTGTCCTTACCTGACCATTCACATAGTAGTTTGTCTGAACAGCCTGAGGATTCTTTCCGAGAAACTCAAAATCAATCTCGTCCTGTATGAAAAGGAGAAAGGATATTGCTGTTATTTGTGAGGTTCAGTAACAAGATATGAGAAAGCAGGCTCGATCAGATATCGACCAGTACAGATATGTGACAAATCCTGGCACGGAAACAAGAAACACCTTGGCTGCACTCCTGCGAGGTATCTTTCAAATCTTTCTGATGCGTGCAGAAAGATCAAATAGCGTATTGCTTGACGTTCTTTTCACCTGGTTGCCGCTTCCCTCGAGAGAGCTTGTGTAAAACGCAGGGACGAATCCACTAATGTCACCTGCAAATCATGCGGAAGTCAACGAGCTCAGATTTGAGACCTGGTTCCAAGACTAGGATATCTGTCCAAGGTTGAGAAAGGGGCGAAAGAATCTCAAAGAAGTGCGTCGAATGATCACTTTTGATCCGACAGGTTGAAGATGAGGTCAAAGGTCATCCGTGCTCACCAGCAGGACATTTGATGTAAGCCGAAAACGTGTCGTAAGCGTACTGCTGTGGTGTCCGAATTCTTGCACCCCCGCTCCTGTCCATTTTGATAGTGACGGTGCTTCCGCTAATTGACACTTGCTGCGGGCCTGCAGGAGGAAACGTGAATCTGTAGACCGTGACCTGAGATAGACGATATAAAACATATTCGATACACGTTATCCAACAGTTGCAAGAAGAGTTCGAAGACTTTAGACCAGATTCGTGGAGACAAGATGAAAACGAAGCAAATGATGAACAATCTTGGAAGAACGTAATAACGTATCAACTTACTGTAGTCGATCGACGAGAGGATCGTTTGAGCCTCTGCAGAATGAACCAGGATGAGAAGAAGAAGAGCCCAGAGGGCGTAGAAGATCGGCAGGAGCTTTCTGGGGAGGATTGCAGTCGCCATCGCTTCTTCGTCAGGAACTCTTTCAGCAGGATTGTAGAAAGGGGTTAGGATGTCTGTAGACGACTTTCCGGAGCGGGTAGAGAGATGGGAAAAACAAGGGTAGAGCACGCAAGAATTCCACATCAGAAATGCTAAAAATGAATGAAGTGATTGTGCAGATGATGTGAAGATGATCCTAAAAATAGTTCGCGCCGTGTTTCCAAATGGAGAGCAAATTGAGGGAGTGGACGGGAAACACTTGGTTAGCTTGGCCAATTATCTTCCTTGCAAGACAGTTTTGCTGCTCAGCAGATACTCAGGCGGAGCAACGTAAGATATTTCAAACCGCAATCTGTCGGAATCATGTCAGAGGATGCTGACACCGTGACGTAAGAGGAGGAGCTTATTGAGGCATATGCCGTCTCGAGGTGCCGCAACACAGCACGGCACAACCCTCGATCATGATTGATGACGTCATCCTGAAACTCTGTTACAAAAAGACCATAACCGCCGCTAAACAACGCATCACGAGAGTTAATCTGCTTAAAGAGGAGACAAGCCTTGCTCTTCTGGAGTCATCTTCTGCGAAGGCGGGGACGTACTCGTATCAACACTAAATTCGTTGAAGAAAAATCAGAAAGGTACAGAAAGGAAGCAGGTAGACTCATTTTACGAGGTATTCGACAGAACGGATTCATGTGTGATTCAATTGAGAAGGAAAAGCTTTTGAAAGAGTGCGGGCAATAATGGCACGCAGAGCAAGCTTTTTCCGTCGGTTACTCAGGTATAAGGCTTTCGTCAGAGTACACTGCTCGCTTCTGGGTCACTAAAGTCTGCACCTGTTTAAGGCCTACAGAAAACCTTAGACGCTGTCGCTCGAATGGGGACACAAATCTAAACTACATGCATCAAGTTCCTCGCTTGAGCCTGGCTCAAATTAGCGCCGGTTGTTAGCTCTAGCTTATCCTTGACCCACAGATCCGAACTTGCATCAGATCCTTCACAATTCCTAGCGCACTGTAGATTTTATTTGCGAACCCAAAGCTGACGGTGCAGCCGCTACATGGACCTCAAAGCTTTTAAGCACAAACCGTACGCACTATATAACTTAGGGAAGTTATATTGTCTTCCTGTTTTTTGCAGGAACACTTATCTGCCTCGGCTAGCTCTGCGCCAGCATCCAAATTGCTCCGGCGCTCGTGGACGCAAGAACATGCAGCAAGGCAGCACACGCACTCATGCATGAAACGCGGCAGTCAGACAAACCGTAAGTCGATACTGCAACTGAGGCACCATGCGCGAGCTGAGCAACCGCAGAGAAACGGGGCTGCCGGAGCTTATATGCATGAGACTCAGCAGCGCGAAGCACTCGGATTCACCAGGCCGTCAATCATTCGAACAGACCGCGGCACTTGTATGTGCAAGCGCATAGCCGCGCGGCCAGGCGTGAGATGTTCGAAGACAAATCAATTGCTGTGATTGGAGCACCATTTGCAGATGTTAACTTGGTAAATTGCGCAAGCTGCAATCACACACGCGTCGCACAGCGGGTTCACTTACTGCAGCCCTTGGCCGTGGACCTCTTTACAACTTCTGTTTTGCAGTGGCTTTAGAATGAGTATCGTATGCTCATATTGGTACCTGTCCAATCACCTTTTGCACTCGCTTTAGATATGAATAGAATATGCTCGTATACCTGTTCAATCGCCGCTTTGTCCTACCACCTACAGATCTTCTCTGAAAAGAGCTCCCTACATTCGCCCCTTGAGAAGGACTCAATGTCCTCGATCGCTTCCACTGCATAGCGAGGTACGCAGTTTAGGCTCCGCTCGACGATTCGCAGCATCCGCTGCTTATACGCCCGCCACTCCTCCGACTCCTTCCCATACCGACACAGCATCAACTCGGCTATCTCCGCCGCATGCTGTATCGTGAACGAGAAGTACAAATTCACGCTCTCCATCGCATCTAGACACGCCAACCCCGCCCTTTCGCACGCCTCCCAATCCCCGACCAACTCGCATACGCGCTCGAACCGCGTGTAGCACGTCATATACGACGCCCGGAGCCAGTTCCTCTCTTCCTCCGTCCGACCCACCTTCTCGATCACCGCCTCGACCGAGTCCAACCTGCTCCGGAAGAACCGGAAGGCTTCCTCCGCGGCCGCGCCCCCCTCCTCCTCCGCCCGACGCAGGACCTCCGTCGCTTCCCGGACCTCCTGCCACGTGGCCGTCGCTGATTCGAGCTCGTCTTTCCGGCTCTCTTCGAACTCGCACCGGGAGCAGCGGCACGAGAAGCGCCACAGCAGCCGGGCATCTCTCTGGCGCTTGACACGTGGCTCGGCGACGGCCATGTAGGGTTGCGTGACCTCGGCGCCTCGGGGGAGGTCCTGGACCGCGAAGACGAAGTGCGCGTCCCCGATGACGAAGTAGGAGGCCGAGGGGAGACAGCTGTGGGTGCACCAAAAAAATCGTTGCTATATTTCAATCTCAAGCGTAGAATCTGTTTCCTTCCTATTTTGGCATGAGAAGCATGGCAGGTTGGTTGACGTCCTTCGAAGTAAGTGGGGCGGGTCGCTGATTACCTGCCCCCTTTGGTGTCAGCTATGGCAAGTTTTTTGCTGCGCGCTTTGGTACAACCTCTAGTGGGGAATAGGAAATGACGTATTTCCGGCCCAGACAGTGCTTCCGGCGGAAGCGTTCGTGCCTGATGATTTGAGAGTCCTCCAAAGTTTACGAGGTCAGCTATCTTCAAGACTGGTCAGCAAAACTGATACCAACTACCGATCTTCGGTGCTGCACTTATCTTGTGTCTGAAAGAACGAGTGAGACAGAAGCTTTCATCGAACGTCTTGCGAACCGTGTGGACAAAACTTTGTTGCTCGCTGTTGCTTTATCGGAATCAAGATGCCTTTCACACTCACAGAGCTTCAGAGATTGCAGTTGGTTAAAAGGCCAGTTTTCGGTGAGTAATAGTTCGAAGGATGGACTTCTGAAGCATGGTCTATAAGAGAATCAGGAGCGATGTCAATCTTCCTTATTCCGCTCAGAACGGACCACATGGCACGGCAGAAGCATCTGGACTCTACTGACAGCTAAGAACTACGACCAGTCTCTTGGAGGTTGATGGCATGCCACGCTCGCCTGTCGCACGACCAAGGTGGTAACTTGAGGAGGCACTCCGCTCGAAAAAGGCTGCCAATGACTCGAACGTGAGACTTCAGCAAGACCCGGCCATCAAGTCTCAATCAAGAATTTAGAACTGTGGTCGACCTCAAACCTTCGTCTTTCCACATGATATGCTGATTGTACAGGAACGCTGTTTCCAATCTGACGGTATTGATCAGCAATCGAATCACAAGATACTTGAGCCCGAAGAAGATCACCTGTGGTTGATGATTCCCGCCAGCGTCCATAGCCCAACCTCGTCCATCTCCGATGGCCCCTCCTCCCCGCTTATGCCCTGCACCGCTTCCGTCGAGAACGCGTTGTACAGCTTCACCCGCTTGATGCGTTCCAAGTCTAGCTCCGTTGACACCGCGCCCTTCCCCTCACTGCCACCCTCAGGGGCCCCGCTCGCTGGTGTCAAGTTGCCTCCAAGCTCTGACTCTTCCGGTTTCGGCCTATAAGCGTTCCGTCGAAAGATATCTATGCTTGGCACCGATAGCTTTCGGTCCGTACCATCGTACATGCTCTCCACCTGCGTCCTAACCCACAGGTCAGCGCAAACCCTCTCCAAAACCATCTGCGCCACCTGCGCATCCTGCGCGCTGGTGTCAACTTCCCTCCCCGCGGCCCGCCCCTCCCTGCTTGACACCGCAACAGCTTTGGCCGCCACGAGCAGCTCCCCCCTTTTGACGTCCCGAGTCACCGTCAAACCGCGGCCTTTTCCCACCAGGTCCGAGATCTCGACCGGGCCTATGTAGTCCGCCATGGGGGTGGGAATGCGCTGCTCGGTGTGAAAACTTTCGAGATCGAACGCCCCCTGGCTCTGCTTCTCGCAGCGCTCGATGTCTTGGAGCGCTTGATCGACTTTGGTGGCAAGGGAGGGTTTTGGAGAAGAGGCCCTGGCGGAGGCCAGGTGGGAGCGCGCCTCAGCGAAGCGCTCTAGGTGGAGGCAGGTGGTGCCGGCCCGGAACAGCGCCTCTGGGTTTGCAGGGTCGAGGTCTAGCGCAATTGAAATGGCCGCCAGAGCAGAATCTGCGCAAGTGAGGGGGATTAAAGTCAGTTGAACGGGATTGTCAGTCAAGGCCACTCGTTCTATTCTGCAGGTAGGAAAGAAAAGGCTCACCTTTCTGCAAAAGGCTCGAGAGGGGACGGCCTTTCTGAACTTCGGGCGTCTTTATGGGTCCTGACAGTGATGGCAACATGGGCAAGCTCTCTTTGAAAGAATGTTCAAATGATCTTCAATCAAATCATATGGATGCAATGTGATCGAATGAAACACGAGGGGCAATAGGAGAGGTTTGAACAGAAGAACGGCACCGAGATAGAGACCAGACCACACACCAGGTTCGTAACATGGCCCAACATTTGTCAATGCAAAAGTTCGGTATATCCACACCAATGTTGGCCGTATCACTCGTTCGTTTCCTAGCTCAGTGATCAGCCCTGGCAACTGCTGCACCCACCAATTCTAACCTCAAAATCATGATCTCACCGTAACTAGTCTGAGCACACAACGCCTCCGCCAGCCCCAGCAGCGCCGTCACTTTGTCCCCCCGCTCTGCTCCCCGGCCAACGCACTCGCCAAAGTACTCTGCTGCGCTTTTGGCACTTCCAAGTTCCAACAGTTTCCACCCCCTCCTCAGAAGCGCCTCTACAGAAAGCTCCTCCAAGCTCTCTAGCCCCTCTGGTTTCCTTAACCCCTGGTTTAACCCCTGGCTAACCTTGTTGGCTTTCCCCGTTTTGCCTGCCCCATTGGGCTTACTCTTCTTCTTCTTTAGCTTTGTCTTCTTCTGCGGCAACGATTCCCCAGAGGCTGCCGCCCAGATCTCCGCAACGTTCTTCTTCTTCTTTCTTCTCAGAGGGCCCCTTGGTGCCCCATTTTCCTCCCAGCTTTCTGCCGACACTTCAACCTCTTCTAAGCTGGGGACATTATCCACCCCTTCCGTTTCAGCCAGAACACTCAAACCCGCATCAGATTCAGAGGCCAATCCTGCGGATGCACCGGTCAGACTTGCAGCTCTGCAGATTCCCAACGGTACTGCCCGACCAAACGCTGGCAACGAATGGTCTATACCAGCACGCCTGAACCCAGAAATCAATGGCGCCTGGTAGCCAAGGTCAGTCTTCTCTCCAACAAATCTCACTTTTCTACCCCCTATGCAATCTCCCAAGTGACTGCGGACCGACTTTTGCAAGTAATTGTTAGTACCCCCTGTCCGGTTGGTTGCCGACTTCAGCGGATTCCTTATTTGGCAGCTAGCAACGTAGTTGCTGTGACTCAAGAAGCCTTTGGAAAGGCTTTGCGTGCATCCCTTGAGGCTTGTGTTTGTTGAGGAAAACTGAGGTTTGAGTAACGTGTGGCAAGAATCTGATGGCCTCAGAAGCTTCACCGCCATGGCGTAGCGTCTGAACGAAAACCAGAGAAGCAATTGTCACGAACGAGGGCCCCTCACGACCTCTGCAGGGCTAAGGACAAATGCCTCCTGCAAACGACGTCCATTGGCATTGGCATTGTGTAAGCTTTCCAAAACGATGACAAATGCCAACGCAATTGCTGGACCGCTCTCTCGATCAGACTAACAATACTAGTCTATAGCCTTGGTGAGCGTCCGACGGCAAGGCTCGTACCACCCAAAACTATATTTCACCCAACTGATGCATGATCTGTGTAGCCGTTGCGAAGAACGGCTTCAACGTGGTTTCTTTGCCGTCAGTGTATTCGGGGAATCCTAAGTACCCTACATTGAAGAACCGTCACTTTGAGACAACGGCGTCGGGCCGCTTGTTGAGTTCAATGGAGTATACGCCGGCGCGAGGTTGGTGCCAGTGGCAGGAGCAGAAAAGATATTCAGGATTGAACTTTGCATTTGACAAGCTCCGTTTTCCCTTTCCCTGTCCTGCACCTCTCCTGCAGCTTTCTGCTTTCCAAGCTTTGAGATTGAATAGCGCTGCGCTGAATTGGGTGCAACACCAGCTAGACAAGACTTTGTAGCTGGACCAGGTGGCAGCTTCAAGCATGATCTTGAAAGATTGAGCTGCATTCCAGCTCCTAACCAAAATTCCAGCGGCTCCTTTGGTGCTATGAAGCGCGGCGCTGTGTCCTGGGCAAAGTCCATTCCGCAAGCTGCCGCATATCATCTTCTGTTCGATGCAAACTCGTAGCAAATACCTGCAAATGGCCGATATGCCAAAAACAGGTGCAAAGCCTGTGAAAATGAGCCTCCAGGTGAACAAGTTTGAGATCAGTGTGGGCGACAGGGGACCCAATCCTTTTGAGCGTAAGCGGCAGTTCTTGGTTGAACAGAACTATGTGCTGCAATATGAGATTCGTGTAAAGGGCACTTTCAGAAATGGAGAGCAATATTCTGTAGATCTCTTTCCAGCTTCTCATACAGATGCTCATACGATGCCCATTAAGGGAGACATCCTTCTCGGCTCAATACATATTGTAGCACAGACCAGTGCCATTGACCTGACTTTTAGCATGAGCAGCGATCATCTGGCCGCCTGCGATGGTCTTGAAGACTTCACTACACAGATGGACGGCACTGTGATTCGTCTCTGGATAGATGACGAGGTCCCTTTTGTTGAGAAATATGTCACCATCTCAGAAGTCGGACTTATTCTGAAGAGGAGATTGGAAACAAGAGTAAGAAAGCGTGGTCGACATGAGTTGGACATAGATGGAATGAAAGTAGAAACAAGATTGAATATTCAATTTGCCATGCATTTGCGGCGATCTTTCTGTGAAACTGAAGGGATTCCTCCGAAAATCCCAAAAAGGCAGCAAAGCCACCTCGTCGACGCTTTAGTTGACCAAAGTGGAGATGTTCAACTTCTTGGCCAGGTAAGTTCGCCATGCTTCAGTGTTTGACTTGATCGAGCCAGCATACGATCGTCCTGGTTTCGAAGCACCGTTGACATTGCATCCTGTTCTAATGTTCCATGTTGATGATGGTGAGCATTCAAGGACTCCAATAACTAGGCCCACTTGTCTTGAAATTTCAGTCCATACGAACGAGTTTATCTCTTGACGGATTTTTTGCCAGTATTCACAATCAATGAGGCCATGGTGACATTCTTGGAATATTGTTCTTGCAGGATGGATCAGTCCACACAGCTCATTCGTCAATCCTAGTTGAGTCGGCTCCCTACTTTCAGGCTTTGCTGAGCAAGAATTGGTCTGGCGAAAACACAAAAGACCTGTCCCTGCCTGTCCCTGCCACTGGAGAAACCATTAAAACCTTTTTGAAAGGCTTGTATGGGGTCCCAATCGGTTTGCAGGCACAGGTTGGGAAGAACTTTCCACAACTCGAGGTATGTAACCCATGGGCCTACGGATTGGTATTTTGATCAAGGTGACTGATGCAATGGAGACTGATTTTTGTGAGCTGACACATGCAAGCCTTATTTGAGCTCGTTTTCGATGGGCAAACTTCTTTTGGTTATGACTCTACTCCAAGATAGCTGAGAGCTGCTTAGCGCGCGCTGGCCCCTCATATGTAGCTGGGAACCAATCTCACTAAGCAAGTGAGAAGAGCTGCTGTTTAACCAAGTTCGAACATCATTGGCAACAGCTTCATATCCTGCATCTGATCAGGTCTACTTGGACGAAAGTTATGGCGAGCACTTAATACTTTTGCATCCTCTATTTTGTGACAGGACGTTTACCGCCTAGCAGATGCTTGTGGGGCTCGTCAAATCTGCCTTCAGATTGTTCACTGCCTGGAAGTCTCGGAGGCAAATGTTTCCTGGTGGATTGACTGGTTGAAGGAGGAGCATGCGCCTGATGAGTATGAGGCCGTGAAGAAGAAAGTCTGCAGCTTCATGAAAAGTAGCTTCGCGCCCGCTGATCTCTGGGACTTCTTTGAGCCCGACACAATGCAAGCACTCTGGGAAGTTCGGCAAGGAGATTCTAGAGCTCAGAGGGCACTAGAGAAAAGTCGTGGCAAGACCAAGGTTGCTCAATAGATTGGTAGTTTTCTTATCACAAAGTCACCTCGAAGCTCAGGCCCCGGATGCTATTCTGAAACCAGACCGTTTGTACTACTTGCTAGGGCTTGCCAGGATTCACAAAAGCCAGTTCGTTTGACAGATTTCGGGCCATGGATGATTGCTCCTGTGATTGGCAACTTGGACATGCGATCTGATTTATAGTCCAGTGAGCTTGAAGTACATATCTGAATTACTTGATGGTACAAGCTAGCCGCCCATCATTGCCCATATACATAAGTTTTGTTTCCGAACTTCGAATATGTACGAATGGTTTCAATGGCTTAAGCATGATCATCTAGCATGAGTTGTCAGCTGCGCTTTTAAACATGACGGAATTCAATGACTTGCATCGAACTCCTTCGCTCGATCGATCCGATTATGCGACGGTGATCATCTACCACGATCATCTACCATGACATCTACCATGATCCGAGCTCGATCAAAGATTGCATAAGCTGTATGCTACTGAGTGCCAGAGTGCACTATAAGGGACTCGTTCTTGGCAAACCAACTTGGTTCTGCTCTCAGTTACTCGTGCACTTGCTTGCACAAGCTATGATGATTCGACGAGCGCGGCGCTCAATTCAGTGTCAGCTCGTTATCGTTGGAGTCTTGGAGAGTGACAGACATCACGGTAGACAGGCTTGCTCGAGACGAGTAAACTCATGGAAGTCACCTTCAAGGTACTTGTACGTAGTAGCCAACCTGCTTTCACTTCCTGGATCCCCCTCAATCTGACTTGGTGCTTGTAAGACCAACTCTTGGCGGCGTGCGACCCTCAGATGCTAATACGGAAGTTGCTGCAACAAAAACGAGCAAGTCAGAGCGACATGATTGCTTTGTCAAGTCCGCCGACCAACTCTTAAGTATCATGGAGGGCCAAAGATTAAGGCCGTGCTTCGTGAAGCGCCGATACATCGTTCGCTCTATTTATTAGGCAGCGGATAGCAAAGCCGATGCAGATTTCCTAACATGTTCCCCGATCGGTCCCGAGCTGCATAGAATGAATCTTATCTACGAAAACAGTGTTGCCAAGGAAACCTCAGCTGTGTTAGGAGCAAGTCTTCCTGCTCACCTTATGAAGTCTGGCATTCGTGACAACACACCCCGGAAGTCGTGGTAGCTGACGCCCCAGTGGTACGGGTCGATCTCGCTAGAAACCTACAGCAACCGGTTGTCAAGAGGTCGAACTTCGATTGTGCACAGCTTGAAGAGTGCTCCTCGGACTTGGCACTGACTGGGCGTGCAGTATGTTGTTAGTATGAGAAGAAAAATATTAAACTGAGGAAGGGCCTACTGGCATGCTCCAAAGTCCGTCCAGTCTTCCGGCTCTTCAACACATGCTTCTGGTCCTGATGTTCACAAGTATTCGACTTACAGTGACGCCCACCAAATTTAACTTTGTATTCAGAGCTGCCTTTGATGCTGACCTCGTGCTCGATTTGAACGCGCCAATAGCAGAAATGGTGCATAGTCCCTTACCCGTTGGACGATGTTGGACAGCTCCTCGTCGCTAAGGTGCGACGACGACTGCTCCAAAGCGTAGCCCTGGCGGTTGTAATTCCCGTTGCACATCAAGTCCAGGCCCTTCTTGATGTCAGCTGTGCACGAATGGAGAGCTGATCAAAATAAGACGCCCTGTAGCTGCTTCTACTGACATGAGGATCTGGAGCTGACGTTTTTGAAACAGTGCAATAAAGACACCGGCAATCCACCGTCTCTTCTGACTGTTCTGAGCCAGGCTGCTTTTTATGCAAGCTGGTTTTTGCCGTTGATACTGCTCTAAGGGCGTCCTCACTGTACCTCAGAGCAGGCAGCATTTATGCTGAAAGGAAGACCTGTCCTTTGATCCTCGATCAGTCTCCCCGACTAGCCAAGGTCGCGGCCTTGTCCGTGTGATGGGGCAGAGCTCATCCAGCTCACCTGGTCCGATGACATCGTCGCCGTCGAAATCCCAGATTGCAAACGCCCAAATCATCTTGATCTCCGGGTCCGTCCGGTGGCTGAAGACTGCCATCATGTTGAGGAACTTCTCAAAAGTCAGGTCTCCTGAGCCATCCTCTGCACCAAATTCCGAACGCTTTGGTCAAAGTTCCTTCGCGAAAATGTGGAACCGTAGGAAAGTTGTCGACCCCCATTACCAAATATACTTCTTTCTTACCTTCTTTTGGATTCTCATTCTTGCAGGTGATGGCTGAGCATACACAATGAGAGCATTTGAGCCTGCATTCAGCTCTATAGACCCCAGATTGGCAAAGAACTTTAGAACGTTCTAAGTGTAGTCAATAGATGCAGAACCCACCACTGAAGAGCTCGCATATTCGTGGTGCAAAGGGGTTTGCCCGCATCTCCTCGATGTTCATCACCTCCTTTGCCCTTAGGCTGTGCAGGCCCTCGGCACTCAGGGCTTGAAACTTGGTATGCAGCTTCAGAATCTCCTTCCGCGTAAAGGGAGTCCTAGGAGAGATTTCAGGACAGGCGATGTGCTGAGGTCCACTTGGTAGAAGCATTCAACTGGAAAAGTCCTTCAACAAAAAATATATACGCGTGCAGAACGAACGATTGTTCGTCACTGCCAGAAGCACCAGAGTCGTGCATCCTAAAATTGCTCTTTCTCTTGCCAATGCCAAAGCTGTGACCCAGATGTGTGTCAGCTCAAAGGATATTGACGCTTAGGCTATAGTGGACTCTAAACATGCTTTTTGCTCCATCTGACAGCTGCAGGCTTCAATCAGGGTAATTGCTCAGGGAAGGTAGTAGATTTTGATAGGTTCTCAAAAGCAGCCGCAGCATTGAAATCAGCTCACCTTTGCACAAAGTCGTTGATCTCTTCTGCCGCTAGCTTGAAGACAGCCTTCTTACTTGGACTGGACGGCATCTCTACGTTTAGACAAGCTCAGCTTCTACAATCTCCTGATCAGTCAAGGCTACCACATCTTTGCTTAAACTGCCACAGCTGGCGAGTACACTTTCTACCTTCAGAAAAGTTCTCAAGTGACAAGGCCAGAAATAAAGTGCAAGGGTATGCATGCTACCTGTACAGCCCTATCAGCAATAGCGATGGCATGTAAACCTCATGTTGATCCATTGATCTCGTGTCAATAAACTGTGCGCACGCAAGTATCTTAATCTGTGACAATAGCGGCCCCAAAGCTCGGCCTGGCTTGGACCTCGCAATGAAAGCTCTACTAAGCACCTTAGGGCGCCCAAAGCATTAGAATTAGTATCAACTGTATGCTACGTGCGACGCAGAAAATAATTACAAGCGCTTGAAGAGTTGCGCCCCGCCACCGCCCTTGCCAGCTCTGCAGGTGGCAGCTGTCTGCGCGTCGTTGCATGTGCCCGCAGCTGTCCTTGTGTTAGAATCGCTCTGCTGAATGGCCTTCTTGAAGATGAGAGTTCATGAATCATGTACAATCGAATTTCGAAAAGCGAGCCAATTTTGATCTCTGTTGATCAATTCTGGATAAATGATAAACGTTTTCCCAAGAGCATTCTGCGCGCGCAGTCTGGCCCAACCAATCAGCGGCCGTTCATTTTGGGTTATCGGACGGGTTCCTAAGAGGTCAGCGTAACCAGACGGAAACCCATAGGCTCTGGATAAAACGGCTGCTGCCACAAATTGTGTGTCCAAGTCTTCTTGTCGTTGAGCACAAGTTCCGCAGCTAGAGCCTCAGGAGGGTCTCGCTTCGCTTGGCGGAGGGAGCGTTCAGCATATCGCACATGGCGCTGCTGCCTTGGAAGAAGTGGATAGGCATTGACAGCATCGTGGACATAAGTCAGGAGGATGATGACGAAAGGCGCAGGCCGTTCGCTTCCGCTTCTTTCTCTGCAGACGGCACTCCGCGCGTCGTCGATGAAGAGGCGCTAGCGGCAGCAAGAGCTGCAAACGAGGGTTACGCTGTTCCTGTGCATGTATTGGCGAGCCGCGCACACCCTAAAAGGCAGCCGGTGGTGGTTATCAGCAGCTACCTAAAGCCGTCAGAGCGGCTGATAGAAGCGAGGACAGGAAAGAGAAAGCCCAGAAAAGGCTCGATGACGTCAGCATTGCCTGCTGTGGCTGCGGTGGGGCTGGCAGGGTTTGCTGGCAGGAAGTTGCTGAAGAAGCTGAGGGCAAACAGGGAAGAGCCGCTATGGGCGTTGAGAGGTCTAGAACAAAAGGTGCCCGCCACTGCCCCTGTTGAAGAAGCTTGCATCCAATGTCTTTCAGAGAGCAGAGGGGTTAGTATAATGTTTCACCGTTACCAAGATGGGGTCACCATTCACAATCTTGCGACGGGAGTAGATGCGTACTAGTCGACACCCTGACTTGGTCGTACACTTTGTCATTTTTTTCGAATGTCTAGAGTTGTCAGGACCGTGGTTGTCTGTGCTCTACATGCTCGGATCCTTCTCATTGGGTCCGAATGGTGGATTGAAGGTATTCTAAATAATTGTGGTCAATCTTTGAGGCACCTGTGGACTATTCTTGGGGTATGCCTGGCCGTGGTCGCATCACATCATAGTAACGCTGTGGCCTTCTAGGCTTCAGTAATGTCTTTGTCTCTGGAAATTGTTTATCAGGTGACAGCTTGTCACTTTGCCGAGAAGGTCTTTGAAAGCAATCTGGAATCTATATATAAGCCCACCCTGCTTTCCAAGAAGCCCTCTTGAATGATTTCACCCATGAAGTTCTGTTTTCGCTCTGATGGAACCTAGCCTTTTTTGGGTTCCGAACACCTGCCCCTCCTGACATAGGAGCTTCTTCTTTTGGCACCCCTTTCCAAATGCCTACCTCACCTTCAAGCAATCCCTTCTTTCCGGTCCCCTTGGTAGAAGAAATTGTTTTTTTTTGGCACTCCTTCATATCATGGGGACTCCAACCTCCTACAACTCCTGGCGAAGAACATTCTTCTCCTCTGTCATCACTTCACAGTGCCCATCTCTCCTCCAAGTAACTCAATGTCTCAATCCTCTTGGCAACAGAATCTTGAGTCGTATGGGGACTCCAACCTCCTTCGCCTCCTGCCCGAAGAAGTCCTCCTGTCCGTCACCAGCCGCCTCGGCATCGCCGACCGCCTCCGCCTTGCCAGCACCTGCCGCAAGCTGTACCACATCAGCACGCTCCCGTCCGCATGGGCGTCCGTCGACCTGTCCGGAAGCGGCCCCGCCGTCGCCCGGATCTCGGACAAAGAGCTCTGGCGTCTAGTCAGGCGGTGCTGCGGAGGCGACGACGTCAGCAGGGGCGGTGCTGATGTCGGCCGGGAGAGAGATGACGTCGGCAGGGAGCCACCGCCCTTGAAGGGGCGCATCTGGCGTGATGAGGTGCTGAGGGAAGAGACGGTTGTTGCTCCACCGGGGAATGCAACCGGGGGGGCTGCGCAAGCAGGGGCCGGGCCCCCCGGGGGGATCATCCTGGCGTCGGTTAACCAGCTACGAACCCAACAGGGTCAGGAGCAAGCCCCAACGGTTTCAGCTGCCCCCCCCACGGGTGCGGTGGTCGATTCTACGTGGGGTTATGCGGGGGGAGTGGAAGAGAACAAGTCCCCGCTTGGAAGAGGGGACCCGCTTTCGATGTCAATTCCTCTTCGGTATTTGGACATCTCAGGTTGCAGTCAGATCTCGCGGGAGTGCCTAACGTCAATCATCGCGCATTCTGCGAGCAGTTTGCGGCAGGTTCGGGCGTCGGGGGCGTGTTTTCTGGACCGGAGGGGCGTGGATTTGATTGTGCAGTATGGGATCCAAGCGGAGGTGGATGTGGAACTGACGGCGCCGAACAAGGTGGAGTGGCGCATGCTGCTGATGAACCTGAGGGGAGAACGGGACCAGGGCCTTATCATTAAGCGGCTCCTACTGAAAGGTTCGATTTGTTTCTCGCCCTTGCGACCTCCTTTCCGACCATACTCCGTCTGTCTCGTGTGCGGACCGTTTTCTGACCCTCCTGTTGCTTTTCTGGAAACGCCCGGTGGCACACTGTGTTCTTGGGCGGCAGGTCCTTTTCAGGTGTCTGTCTTTCTCCAACATGCGCCTCGCAGAACTCGCTTGCCCGGACTACACCCAATTGCAATCGGCCTTTGCTTCCGTCTTTTTCGCACCTGCTTTTTCTGCCACTCCACCCTCGTCGTCCTCCCCGCAGACGCTCTCTGGCGCGCATTGACTCTCGCACCGCCAAGGTCTTTTTCAAGTGTCCGTTTTTCGCACCATACACCTCGCGAAGCATTGCACCTCGACGGGAGTTGATTAGCGTCAGCCTTTTTTGCGGCTCTTCTGTGCCTCACTTTCTCATACCGCACCATCCTTCAGTTCGTTGCAGATGCTCCGCTGGCTCTCATCGACTCCCGGTCCGGGCAAAGCCTTTTCAAACGTCCTTTTCGCCACCATGCGCATCGCCGGAACGCGCGGTAGCACTCCCCATCTCGTGCCTCTCTCTTCTCACACCCCACCCTCACTACCCCTTTGCAGATGCTCCGCTGGCTCGCATTGACTCCCGCGCCGGCAAAGTCCTCTTCCAGATGTCCATTTTGCACAACATGCGCCTCACCGAACTCCACCTCGACCATTGCGTTCTGCGCCCGTCGGACGCGGTCACTGTGCTGGAAGCGGTTCAGCACAACGTGGGCTTGCACACCCTACGCATTAGCAGTGAGTTTTCTTCTCGTCTTTCATCGCCTGGTGCTTGTTTGACCGAGCTTTCGGCTTGTTTCCTTGGTCTGAACTCCGAGGGAAAGATTCAGTCGCGTTGGTTAGCGGCAGTCAGCTGACGGAGGTCACCTTGCTTTGCTGAGAAGCGTTGACTCGCTCGACTTCTCGAACGACGGTAGGGGGCAGTCGAAAGGCGAAGACCCGCTGGCAGTGACATGTATATCGACGCCTAGAAGCCCAAAATTCTGGAGTGTATTTCATAGTGAGTACACTGACGTGCGAAAGGAGCAGGACTGCGACATGCGTTAGCGGCGAGCGGGATGATTTTAATAATTGACTTTGTCAACTTTCGTTACGCATCAGCGGAGATTTTTTTGGAGGATGTCGCAGAGGAGTGCGCCCAATGTGGAAAAAGTACGACGAGATGCTCCAAACCCTGCATAATAGCAGTGGGCCTTACGTCATCTTCATAAACTCAAAAACTGGGATTCTACTCCGAAGTTGCTCTCTTGCATTTGACGGGCTCAAAGGTGCGGAGAAAGTTGGTTCGAGAGTGCCGATAATAGCTGGACCAAAGGAAACCGTTTGGATGACAACAAAAACTTGTTCCTGTGGCGCGCAGAAGCCCCGGAGGGCATCTTCGAACACGTACAGCCCGTGCGCGCCGCCTTGACGGCGATGTTGCAGGACAATTTCACCCTGCGGAGCTTGATCATTGAAGGTGAACTCCTTTCTTCCTACTGATTTCAGCAGGCAGCAATCTCCAAAACGTTTGAGGTAGTCAGCGGTGGGAAGAGGACTGTGTGCTGCGTGAGGCGTGGCGCTGCGTAAGTTGTGGCCTCTGTTCCGTTTTGCTAAGTCCCTTGCTGCAGCTGAAGCTTTTTGAGAAATTCTAAAGGGCTTCGGTGCATCATTGCCAGATCAGAAGCTTGTGTCCCGAAGCAGGAGTCGTTTTATAATCAAAATTGCCTTCATCGCCGATTCCATTCGAGCGGCTGGTATGTGACTTGACCCTGAAAGTTACTTGGAAGATACTTGAAAGCACCGACATATTTGTGCGTTCTATCAATAAAGTGTTTGACATGACATGGGATCCGTACTTTATGTTCGGAGGTTGATGCCACGGTGTTGCTTGCAGATACTCGAGTAGACGAAGACTGCGTTGACGGAATCGTTCTTGGCGCCAGTGCCAATGGCGCGCTGACGAGCTTGGGGCTCAGTAGTAAGTTTGCGTCCCTTTGGTGCATTTCTTTTTGCGTTCTGCTGCGATTGGACGCTTTTGCTTGAGCCGAATGTTCAAATGCGCCCAGCTTTTGGATCTGGTTGAGCATTCGAGCTTGAAGGCTGGAAACTTTTGGAAGAATAATGAGCGGTGCAGGTGAGCTAACGTCTTTAACTCGCTTGGACAGCGTTTTCCCCGAGCGCTTGCTTCAATTGACCAAAAGACAACCTGGTTTGAGGACCAAGCGGTCATTGATTCCATTGATTTGAACGCGGACCAAGCACCGTACAAGCGATCTGATTTGCCGATGGCAAACAGACCAGTATCCTCTCAAATGTGTACTTATCTTGGGATTCTTTGCAAGTTTGACTGCGTTTGCGCGGGGATACTGTGCGCGTGCCTTTCCTTCACCGAAAATCCTTCTCTAATGTCCCTGCATCTTGTTCGACGCAGGAATAAAAGTCGCTGCCTTTGAGAAGGTGTACGCATCGTTGGGTCCAGGGAACGAACTTGGTTCGTTGAAAGAGCTGCGGCTGACAGGTAGGTCGTTCGTCTTTCGGGTTTCCGCTTTGCTTTTCTTTTGTCAGACAGAACCTGAGGATTCCAGCCCACTTTCAAAGGTGTTTGCTCTTCCAGGCCAAACTGCTCTGACGTCTTGTCCTCACACTTTGCCAGCTTTGCTATCCTACATCAGCCGAGGCCTTCTCATCGAATGCTCTTCCAGTACCACCCCATTCTAGCACATGCCTCTTGAGGCCTTTCCGCCTTTGGCATCGTGGTTGACGGACGAGGCGTTCCACCGCCGTATCCGCAGGGGGTTTCAATCCAAGAGCGAGTCCTCAACCAACAAGTCACTGTCTGCTGTTGTCCGGAAGTGGACTCGGGCGGATGGCTGAGCGAGTTGCTGGCAAATCGAGTGGCGTGCCAAAGCACCCCTTCTCAGATCAAGTCCTGTGAGATTGTCTGAATGATCTTGCCGCCGATTTTCGGATGCAGGCAGCAAGCTCCCCTGCCGGACTCTGTTGCAGCACACGCCGCTCTTCCAAAACTCCAGTCGAGGGATCCGACACTTAGAACTAGACGGTAAGAGCTTTGTCGCCGAGGTCCGTTCTTCTTCTTTTCTGCTTGAACGATTCTAACCTTTGTTTGCTCCGAAGGTAGACAGCTCAGAGCGCCCAGAAGTGGTTTACAGCAAAGCGACACAATGTGGTTACTGTACCCCGCTGATATTGTAGGCTCGCCGACACCGCTCTGAACTCGCCGGTGCTAAATTCAGAGGTTCAGATCCTCGCAATTCGAGTCAAGCAAGTGCTCCACTCTTCAGGATAACAGCGGGACCTTGAACTGAAAGCACTAGAAGCACCTCTAGGGCACAAGGGTAAAGTCAGGGCGCAAGTCGCTTCCCTTCGCCGTGTGCGATTTTACTGTCCTACTCAAGTTCCTTGACCTCGTGAATTGCAGTGAACACCTCCTGTAACGGTCAGTGCGTCGCTGCCCTGAGCAAGTTGCTCGACCGCAACGGGAAGCTGCACCACCTTCGGCTAACAGGTGACCACCATGTTCCAAGTTTGATTCGACGAAGTTGATGTATTCGTGTAGGTCGCCGAAGAGCCTGACTGGCAGAAGACAATCTCGCCTCTGGGGGCAGCTTTTGCTGCTCTTGCTAGTCAACAGCTGTATCGATTGAAAGATCTTCTGCTTTGAAACCGCTCGCTGAGCCTGCGATTCTTGTACAAGTCAAAGCACGACCTCTAGTGATATCAGCAATTTCACTTTGGATATATCGATGTGCATCGTCTGTTGCACTTATCCACCAAGCTTTTCAAGAATCGGGTTCCAAACGATTCTTTGAAACAGTCTGCAACTCATAGCTGCCGACGCCGAGGTGGCCGTTCACGAAACAAGTCTCGTCTACATCCAACTGACAAAGCTGCTCTCCTTCAATGCAGTACACTATGAGGAGATGACCCGCGGCTCGGCGGCTGCGCTGATGCGGCTCATGAAACGGCACGGCCAGCGGGTCGCCGTTCAAACGCCGGCGGCCCAGGGGTACAAACCGGTGGGCATCCGGGACCTGCAGTTGGCGACCCTGGACAGGGTGTACAAAGACAGTGAGTCGCCGTTTTCCGCAATCTGCCCAATGCTCGAATGATTATCATGCGAAGATAGTCCTCAAGTAGCTGAGACAAGGGATCTGTGACCAAATCCTCTGAACAATCGAAACGATGTCAAGCACCGGTTTGGGCATAATTCGTAGTCTATTATACGGCCTTTGAGCCGTCGAGACTGCAGAAAGTTGCCACGTTAAGCTGCAGCGGGATTGCGTGCAACTCGAAGTGCTGACCAGCGAAGGTAGAAGTGGCATCACTCGTTTCTGTTCCTCCCCGCATGTTCGTTGAGCAGTCGCTTATGAGGCGCTCTGTTTTCCCCTGCAGGTCGACCACGCCTCCTGTTCGCACTCTTCGCGCTTGCCTGTGCAAAGCTGACCTTTGCGGCAGCCTAGACTGATAGAGATCCGCGAGGCTGGGCGATTGCAATTTAGATTGTCAGGGGACAGACATCCGCACGTTTACGCAATCATCATGAAGTTCGCCCATCATGGTCTATAACGCACGGTCCGGAAAGGCTTTGCTTTTGCACACAACAAATGCATCGCCTTGGCATGCGTGTAATTCTAGCATGGTAAGTTCGGCCAGTAATTCAAGCTGACGCAACATGTTTATACTGGATGTCCACTGAGTGAGAGGGTAAAATGATGTTCCAAATATAACGTACTCCGTTGTCGGACGTGGACGAGATAGTTATATTTATATTCGATGATTGGAGCAGTCCGCTTATACGATATCAAGCATGTTCCATTGAGCAAGTGATTGCGGACTGCTTTGCAAGTTGTCTCTTGAGCCGCGCATAACGCGTGTGCACGGTCCATCAAAGCCGATCACAAAAATTTGCAAGGCGCCCGCATTAAACATCCGAAGTTTAGGCTTGTGTCAGATGCTCTCTGTGCAAAAAGAAGCGCGCGAGCTTCCGACCTTTTGGCGCGAGCTCAGGACTCTGCTAGCATGCCTGCCATGCACCATCCTCAAACTTAAGCACGACGGTTGATGGCAGCCGTCAATCAAACATCTTTGACGATCTATATGCACGCCATGCTTGCCAACTCCCCTTAGAAGCGGCCTAGGTGAGGGGACCGCGTGAGTCCTGAATCTGAGTTTGCTCTCGAATTCAAAATCCCGTAGTGCTGACCAGAGGTGTCTCAATATCAAAGAGGCACATGAGGAGCTAGCAGCCATCGCCTATAAATGGGCCTAAAATCTGCCTAAGATCAGTGACAATAGTGCGGACCGAGTTAAATGATACCTCCTTTCGAACGAATCCTCTGCGGCCACACGGCCGGATGTTGTGACCAGGAATTCAACTTCTCACCAACTTGATTGCATGAATGCAGCTGACGCGTTAGAGCAGGAGCCCAAGGGCCGGGAGGAATGGAACGACCTGCGCAAAGGGCTGGCCGAGAAGCTAGCACTGCCGGTATCTTTCAAATTCCCATGTGATTCTTGTTGAATACTGAGAGTGATGCTTTTCTTAACATTCGCGGCCGCGACCAGTCGGTCAAGTCCAAGGCAAATGACTCGCGTTCTGCTTAAACCCGGCCAAACCCAGGCCAAACCCAGCCAAACCCCCTTGAAGCGCGGCGGCGCCAGCCCGCGCTCAAAGGGCCCACGCTGATTGAGCCGCGCTTCTAGCAAGTGGCGCTCTCCCATTGGTTCGTTCAGCTCCGACAATTCAGGGACCGCCAGCCGGCCCCTTTTCACGTGACGCGCCAGCTGTTGGCTCTCGGATCATTGACCTATCATTGACAGATGGACTCTTGCAGAGAGGAGCATTTGCTCTGCAGTATCTAGACTGTATCGACCTTGAACTTCTTGTGGATGCCACTGATGTTGATATTGTCTAAAAGTTTTTTCAAATGCGGGAGCTTCTGCAATTCTGATCAATTCGCATTTCCTGATCAGAGAGAAACACAGTTCAGCAGCCGCGCTTCTCTTTATCAGCATCAAAGCAACTACTCCCCGCAGCTAGCAGCCTGAGGCGATGGCTACCACGCCAACGACGGACCCCATGGCAACCAGCACAAGCCCTCCGAAACATGGAATCAAGGTGAGACATTCTGATGAGTAACGGCTATCTCTTGAATTGTAAGGATCAGCTCATGTTGCTCCTCTTCAGATGACAACTCAGATTGTCAATTGCCTTTCGATAGCTTCACAGTGCTGATCAGGAAGTGATCAGGTCAGGTCACAAGTAATGGTCTGAAATCCTTCAGTTCATATCGAAGAGGTGAACAAAGACATTGAACCTTGGAACTGAAAAAAAAGAGTTTCATTGATGGCTTCAACATGTGATGGCAAACTGAGAATTGCGTGATCAGGCTCGCACTATGAAAGAAAATCAATCATTGGCAGCTTAAGCGGGATAGATGGATCCTATTTGAATCAGGGCTCATATGTCCGATCTAAACAGGGTTTTAAATTAGACTAATGCGTCTGTAAACACTATGGTACTCAAGGAGAGAGCTTTAGGGACTGTGAATTTACTCCTCAGCTTTGCTATGTGACCAATGCAAGAAAATTGCGTTGACAGACGTCTTCACACCTTTGCAGGAGAAGGCTAAGGCCGCTCTCCACAAGGTGACCCACCCCTTCAGCAGCAAGGATGAGAAGAAGGAGCAATCTGCTGCAGGAGTCGCGCATGATGAGCAGGCTGCAGCAGCAAAGGCCCAGGGAAATACTGGAGAGTCCAAGACCAAGCAAGTTGTGAACAAGATGGCGCACCCTCTCCAGAGCAACAAGGACGAGAAGAAGTCTCCCCTGGGAGCAGAAACGAGAACCACTACATCCCCTCAGGTCAGCAGGGGATATCAGAAGCCCGCTGGCACTGAGAATCTCCTTGCAGTGCCTTGGTGGGAGCAGTCAAGCTTATAGGAATTTCGTTGTTCCAAACTTGCATGACTTTCAAAGATGCCTCCAGGTTATAATGTGAGTCACCAATCCACATTATCTCGGTGATAGTTATATGATTGTATCATTCATGATGAAGGAAAGCATGTGCAAGTCTTTGCTCGTATATTGATTACTCAGAGACTGTCTGCTTTGACTGTGGCTTTGCTTACTTCTGGACCTTGTCGTCACCCCACAATCGTCTCTCACACGCTTTGATTCTATGCAGGTCGGCCTCCACCCTGCTTCGAATACCCTCACGAATACAATTGGTAAGACGACTGTTCCTTTCGAACGACTAAGCTTTTGAAATTGAGCAGCTTTTATTGCTTACGACGATGGCATCTTTGACGGACAGTCACTGTGGGAAGTCTTTGTTAACTTTTGATTTGCTTTCTCTTTGCTCCAAAACTGCAGTATGCGAATCTTCCAAGGCGGTCCAACGAACTTCAATCTTCGGGTTCCCCAACTCATCTTCGTAACAGCTGAATCTACAATTGAGCCTTCTGTATGGATATACGTCCAGCTTCTGTTTCGTTCTTGACCGCAGGACGGTGAAACCACGAGTTCTGAAACCAGATTCTCTCTGCACTGAAGCAGCACTAAGCCATTTCAGAGATCTGCAAACCGCCGTTCAAAATCTCACACGCCTTTCCACTCTACTGCAGACCCGATGTACACGGCTCCCATGATGACGTCAGACCCTTCTTGCGGCATCACTGCTGGACACGGCAGCTGCCACCACAGCCACGGCCACAGTGGAGGCGCCCTCGGCGGCCTTGGCAGCGGCTCGTTCGGCGATGGAGGCAACTCTGGAGGGGGCACCGATGTGGGGGGGAACCAGGTGTCCGGAGGTGGCGACTCTGGGAGCGGACTCGTGCCCCCCACTGGAGATGACGGAGGGGGCCTCTCTTCTGGCGGCATGGATACGTCAGGCGGTGGCTCAGGCTTTGGCGGTGACTCTTCTGGCGGAGCGGGAGGTGGCTTTTCTGGGGGCGACACGTCTGGCGGTACCGGGGGTGGCTTCTCTGGGGGTGACACCTCTGGCGGGGGAGGTGGTTTCTCTGGAGGAGACACGTCCGGTGGAGGCGGCTTCTCTGGCGGCGGCGATTGTGGGGGCAGCTCAACTACCACTTGCTAGATGTACTAGACCGATGGAGAACGTTGAGACCAGCAGACTTCTAGGGGTGACTGATATGTAGATACGACAGATGCTACTTGAGTGTACAGAACTGCTTGCTCGAGGTTATGCTTTTTGTAAAATCTGATGTAATATACCAATGTTTTCAAAAAGATTCTTGACTTGCCCATCTGAGGAGCTTTTGCACGAGCAGCAATGATGCAGACATGACTCGGGTGAACGGACTCACAGCAGGCCTCTTGATACGATTTGTAAGATACTCCAGCTCGTTTCAAGCTGTGGGAGCTCAGAAGCTCTTTATTAGCGCGGGCTTTGGCTTTCCGCGAACGTGATCTGTGATGGCACAAACGACATACACACTTGCACGAAGCCTGCAGATGCTATGGATGATGTGTCCGCGTGGTGTGAACCTCGCTTGAAGCTTCATGATGCAGATGACCTATGCATGGGGCATGGCCTTCCGCAGACGGTTTGCACTTCAAACTAGGGCTCGCAGTATACTGAAGCATACGTGTTGTTTCTCGGATTGCTTGCAAGGTTCACCTTCTCCTTTTGCGCATCCTCTAGCTGCCTGGTGGTGCTTTGATGGTAGTACTGGTCGTGGTGTTTTTCCTTCTGAGTTTCTTCCTCCGGCGGAAGTCATGGCTGGGGTGGTCAGACTTCAGGCACCCGAGACTTGCTATCTCTCTGAAAGGTGGTGGAGCTAAGTATCTCACAATCTCAAAAGTGGCGATGCGCCTCAGGCATCTTCGGGGCTACGGAAGATAATATTGCTCTCTGGCCAAGTTTTCTGCCAGCTTGCTCACGGCACATATAAATGATTTGAAAGGGGCATCCTTTGGAACTCGTTGAAGACGTCAGGTGCAGCAGCTGGTTTTCGAGGCTCACCAAAATTCGCGACATCAACTGCGTGAGAGTGCACTTGGCATTTTGTTGTCTTAGTACCTACATTTTCTACAGTACGCCCGCTGGCGCGGGGATCCCTCTCAGGGGCCTGCCTGCGGTGAGCTTCCAACGTTTCGATCCTCAACCGTGGATATGATGCAGTTTAGGAAACGACCCCACCCTTCATTGTAGCACGTGGGCAGCGATAATGGAATCGAGGCGTGGCGGTAACGGTGTGCATGTCAGCCTGGCTCTGACAATTTCCAATTTCCTCGCTGCCGCAGTGCTCAGGTTTCAAGATGTCGTCATGCCGGCTCAAGTGTGCGCCATGGCTGCATTGGGCATTGCCCATATCAGCTTGAAGTTGCAGAGGAGACGGACGTAGCTGATCAATAGGGCTCATAAGCCATGAAAAGAGAAGCGATCAATTGCCTTGCAAGAATTCGGAAGAGGAGCCACTCCAGCGGGTTTGCTGCCCTGGGGGCCGGGTCCTGACATGCAAGGCGGTTAGTGAAGCGCCAGCGCATTTAATCTCCTCAAAGCAGAAGCAGCTCCAGCTGCGGACCCATCATGGAGCGTCCGCTCATTGACAGCCGCCGCAGCTCGCCAGGTGGCAGTCGTTCAGCGGCTGCCAGGGACTCCCCTCCTAGCGCCCTCACCATCGATCGAAGAGGAAACGCATTCAAAACAGGCTCCAATGTGCAGCAAGCGGCTGCGCTGGTTGATATAGCCTATGACGGCGAAGGGCTACCTGAGTCATTTCTTGAGAGCCCCCACTTTTCTGAGAAGGCGTCTTACTATCTCGTTTACAATGCTGCCGGGCCCTTGTGGCTCGCAACGTATGCGGCCCTGCTTCTGCTCAACTTTGTAGAGGTACCCTCTTGGTGCCTCAACAATCATGAGCAATATTGCGGGAATCCTAAAGAGTACTGGCTGGGCGACGTGCCATACCTTCCCCCCAACGTCTTCCTTGTCGTTGAGCTTGTCATTTTCCTACTCCTTGCGGCACACATCCTCTTTCCACTCCTATATGCTGGGCCCAAGCTCTATCAGGAGAGCCCCAAGGATGCCATCAGCACAGGGCTCTTACTGCTCCTGGGCTTAGACATCATCCGTCAGATGCTGTTCTGGTGGACGCAATTTCCTGTAGTGGAACCGCAGGCAGTGAGACTCGCGCCGTACCTGCGTGTGTTGATCTTCCTGGTCTCGGTCAAAGAGATGCGGGACAATCTTTGGACGGTGGTGGCTGTCGTTCCTAAGTTCTTGGACATTTTCATCCTGGGTTTCGTCTTCCTGGTGTTCTCCTCGTGGCTGGCATATGTGCTCTTTGAGGATACTCTTCAGGTAAGACCTCTGTCCTGTCTTGTCTCTATATCAAGTCATGAGTACACAAGTCTTGAGAAGACCGCCGAAGATCCTCCAGCATCATCAATCTTGAAACGTATATCAAGCTGATCCTGAAACAAGACGAGTGCAAGCAAGCCCAATGGCGCATCAAAGGAGTGATTTAGGCGTCCAAGTCCGCAGGGCACCTTCTGCCAGGGTTTGGAGGCGTTGGAAAACGTAGTCCATCCGCTATATTCAACTATTGTTGCAAAATTCTGTTGGTAATCCTAGTAGGATGATAAGAAAACGGACAAGGGGCATGTCTACTTTTCATGAAGGCAAGTCCCAATTCTCCTGCAGGGGAGGAAGGAGTTCCCGACTTTTGGCATCACCTCCCTCAAGATGTTCATCCTTCTCACGGGCTCAAATAACCCAGATGTCTGGCAAACGGCGTATGAGCAGCACCGCGCATACAGGTAAGTGTACTATTGGATCAAAGCAGAAATCAAAATGTGCATGATGAATGCTCGGAATTTTAAGAAGAGTCAGTGGATTGCAAGCATATGAGTGGTAACTGCACGCAGAATGTTGATTGCTTCTGACTGAGAACTGGCAGGAACAACACCACCCAGGCTTGGCCTTACTGGATCAGGAGACTGACATTAGCTCCCCAGATTCTTTGCCTTGAATTGTCATCTCCTAATGCACAACGAGGAGGGCCACATTGGCTTTATCTCTCACAATTATAAAAGGTGCAAACGCTGCTCACATATGGCCTTGACGCTACCCCTGCATTGAGGGGAACAAGAGATTTGAACCACGGCTTTTGATGTCAGCTTGATACACCTGACAGCAACTGGCGTCTTCTGTACTACAGGATGCATAGACTAATCCTCGGTGCATGATTTTTCTGAAAAATGCCGGTCCAGATCTGTCTTTCTGTAATTGCTAATCTATAATTGCGCATACAAGGCAAGCGATCGCATCAGATTTTCCTTTGTGAAGGTATTCTCCTTAGGTGATTTCGTCGTCCAAGAGCGTGCCGTGAGAACAGAAGGTCTGTTTGAAATGACCAGTCTGGCTTCTTGGAGTAGGTTTAAGAGTTCTGCTTAGCCGAAACCCTTCACCTTTTCTTATGTTCCTTGGAGCAGATTATGGACCTCGAGCACTTGTCCCCCACACGCTTTCTTTGACCGCACCCTGTCAAGAACAGTCCTGCCAGAAGACCCTTTCTTGCATAGGCATCCCTTTCAAACCACATCACCTTGGAGCTCTCACGGGTTTTCTCACCTCACATTCGGCAGGCTCAAGAATGACTCACAGTCTTGGGCAAATTTGTCTGCAGTCTCTTCTTCGTCCTCTACCTCCTGTTGGGCCTTTACTTCCTTACGAACCTCACTCTTGCTGTCATCTTCGACAGGTGAGCTTCTTCGATTGTGTCCTATGAATGCTTGCTTCTTTGCGGATAACGCAAGAGGCTTGAGGGTAGCTGACAGAACTTTTTCCCACTAGAAAACGAGCCTTGGAAGTCGTGACTTGTCTTCGCTAAGCGTTGCTCTTCTGCGTATGGTAAAGCAAAGCGGCTTGAGGTAGCTGAAAAGAGCGATTCTTCTGGGGCGTGTGAGAATAGCCCCTTCGACCTTCTTCGTCTGCCTCGCTTTAAGACGGTTTGTCTGGCCAGCTGAAGCGGAAGGTACGCCTTTCCTGACGGATCATTGACGCTCAAGACTTGGAAGACCATAGAAGAGTTGGCTCTTGCAAGGATAAAAGTTGAGGACGACAGACTTTCAACAAGTCTTGCGCTCACTGTCACTTTAATATATATACCTTTCGAAATACAGGATCTGAAATGGACAAGCGTTCTGAAAACTGCTCTGGATGCCTCTGTTCGTGTCTGTCCTCCAGCTTCAAGAATCAGTTGGGCTACGCTCGCAAAGCCATTGAAGAGAACAAGCGTCGCGTGCTGTCCCGCGCCTTCTCGTTCGTCGACGAGCAAAAGCGGGGCTTCATCGACAGGTCAGCACGACCGACTCGCGTTCTTAGGAACGGTTTCAGTAGCCGAGGGTCCGACTAGTGGTCGGAGCATGTGGTATCTTTCTTTGTTGCCATGAAGAAGTCCATCGCAACTCGAAGCGCGACTCTCTATCAGTTGGTCCAATTATGTTACGGAGATGCAAGTGCTCACTGCGATTCTTGCTGTGTGTCTTGAAGGAACCAGCGAGTCACTCCACGTGATATATCTGCCATTCAACAGATTACTCAGCGATTTAACAACTGAATGTTCAGTTGCAGCGACCAGCTGATCGCGCGCCTGAACGCCCTCAACTATTACGGTGTTCTCTACTAAGAAATTGTTTTGGCGGCTTCTTTTCCCATTCACAGAATCAAAGAACCCAAGCTAACCTGAGTAACAGAATCCAACAAAAGCATTTATTTCCAGGTTGCAGCGACCAGCTGACCGCGGTGATGAACGCCCTCAGTCGTTCAATATTCCCTGTTGGAAAACCGAGTCGCTTGGCAAACTCCTTCCCCGAGCACAGTAACCCGACTTACCCAAACCTAACCTCAGTGACGGGAATCGAACAGAACCAGCCATTTTCCCGGTTGCAGCGACCAGCTGACTGCGCTATGAACGCCCTCAATCGCTGTTTTCTGTTCGGGGGACGAGTGTTTTGGTGGCTTCTTCCCCCCCTCGCAAAACCGATGGAACCCAAGCTAACCTGAACACCAGAATCCAACACAATTCAACATCTCCCGGTTGCAGCGACCAGCTGACCGCTCTGATGAAATCGGCCGCTGTTCCCTGTTGAGTCACTTGGCAGATTCTATCCCCCAAGGACAAAAACCCGACTAACCAAATCTAACCTAAGTAACGGGACTCAAACAGAAGCTAACATTTCCCGATTGCAGCGACCAGCTGACTGCCTTAATGAACGCGCTCAACTTGTACCGGGCGGTGCCCCACATCGAGAAGGACGACATGCGCCACATCTTTTTGGCGCTGGACGACTCGGGGGACTACAAGATCCAGGAAGACGAGTTCTCGGACGTCTGCGAGGCGATCGGGACCAAGTTTATTAAGCTGGACGAGCCGCCGTTTCTGCAGGTGCGAACCTTCTCGGATTGCAGTTTCCGGATTGTGAGTCTGGTATTAGCAGTTACTGTCGATCAAGCATAGTGTCTTTGTATCTAGATTTCGGTGATTTATATAAATTAAGTGATAGAGAGGGTTTTAGTGCCCTTGATGGGCAGCAAATCCTGGGCGTACCTTCCGAAGTATTTAATCTTTAGGCGAGCCTCAGAGGGTCTCGCCCTAATTGAGCCGCCGCTTCTGCAGGCGCGTGCCTTGGCTTTGGTTTGCTTTGCTTTTCTGGTTAAAGAAGGTTCTATTCCAGACGCTTACAAGGGTATGGGGAGCGTTTCACTGATCAGAGTCTTGTTGTCTGCTTTACCTTTTCAAAACCTAACCGGACCGCCCTCGAAGTTCAACTTCTGAGGCGGGCCTCAAACTGTTCTTCATGCAATGCGCTTACGAGTGCTCTGCCTCTTCGTTCAGAATGGCGCTCGGGCATTCGTAAACCTCCTCAGCTAACGTGCGGGAAAAGTCGAAAAGCAAACACCCGTTTTGAGCAATGCACTCTTGCAATCAAAATTCTTTTCTCCCGGAAATACTACCACCAGCTTTCTCAAGTCAGTACAAGCCGCGTCACCAGACCAGAAGTGCCGCGTTCGCCTCCATTTCTCGACCACTTACTCCCGTTGCAAAACATACCTGGAAACGTCATGCCGGAGACTAAACTAGAAAGCATCGTGCACATTTTGACCTGCGTCTCTTCTTCCACTTCACCCTCTCTCAGATCGTGGCGCCCGGTGTCTTCAACAGCCGCGCCTTCACCGCGGTGCGGGACTTTGTGAAGGACCCGCGCTTCGACCGGTACGTGATGACGTCAGTCCTGCTGGCCAATCTGGTGACTGTGGCCATCGAGACGACGCTCGACATGGAGAACCTGCCCTCGCAGGCCATCTGGCAGGTGGGAAACTCTTTCCGGATTCTGCGGGGATCCTGGTCTCGTGGCCATGCCGCTATACCCTCTAGGGGTTTCTTCTGTTCTCCCATTTTGTGTCCAACTCAGTCAGCCTTGAGGGATTCCCGTTGGGATGACTTTGTATTGCGTACCCTGCGCCTAGTGCTGGCGAGTCTCTGAGTGGACCTCAAACATGCATCTTCGCGCCCCAAGGACGTCTGCAAACGAGCTCGCAGACTCTTTTCTTTCCTTTGGACGCTCCCAAGACATACGGAGTGTATGTTGCTGCAACGGCCTCGATAATGGTCCTTCTTGGTTCGTCCTCTTCTGTCAAACCTGCACGGCAAATTCTAAGAAGACGGTCCTGCAGACACGCTGCCTAAGTCGGATAGACACAGCTTCTGACTAAGATAAAAGCAACAGATCTTCACGCAAGACTCTGATACTAAACCCTCAGTTGACACCCTATGAGGGTTGTCATAGGGTGACAACCCTATGACATGGAAATGAAACATGTCATTTCCATACCCCTTGGACCAGTAAGCCTTGACCTCTGCAAACAACGCAGACCTGTTGTGAACGCTCTACTCTAAGCCCTGAGACGTGACTTCCCGTTCTGACGAACTCTCAAAAGATCCGCTTGCCGAAAACGTCGCATTCGCAGTCGGGTGAGAACTTATACCGGTTGGAGGTGCCACTTTCTGATTTCTTAAAGTCTGCTTGCAATTTTGTACTCTGATCGTGGTGAGCCCTGAAATCAAGGTCCGACGCTGATTTATCCCTCAGTTTCTCAATGTTGGTTCAGAGCAGAGCACGCAAACGGGAAACCCAGACCTAAATGCGACCTCCGAAACCTCCCACGCAGAATATCGAGTACGTGTTTGGGTGGGTATACGTCCTGGAGGCGTTGCTCAAGGTCAGCGCGCTCGGCTTCTGCAACTACTGGCGGCAGGGCGCCAACCGCTTCGACTTTCTTATCACGTGGATCATCTTGATTGGTCAGACGGCGCTCATCCTAGACCCGCACCAGACTGTCGCTAGCAAGGTAAGGCGGTAGAGTCAAATTCAGGACGAAACACAGTCAGGTTGAGATAGGTCAGTGCATGGCTGTCGGATGGGGTTAACTTGCGAGTTAGAGTAGGTGACGGTGCGGAGCACGTAGATTTGTGTCTAGGGGTTTTGGTTTAGGTGCGTCCTCCCGGTAACAATGTGTATCTCAACCAGGCTCAAGTCTACCTGAACCGGAGACTTATCACGGTACAGGAGGGTTTCGTTCGTGATCGGTTTTTTTAATACAGAGGAAATGTCGATGTACGCAGGTTTTGGGTATCACATTACCGGCAACCTTTTGCGAGTCTTCCTCAAAGTTCCTTCATGTGTTTTCCCTATACTCTGTTGGCTTCGACTGAAACTTTATCAGGTCGTAGAAGGCTCTCTTTATTTCTCTTCCTTAACGTCAGCTCGCACGGCAAAAGGGGCTTGGAAGGAACTCGATGGTCCCGAAGAGGCCCCCAAGGTTCAGCGTCGGGACGTTCGCGGAACACTTGCTATGTACAGCAAGAGGCTTCAAGGCAGAAACTGCGGATTGCGCCCTTGCCGCAGCCTGATTGAAATGGGCTTTCAGTATTGGATGGCCAAAGCTCGAAGCTTGATCGTACCGCAAATCGGGAGTGCTACCGAACTGCGTGCTGTTGCAGCACGTTCAGAAGCGGCAACTTAGACTCGAGCTTACCAGATCTCAACGGTCGCACAAGTTGAGCGCTTCTCGCAAATAGCGGGCATGCTGCTGTCCGCTTTCAGATTTCATCAGAATTCTTGTCGGAAATGCTTTTTGGACCTTGGACACGGTTTTCATTGCAGGAGTGGATCCGTTACTTGCTGATTGGGCGCATGCTGCGCCTCTTGCGGCTGCTGACGTACATCGAGCGCTACCGCGCGATCGTGAACACGTTCCTGAAACTCGTTCCCGCGATGGGGCCTCTCTTCGGGGTCCTGTTTGGTTTCCTCTCGCTCTTCACCAGGTGAGGTCCGACGGTCTCAAGTCCGCTCTCCCTTCTTGGCCTGGTGTGCTCTTAATGTTTCCGTCAACCATGCATCTTTGCTTCGTCCTTCACACTGCTGTCTCTTCTGCTCGCTACTGGATTCACATCCAGCGCGGCAGACTGATTCGTCAGTCAGCCTGTTGAGCTTCGCACCGCTCTCTGGTCTCGAAGTAGTTGTACTCACGAGCCGTTGCATAGAGTCCTCTTTGTAAACGTTCTCAATTCACCCTGGACCACCATAGTCTGCCCATGAGAACTTGGTTCAGGCTCCTTTTCGTCCAACTTTTCACAGCCTTCTAGTTTCGTTTCCACTCGCCTCGTTTTTGCTCCTTTGTCCAATATCGCCTGACTTCTCTTCACACCCGCAGCCTCGGGATCCACCTTTTCGGGGGGTTGGTGTACGAGAGCAACCCCCTGCTGAAGTCGACCCCCCTGAGCGACCACAAGCCGTACAACTTCAACGACTACTCCGCGGGCATGGTCACGCTCTTCAACCTGTTGTGCCAGGCCAGCTGGCAGGTGAGTGACGTAAGCAAGGGATGTGATGCGAAGTTAATGGGAAGGGATATAACGTAAGGCTCACACTCCCATGTCGTAATCTGCTAACGGAGGCCAGCTGGCAGCTGAAAGATTTGGTGACGCTAGCTATGAGCGTAACGCAGTCTGTGATCCGGCTGGCGTTAGATGGCCTCGATCTCAAGGCTGGCTAAGCAGGCCAGTGGGCAGGTTATTGACGGGGTGAACCGGTCACAAGCGCACTCAAAGTGCAGTCCACGTTTGCTGACAATCTCACAATGGTCACCGTTTTTTCCAGGATTGGATGGAGGGTTACGCCGTTTTGAGCGGACACCGCGCGCTCGCCCGGGCGTTCTTCCTCACCTTCATTGCCCTGGGGACGTACCTGGTGATGAACGTCTTCGTCTCATTCGTCATGGAGGCGTTCACCGTTGAGATGGAACTAGCGGCGGCGGAGAAAAAGGAGGAGGCGTGGCGGAGCGGGGGGCGGTTGAACCTGAGCGTTGCGCGCCATGGGGCTAATGTTAGGCCGGAATCGAGCCCCATGGAACGGTTGATGGATAAGATGTTTGGGGAGGGGGAGGGAGACGAGGATAAGGATAGCGCTGACCCAGGAGTGTGAATACGGGTCATGAATGTAAAGATAAGTTTTTTTGGAGAGGCTGACGATGCCCGTCAGCGTTTATTCGCATAGTACTTCAGGTTCGCCCGCAAGTCAGCAGTCATTGTGAGCTGCACTCACTTTGTAGTATAAACCAAAGCGCGCGCAATCAGTTGCTGAGGAAGATATAGTACGCGTCAGCTGTTGCAGCTGAGCTCGATGGGCGTTGCAGAGCTTTTCTTAGCATAAAGTCACGAAGCGGTAAGTACTATTCAGTAAGGTGGATTTGGATGGCTGCATATGACCTCCCTGGAGCTATATCATTTTGAGACCCCATGCGCACGTGTAATCAGGTAATGCTCTTCTTTGGGTCACTTTTGGAAAAGCCTAGCTGCCTCCGATTGAGTGAGCTTGATCGAATCTGGAGATTCGCAGTGGTCTGTGTCGGACTCTACATATGGGGCCACTATGGTAACTTGTCATGGATATATGATGATTAAATCATGCAAACGATTCGAACAGTGTCGTCATGAAGATGTGATCTGATTATGTGTTGCACATATGTTGAAAGACCTATAAGTTCTGAACATGATAATTGGCGGCATAAGTCGACATAATAGTAATCGAGACATCTTCACATGCGGGCCCGTCTAGTTCAGACACTAGAATTGACTGTCTGTGATTGCAGCGCCACCAATGACGAGGCGGCCAGCTGCCATGGTATGAGCAACGGCTCGTCAGTGAGGAGTCGCTGGCGGGGCTCGACCAGCAAACAAGCTAGAGCAGTCTTGGACATGTCCCGATCGAGCTCAAGAATACTGACAGCAAATCGTGATCTGCTGGATATTTCAGCTGCACAAAGTCAAGCAGATGAATAGCAGTTTGTCTCGAATATTGTAGATCACATAGAAGCAGCTGAAGAATGCATGCTAACGCCGTTGACCATCTACCTATGTGTTCGATTAGGACTCGGATAGTTGACATGCCCGCCTATGACCAGCTTGCCATGCCGTCTTTTGGCACTCTTTGCTGCAATACTTCACTTGCTCGCTGTTGCACCTTCCGCATACTTTCAGAAGACTTCCCCCCTCAGCCTTCAGGTCTCCACAAACCTGACACGAGTCTGATACTCCCTCCTCTTTGACCTTCTGAAGCCTTTTGCATTCAGCCATATGGGTTTTGAAGAATCTCCGCTGGCAGTCCTGCAAATGTCTCACGGGAGTCTGTCAGTTGCTTAACAGATGCACATTACCGCACAGTAGATGATACTCGCTGCCAAGTTACGAGTAACAACAGCTTCCGCTGTTACTGAGGGGCGTCCAACCTTTGTCCAAACCACAGCAGGGCCAGGACTGAACCGCTACCAGTACTAGAGGGTCAAACCAATTGTGCTTGCAAGTTCCTAAAGTTGGGGCGTCATTTTGACCGCTCATGTCACTAGACTCCTACAATTGAGTTTATAATCCTTCTTGTCAATTCTCTGTGCTCAGCAATTTGCCTGGAGCCTAGAATGACTGGACTGACTGTGCTTCATTGTTTTGATAATACAGTCAGTCTGCATTCTGGCCTTTCCCCGTTCATACAGAGCACGCAGACTTCAATCTTTCCCAAGTGCAACATCTACAACCGCATCTGCATCAATCCTTACCTTGCTGCAGAACAAAGCTATGGTTTCATTCACACAGTTCCTGCACCCCCTCAGCTCCAGCCCTTCTGGGGTCTCTGTCTTGCCACAAGCAGCACAACCCCGCAACGGCGCCGCCACAAAAAAGTTGTCTAACCCCAACATCTCCGTGCGGTACTCATCCGCGTACAGAGCTAGGACAGTGAGTATCTTGTTGACTCGCTCATTCCCAAGGTCGTACACATCCTTTTGCAAAGCAATTCCCCTGGCCTCAAACTCCTTGAACTTTTCGACCGCTCTCCTCTCCTTGCAGTGGAAGGATTGCCCTGCCTTGATGTTATCCATATCCAGCATCATAACGAAGTCGTTAGGGAGCTGTCTCGGGAGCTTGTTTTTGGCCAAAAGGCTGGCAGCCATTGACCATGCGTGCTCGAGATCATCTTGAAGCTCGCTGCTGCACCAATTCTCATACAATGCCACCAGCGAACCCTGTCCATCTGAAACAAAGTCCTCAACATTAGACTCCGGAGTAAGCAGCGCAATCTGCTCCACCGAGTTCCCCCGCCTTAGGATATCAGTCCTCTTGGCCGGCATGTTTGCGACGCATGACTGGAGCAGATTCTTCTTTCCTGCCAAGCTTAACTCCGTCCACATCTTCTTGAAGCCCTCATGGTGCTCCTCCCAGAACCTCCTCAGGTTGTTCTTCAAGCTTCTGTTGACAGCCATCGGCCCGTCTGGTATCAAAAACAGGGGAGGCAGGTCCTCAGCTGTCTTCTTGTTGGCTGCGGTCGCGCATCGGCGCCCATCACCGCCTGTCCATTTTCCCTCAGCCATCGGTGCCCCAGCGAATGCCCTGTTTCTTGCTCAGAACCGAGCTGCTACACAAAATGCTCAACTTACAAGGAATCCAGGCGCTCTTCACCTCACACTGAGGCCTCACACTGTCACAGTTGAAGTGGCCGTCGGCGTGAGGGGGAGTGCTTTAATAGGGAATTTACATGTTAATTTAGTAGTTTGACGAACAGCAATCGTCAGGCGTCACAAACGGCAAACCAAGCAGGCTAGACTATAGACCAGGGCTGTGCCGGGACCAATAAACGGCAAATGGGAAGGACAGAAAGCAAACACGGAAAATATATTAATTAATCGTTTTCCATGTGCAAGCAAGGAACAAGGGAAATGCTGGTGCACTGACCAGTACAGTGGTAGCCATAGCTGGAGCCTGAGGAAGGAGGAGCCATCTAAAGCGTTCTGTGACTTCTGTCTCTCTTATTTTGTGGGACGCATGGCTTCTACAGCATCCCGAATTTTAGCAAGAAGCGCACTTCATTGCTCCAGCCAAGCAATCAGCGGGGACCCCGCGTTTCGAGCGCAACCAGGGGCTCAGAAACCAGGCTGGCAACTAGCTGCACAACCCTCTTTTTCAAGCAAAGCATCCGTCAATAAACCGTTCCAAAAGGACAACAGGGTCCCAGCAGCTTGTCTTCCTCACACGTGCACTGCATTTGGTCTGTACAGTCAAGTGTCTCCAGCTGGTCTCTTTCTGGATGCTTGTCTTCCTCACAGTGATTACACAGGGCCCGGTCCAACGATACCAGCGCAGCGTAATGCGTCTTGCTTTGGCAGGAATACTGAAGTCGTAGCTCAGAAGGACAGTAAATTGGGACAGCAGATGCAATCAGCAATGCCGTGGGAGTTGCCAGATGATTTCAAGTGTAGAGAGGCTACAAGATTCTCAAAGGGGCCGTTCAGGAAAGCTGCTCAGAGCTTTTACGTACCCAAGGCACTAAGACGGTACAGCTGGCTGAGGAATATTGTCAGCTCTCTCAGACAAGCATTTGCCAAGCATGCAACGCAAGAGATCGTACTGAAGATAGTTCTCACCCTTCTAGTGATTGGCATCTTTTTCAGCTCACAGCGGTGGGCTCAGCTTATGCTTGGGGCGTCTACCTTATTTGCGGGAGTCGTATGTGTTGCTGAAAGTGTAACAAGCAAGAGGGAAGAACAGCGGCGGTGGGAGACGCGTCGGAGGAGGGTGGTCGTGCACGAGGCGGGTCACTTCCTGCTGTGAGTTCTGAAGCCCTTCTGTTTATCTGGAGGGATCAGACAGCTTTCATCTGCTAGTTCTGCTAAAGAAATATGATGCTCAATTTGGTTTTCCTCCTCTCATCCCTCGGGGCGCGTACTCGCCTCATCAAGAGGACCCCCAATTGTGCATTTGTTCCAAGAGGAGCTTCTTCAGCATCATTGGAAAGGGCTGGCCGAACATGGACCTCTTTTCTCCTCCCCGGAGGCGTTGATGTACTGCAGATGACGTCCATTCAGACTTGTCTTGCAGCTAGAGGGAACCTTTTGACGGGTTCATCTAGCATTCTCAACCTCTACAGTTTGGCTTGAAAGAAAGCCTGTGAGCAATGCTATTGTGGTCAGTCAACGATGCGAGAACAGGCTTTGTTGGATATTCCCACAGGCCTTTCTTTCTCCTTACCTTGGCGCACAAGCGTTGCCTGAATCCTGCCCGTCTTTGAATGGACGACTCCTCCTGTATAGGTCCGTGTTGCTCAGGGTTTCTACAGTTGGTTATCCTGGTCGAACCGATCTGTCTAAGTATCGAAGCCCTCTGACTTTTTCTTATGCAATCATCTTACGTCTGCAGGGCTTATCTTTTGGGATTCCAAGTCATGGGCTATAAAGTACCGCCCAGAACGAGACCGGGGAAGCCATCAAAGACAACCGCTCCAATTCCTGAGCAATCATCGGGCAGCAGCGTGGAAGGCCAGACCTTTGTAAGTAAACTTCGCATGCATATTCATGTCCAAAGGTAACTTTTCAGTCTCAAGCAGATGTACCGAAGCCCTGAACGGAGCAGAACAGCGACCATCCTCCAGTATTCAGTGTGTTTGCAGAATCAGTCACCTGGAAGTGGGTTACGACTGCACGTCTGCCCGAACCGAAATGAGCGCTCCTCGGCCGTTCATCAAGGGCATGTTCTTCTCCCCATCGACATTTAGCCTCAGTCCCCAATCTGGAAACTATCTTAGAACGGCCGCTCTTGTATTAGACCTTGTCAAAACCGCATGAGCGCCTGCTCCAATCCCCCTTTCTCCGTTGCCTTTCCATGAGATCTGTCCCTGCTGATTGGCCCCCACTGATAATATCTGCAAGCAAGACTTATAATCGACGATCGAGGAGTACCGAGTACTCGCTCCGCTTTTGGCAATCGTCCCGAGGCCGTCCTCAGGATCCCTTTCCGGCATCAATTCGAACCGTTTGAACCGCTGTTGAAAGGAAAGGGCCGTTAATATTCACCGGAGAATCATCGAAGTCGGTGGACTTGATTCAAGACGCCCTTTGCACTTGCAGGTGTCATTGGCTGCCCTCAAGTATCCCTTCGAAGAGCCAGAGCAAATCGACGGGTACCTTCTCGGTCGGTTCGCAACGTTCATGATGGGGGGCCTCGCAAGCGAAGCCCTTTGTTTCCGGACCTGCGGGCAAGCACCAGGGAAGGAAAGCAGTAACTCGCAGACTGGCGACTTGGACATTCTTCGACAGCGTTTGCTTTCGTTCAGGCCCGATTGGTCCGTTCAGAAGAGCGATGGTAGGATGGTCGGTTCTCTGCCTACGAGAGTCGTGGCTTTCGAGAGAAGAGCTTTCCGGCGCGCGTGTGTGATATTGGCGCGGCACGGCAGCTCTTTGCATCGTCTGATAGAGGCGATGGATGCTGGGCGGCCTGTGCAGGAGTGCATTGATACACTCAATCGTGTTTGACTTGTGATGCAAGCCTGCAGTTCGAGCTGAGGATCATCCGGCCGTTAATGCAGTTACTTTTTGAAAGTGCGTACTTAGGATGCTAGTTCTTGCTGCGTACGTCCATGGACGTACATGTCCACATATCATGATGGCCACGGGGTCGCATGTCCGTCGGATAAGTCATGCAACATGACGTACCTGCTTTACTCGTCAAGGCTGTATTTCAACAATGAAGGGAAGACTGATGTGCATGACAATTCTACATGTATATGCCAGGACGGTTGGGGGGATGTAGCATGGTCACTGGGGTGACCTGTGGCGTATGTGCATACACTTGTCGGATGCTTTTGGTCAGCCAATAAACGCGACTCAGGCTATAGAACGGGCTGGCAGGTGGGGCCATGACCAACCTCGCAACACCTCTTCGTAGCACACAGATGTATCCTTCCATATGTCAGTGTGGCCCGGCCACACTGACCGGCGACCGGCATCGAGTGGTCACTCACAGACGCTTAACAGTCAGAATATTGCACGAGTTCAATTGATCTTTGAGTGCTAGTTGCATGACATTGCTGGCATATGCGGAGACATTTGCAGCGGGCCATCTACGTCAGTAGTATGTGAAGCTTCGGGCACTACCGTTTGGGCCTGTGTCAACGAGTCCCTGATCGAATAAACTTCCAAATTGCAACGAAGTGTTCTAACAAGCGCACAGCAAGTTGGAAGACTTTCCACCCCGAATCCAAGCTGAGTTGCTTACAATATATACATAAGTTCATCAAAGGGCGGTGACACCCCTCCGCAGAGGAGCAGGTTATGTACGTCAAGTCATCACATGTGGCTCCCCCGCAGCTTTTTGCACTCCCGCTTGTGCCCAGCCTGCCATGCTACCGTCTGGCACTCCTTGCCGCAATACTTTACCTGCTTGCAGTGGCACTTGGAGCACTTCCTCAATGCGCCTCCTCCCTCTGACTCTAGGTCGCCACACACCTGACAGCTTCTGGATTTCCCCAGCTCTGCATCTTTCTGAAGCCTCAGGCACGCTGGCAGATGCCGGACAAAGTCCCTTCTTTGGCAGTCCTGCGAAAATAAACAACGGATTGTTAGAGCTGATAAATCCCTTCGAAATGCAAAGTTGAGTACTCTAGACTGACAATTCCTTTCATTGCAAACATTCCAGAAAGCTCCTCCACAATAGAGAAGATGCCATATAAGCCTGAAGCTTGGATCTCAGACCTGGTGCTTAGTGTCACACCAAGAAATACGGGGCTTAGATACTCAAAAAGGCCTTTTGGACCAAGGATCGAGTGAGAATAGCACTCGGGTGCATCCAAAGCTCTCTGATGCCCACCCACAATTTTGCTTTTGTTGAGTGCCTTCAATCCAAAAAGGAGTCGTCACATAAACGAAGACCCCATTGATCCCAGTGAAGGATCCTTGAAGTTTGACAGACATTATGCAGCTGACAATCTTGGAGAAGTACTAGCTACAGCCAATTGACTAGGATGCTTTCATTAATTTCCACACCTGACCCACTGAACCTAGTTCGAACGCATTTCATGAAGGAGCCAACTATGGGCTGCTGCTTCAAAGCAAGCAGTACATTCTCCAAGTTCGGATCTAGTTAAGAGTGATCTTCAACAAGTAACAGTAATCATGCTCACCTTACTGCAGTACAGCGCTCTGCTCTCATTTCCGCAGTCCCTGCATCCCCTTAGTTCCCCGCCCTCTGGTGTGTCAGGCCTCCGGCACAAAGCGCAGCCCTTGACAGGTGACGATACATAGAAGAACTGGTCTTCACCCAGCATGTTCATTCGGTACTCATCAGCAAAGTGTGCCAAGAAGGCCAGTTTCTCTCCAAGGCGATGATTTACCAGGAAGAAGATATCTTCCTTAATCAGACAACCTCTGGCCTCAGCCTCTTCGCACGCTTTCAGCGTTGTGCTGTTGGCATCTACTTTGAAGCTCATCCCAGCTATAAGGGGAAGACCTTCTAGCATTGTGTTGGCCACTACGATGTAGGTGTGGTTAGGTGTCACCTGAGAGGTGGTCTCCATGTGTCTATATGCAACCTGAATGTCAGAGCTGACCTTGGCCAGCTTCTCCTCAAGCTTCCCATGGCAGATGTAATCAAAGGAGGAAACCAACGAGTTCTCTGTGTCTGACAACAGGTCTTCAACGTTCAGTTCGGCGCAAAGGGACAGGACATCTGCAAATGGCTCGTCGTCCTTTGATTTGTCTTTCGCTGTTGCTGGCAAGCACGCGTATACAGAACAGAGTAAGTCTCTCCTTCCCACCGCAAGTCAGTGCCCTCCACCTACTTCTGAAGCCCTCAGAATGCTGTGCCCAGAATCTCCTTAGGTTGTCTCTCAAGCTCCTGTGAATAGCTTCCCAACCGCCCACCAAATCCATGCACAGAACCAGATCCTGGGGCAAGATCTTCTTTCTTCCTACTTTCGAATCAATCTGCTTCACTTGCCAAGCCATAGGCACTAGTTGCGCCCCTGCTGCTTCTCAGTCGTCCCCTTGATCGTGTTCTGACGCATGAGCACTGATGTTCGCAGGTGACGTCTAGACCGACAAGAGACTTTAAAGCTAGCCTGCGCCTCTTGACAAGCTGAGCCGAGCTTTGGAAACCAAAGCTCCGAGTCCCGGTCAGCTTTGAGAAGAGCTCTGAACCGCTTTGAAGTCGGAAGCTCAGGCTGGAGACAGTCTGAGTCAGCTGGCTGCTTTCTGCTTTCAAAGGTTTTTGGCGCGAAGGCCCAGGGTTTACCGTAAAACCCGACTTTCCGAGTCTATACCTAGTCGGACCCGCCGCCTGGCCGCGGATCGCCCGCCCGCGCGGGCCGGCCATGCACGGCGCGCTGTCCGGCAGCTGTGAGTCCCGGCCAGCCGAGAGCTCTGGGCGACGAGAACCGGCTATTATTTCAGCCTCGTGCCAAGCGAGCGCCACGAAGTGCCGGCTTCAAGCTTTCAAGCTTTGAATCGCCGGTTCCAAAATTCACGCGGTTCAGGGCGTTGCCTGCCTGGGTCATGTGTTGATACAGTACACAAAAACAACTAACCCCGGGTACCTTTGTGAAGATACTATAGCACCTGGCCCAGTTTGCAAGCTACAGCGGAGACCAGATGTTCCCCAGATGTTCAGATGTGAATCACAGCCAACAAACAGACTCTCTCAGCTTTGGAGCACTGAGGCAGACAACGAGGTGACATTTCGCCTCCAATTAATCATGAGTACTCTCCCACGTCTAGCAGGATCTCGATGCCCTTGGCCAGCCGCCTTATTGCAGCACAAAAATTGGCGACCTGATATATGTGAGTCCTTTCGACGCTGCTCAACGAATCAAATGTGCTGCATGACACCCGCGTGCGTTTGGACGGTCTGGCTGTGACGTCGGGTGCAGGCCGCGCCACGGCAGTGCTGAGAGTCACTGGATTGCCCGATTACCGCCCAGTCACTCTGGCGCAATTGTAAAGCCTCAAATGCTTGCGTCCACCCGGTGATTACGTGAACAGCCCATGTCCCATGCATAATAAATGCCCACCATGCTCCGTCCCTATCATCCGGCCTGTAATGTACTCCGCTCAGCCACTCAAGCCCCATGATGCCTCTGGCTGCAACCGATAGATAGCTAGTACTGTTTGACGATAGATTGAAGCAAGTCAGTAGAGTAACGATTGGTACTTCACAGTGTACGGATCCATTTGCAACTTTAAATTGTTCAGCCCAAATCCCACCAAGGCATGCCGTTGCTTCAACTTACAACTCATTGGTGGTGTACGATTCTAGGACGAGACTGAACTAACTCAACAAGATCTTTGAACGCTCTTCCGATTTGGCTCTGAGTGAGGGTGCATTGAAAGCAATCAATCTTTTAATCTAACCCTTCTGAATGGTTGCTTTGATGGGCGACTCCTATCTGAGTACTATCAACGGGTCGAAAGAGTGTAATCTTCGGCAATCCGGCAGGCCCATTTCAGGCGGATTTTTGGACAATCACGGCGCCGGATGAACATTTGGCAGTGACGTTCACCCCTCGCACCTGGTAGAGATACGGTGAATCCTGGTAGGTGGCAACGCCAGCCCACTCTCCCTCATGAACGGTCGAAGCGTCCCAGATCGAAGCATACCTGTCACGAACGAGTAGGTTCAGATGAGTATTACTGTTGTTTAAACTGATTATAATCAGATCAATGCCGACGTCAACTTGAAGTCAGAAACATCTCCAGGAATCGCATTATTTGCTCTCAAAGTCAGGTTAGCTGTCTGCAAAACGGACAATCAAACGGAGAATGGCAGCACGGCGCGAGAAATCAAAGCAAGTGCATGATGACCGCGTCCCGTCAATCTGGAGTCAAGGTACTGTTCCCATGTGGTTGGTCGAGGCTAGTAACTTACACGAAGCTTGCTTTTGTCGGCCAGGGTGAGTAGCCGTCGTTGATTGCTTTCCGAACGAGTTCGTCGTCGATTGACCACCTGTTTGCAGACTCGAAGCTTCAGTGTTCCGTCACTCTCTAGAGTTGGTCCGCATTTGACAGACTGTTACAAAGGGCTTTGTTGGAACTTGACTATTTGGATGTGGAAGAAGATTCAAAAACTGCTTTGAAACGCCGTTCTACAGTTAGGCCAATGGTGCTTGACGCGCAATAACTTCTTCGCGCAGCTCAAGGCAGTCTGGACGCAACTTAGGAAGAATCGAAGCCAAAGTTTCTGGCTGCCCTATAGATTCATCCCCGTTTCGATCAGTGAGATCGTAAAAAAGCAAACGTCTCTTTCCCTTTCTGACTGAAGAGTACTTACTTTATGTACCAGCTCGTCCACTGGATCGTATACTTATGAAAAGCAGAACGGCAATCGAAGCCAAGACCGATCATCTGCTCGCGGTCGCCGCCCTTCGATCCATCAGAGAAAGAGGCGGAGAAAGGTAAGCCACTCTAGAAAGCAGAACTGGCTAACGTTGTGGCTCCCCACGCTGGTTTGGAGTACTGATTTTGGGTTTGGCGAAAAGACTGTTTGATTGGCACCACCAGATGACGAGATGCAGAGAAAGCTTACAAAGGGCATGCGTGGCTTGAGAAATCACTTGCTATAGAAGTCTCTATTCAATTTAATTTTGAGACTCAGTTAAGGTTTCTCACCTCCCCATTCACCCAGTAGTTCGTTTGGATCATATCCGGACTCTTTCCGAGGAACTCAAGTCGATCTCGTCCTGAGCGAAAGATTTGGACACTATTTGAATATGCATCCGGTGACGATTGAAGGAGGTCGCCATTTGTATACGAGTAATCTACGCAACTGAAACCCACAGATCCAAAAACATGAAAGCAGGTACGAGATAAGAAAAGCAAGCCGATTGAACGGCGGCCGTGATCCGCATTCCTAGGTCTAAGTTGAAGCACTCCTTGTCTTCCGTCCTGGTCGAGGGATCAGCAATAGAATTTCAACCTAAAGCTCTGGTGATCTTGAACTTAACTTGGCATAATTGTATGGACAATTACCTGATCCAGACTTCCTTCAAGAGAACTTATGTAGAATGTCGCAACCATACCCGCGAAGTTGCCTGCAATTACACAGAAGCTTTTTTGATGCCATTTGTGCCAAGAGGGTTGACTCCCGGCGGCCCAGAAAGTCGAAGACCACAGTTTATGAAGCTGGCCAGAGCCTCTTCTGAGAATCTCAGGGGGACGCCCTTTGGGTCTCCTTCTCCCGTTCAATCCCTCTACTAAACTTCGTCGTTTCCTTGAACTAGAGCAACGAGAAGCATGCATCAAAAGAGGGCTCCGTGCAGTCATCTTAACAACATGTGGTCAGATCTCACCGGCAGGACACTTGAGGAAAGCAGAAAAGGTCCCATGCGTGTATCTCTCGCGCGTGTGGATATTCCTCGCACCCGCGCTCCGATCCATCCTGATGGTATAGATGCCGCGGCTTGTCGTAACATGATCTGGGTCTGTAGGAAAGGGAGATCGAGACGCTCTAGCTAGCAGCCTCCATACAGGAACCAGTGGGCGTCGGCCCTTCAAAAAGCGTTCCCCGGTGCAATTTGGGCAGAGATGATGTTCATAGATCCAATATTTCCAACACTAGAAGGAATCAAGAAGAACCGCATGCGAATGAGATCTGGTTTGAAAGGTAGAACCTCACTCACTGTAGTCAATCTCTGTCAGGATCAGGTGCGTTCTGAGAGCTGACAACATGAGGACGAAGAACGTTCCAAGCGCGGTCAACGCGGGCCACAGTTTGGTGATTGAGACCGTTGCTACCGCCATGACTTCAGGTGAATGGGCTTCAAATGGAAGAAGGACGACCAAAGTGCGCTGACACAGCCTGCCCACCCTGAGCTGCGTTTGTTTGCGTGGTGAATGAAACTTTTTGCTCTTTTCCTGTCCGATCTAGGTACTTGGAGGTTCGGGCCCTTCCTCTTGCCGCTGCATGAACGCTTGAAGGTGCTTTGCATCACCTTGCGGCGCCTTTCTCCGTTAACGTTGGTTTTCGTTAAGTTGGTTGCATAATCTGGCTGACTGGCAGCCCCTCCTTCAGACCCTTCATCAGCAGCAGTCGTTCCAATCCTCGATCACATGTATAGACCTCAATCCTGAGTTGCTCGAGGGGCAAAAATCTGCAGGAATGAACGGTATTCCTGCCCCCAGCTCCAATTCGATTTGAGAGGTCTACCATTATTCTTCGCTCACGAACTCAAATTCAAGAGCCAGTAACCAGCGTGACTCTTGTCAAAAGTTTGAAAGGCAGACCGAGTTTTCTTTATCGTCTAGAAGAAGTGTTGCAAACTCCTTCAAAAATTCGTATCACCACGGTTCTGCAGAGCTTCAAAGCAAGAAGCTGCTATGCAGCATACTGAGAGAAGCATCACCATTAAGGAGACGGGCGCATGCGCCAACCTGGACAAGATTGCTGGCAAGCTCCCGCAATGATGAATGTTGTTGTGACATGCTTTGCAAGTCATTTCTATTCTTTCTTAGAAGAGGCTGTCACTCGCTGTCACCGCAATATGAAACCAATTCTCCTAGGAACTAGGAAGGATAGCAGAGCAAGTTAACTAAAGCAAGAGGGGAAAGTGCGGTGAAAGATGCTTTGGTCGACCTACCTAAGATCAGTATTCCAGCCAACAGATTCCAAAAACGACACCTGATGTAGGCTGACCGGAAAAGGGAGTAAGTAAACTTTTGCAAGTCGCACAAGATGTCCCCCCTGATCGACTTACTGCCTTCGCGATCGCCTCGAGAACAACTCCTAGTGCGGATGGAGTCACCATTCGCGAAGTCGATTGACGCTGTGCAGCAGTACAATTCCTCACTGGTGCAAAGGTGTGGCAAAACGGGGCCAGTCCTTCTTTTCTTTCAAAAGGAAAGACCTGTGAAAGGGCGAGCAAGAAAAGGGCCGACCAACAGAAGGTGCGAAGCTTGCCTACATATAGCCTCCTCTACGTGTTTACTATCTTTTCGAGCGCATTACTCAGATCGGCTTTCAGACGGTTTCGTTTCGGCCAAGGGTTGAGTGCACTGCTCCTACTCTAAGTGACGCCATAGCCGGACTGCTCTTGAAATCGCACGAGAAGACGCCCCTGAGGAAAGTAATTCTGGCCAGGGGATTAGACGATCTCACAGGCTTTCAGGCCGCATTTGGACTGGGGGAGGACGGTAAGTACCGACAGTACTGTCGGTCAGTATCCTGCGGGGGACAAGTCGAGCTCAGACACGTGCGGATCGTGCTGCATAGTGAGAACAACAAAAAGGGCATCAACTAGGCGCCTGTGAAGTTGACTATTCAAAAGTCAAGGGCATTACAGCGCACGACCTCGTGCTTGCGAAAGATATGAACTGTATCGATCATATGACGCCTCATCCGATCTGATCATTTTGGCTCATCTACATAGGTAACTTTTATTTTCGGCAGAAAATCTCAGCCGCTCGTCGCATTGAAGAAACTTTGGCGGTTTTGTCCCAGTCCTTCCGTCCTCCGCTTCGCTCAACGTGCGGAAATACCGCATCCTGCTGAGCCAAAGTGTTGTCAGGCCCCGACCATCGTGCCCGGCAAATCACCCTGCTTCTTGCGAATCAAGATCAGCGACGTCGACTCTCACGTCAAGGACTCGTCATTACTTCATCTTGGCACGAGCCATTCGCCATTGCCCAGCTGAGTCGCCCCCTTGCTCTCCGCGCCTCCTCTGCGCGCCTGCGCCCGCGCGATCCTGCGCAAACGGGCGATCCGCTTTCCTGAGCTTCTCCAAATGGAGTCCGTTCCGTCGGCTTTCTATTCCCTCACCTTCCGGTCGCACCTAGTGGACTCCTCATCGCGTTAATCCTGCTGACGCTCCGTTCTTCCGTCAGCTGGATTCCGACGGGGCTGGTCCGCCGGCCGCTCTGCTCGATCCCGTCATTCTCTCGACGCCCCGCGCGCGCGCCTTACTCGATCACCTAGCCTCCGACGGGCTCAACGCGCGCGGAGGTCGTCGAGGTTGTGGATGACTCATCTTATCCAAGGACACGGCCATGGTGACGTCATACAAGGATTCTTTGTATCAAATGTCGCCCGACGTTACTAGGCGGGTGTCGTTTGAGGGATGCATCTGCATCCCCGGGCTCAGTTGATCCGCCCCTGCTCCGGGAGAGGCGTCGGGGTCGCTTCCGTTGGTTCCGCTGGTTCCGGTTCCGGTTTATTAAGGCCGACTCGACCGTCCTTTCTCACGCGTCAGCATTGCAGGCTTTCGGAGGGGTATCCGTGGCGTGGCGGAAGCTTTTGGTGCGGGGGCTGAGGTTTGCGTTTCATTCCTATCGCCAGTGAAGATCGGGGGCTGTTAAGATCTCTGGAATAGAGTTCTGAAGTCCCGGAATCTCAGCAATTAAATTATAGTACCTTTGGAGCGCTCCCGGGCCGCAGCTTTGATTACGTAACTCGCGCCCGCGTTCCGGTTCCGTTGACGTTCGGCATCCTGCCGTTTGCAAAAAAGTTGTCTGCGTCCAAACCAAAAGGGGCTGCTCCAGGTCGTCCGACTTGCCCTCCTCCTTTAATTTGCGGACAGTATGCGGACAGGGCTCTTGGACGTTCTCCATAATCCCAATGTACCGCTCCTTCGGGCTCAGCGACAGCTTCTGCTTGGGCTTCCGCTTCCGCACCCCTTCGTTCCGCCGGGAGGGCTCCTCCGTCCGCCCAATTCGCTTCTCGCCCTCAGGGGCCTTCACCGGGCTCCTCAGGCTTGCCCCTCCGAAGTTCTCGCAAGTGCTCGGCCGGAAGCAGGTCCTCCGTCCGTGCGAAAACGTTTGCTTTGGAGGGCTACACAGCAGTCTAATTGCGTCCGGCGAAGAAAAATTCGCATATATATTAGACCTTCAATTCTCGCTCAGTCTCCCCTTGTCAACATACCTTTACGGAGACTTTGCCTTCCTTCTACCGAAGCGAATCCGGGGCGCTCTGGTTCTGACGCATCAAACGAAGGACGCGACAGAGTTTCCTGGAGTCTGGTTCTGACGCATCACACGGGGGAGACGACAGATTCCCCTGGAGGATTCGACGCTCGCTTCCAAATTGCTTGCAAAAACCGTCCTCCGTCTTGGGGGTGGTAACTGAGCCGGAGTCTCGCTGAACACACTCTCTCGGTCTCTCGGGGGCTTGCACCGGGGCTTTGGGCCTTGCTCGGAGGTGATGCCGTCACGATGACGTCAGCGTGGGGGTCGCATCTCGGGCCGTGGTGCTGACGTCGGCGTCCGGGGCAGTGACGTCGCGTACCAGCCCCGGAGCTTCTGCCTTCAAAGCGGGAGGAATTTCGACCGGAACCGGAACGGAGTGACCGACCGGAAGGGGCAGAAGAGCATCTTTAGCCGTCCCGCTTTTCTGCATCCTCAACGACTGTTCTGGGGCCTGCCCCTCTGATGTGTTCATTCCGAATGCGAGGTTTTCGCTCAAAGCACCCTTCTTCGCCTTTCCTTTGTTTGGGCCGTTCTCCTTCCCGGAACCGTCCTCACTAGTTCTATTCGCAAACCCCTGAGCTTTTGGAGCGGCAGCGTGACACGTGGCGCGACAGGACTGGCCGCGGCTCGCCGCCCGAAGAACGCGGCTGCGTTGGGAAGTCTCTCCTCGGGTGAACCTTTTCTTGCGTGCGGACCTTTTCATCCTCGGACCCCTCGTTGCTGTCTTGGTCCCGCTTTGGGGGGTCTCCAGATCACAGCGCTTCGGGGCTGCTCCGTTTTGGTCTGGTTCTACTGTCAAGAAGGCTTGGGGAGCGCTTGAATCGACCGGAACGGGGCTCCGCTCATCAAAGGCAGAACGGGCGGTGGAGACTCCAGCGAGCAGTCCTCCCACAGAGCGGAACGGAGTCCATTGGATGCTGGCACCTTGTTTGGCGTGACGCTTGCCCGGAGGAAAAACGCCGCAGCGCCCCAGAAAGTCGCTTCCGGCGACCGCTCGGCCCCGTCTGCCCCCAACTTGTAGCCACGCCTAGCAGGCGACCCGACCATCTCTTCCACAGGGAGGAGGTCGCCTCCGTTGACTGCGCCCCAACCGCCGCCGCCCTTCTAACAGAGGTTTCCGCGGTGTCTTGGCTTGGGTTCTCGTTCGCTTCCGCGTCTGGAATGCCCAGCCCCCTCACTTTCTGTGGAGACACCGTTGCCTGGTCTCTGTGCCCGGTTGGTCCTACCGGGCTGTTTGGCAGGCAGGAAATCAGACCTCTGGGGGGTGTAGAAACCGGCCGGAACGATGCCCTCAGGAAGAGAGCGGCGGCGCCGACAGAGGGCCCTACGGGAGACCCAGGCTCCCTCTAGCTGTCGACAGACCTTTCAGGCGGGTCATAATTAATCCTATATTCGCTGACGTCATCACGCCGTCGGCCTCCACTTCCTGCGCTGCTCTTGCTGACGTTACGATGCTTACAGCCTTCACTTCCTGCGCTGCCGTTGTCTCCTCGGACCCAGGGACGATTGGCGCTTCGGGTGCTTCGGCCTGAGCAGCGGCGGGCGGGGTTTGGGGGTTTAGCGCGGCTGCGGCCGCCTCAAACCCAGCCGCGGCTGCAGGGGTAAGGGGTTTGGCACTCCGGCTTCCTTGTCGTCTTCCGCCCGTTCCGTTCCGTTCACTTCCTCCACCTGGTCCTCAGCCGCGTTGTTCTTCTCGACCGCTGAATCTGCTCTTAGGTCTAGGGAGTCAGACACTTTCTCGGTGTAATTCGCTACATTACCCACTTGCTCATCCCTTACACTCTGCTGAGACCTTCGCTCCGTTTCCATCGAATGTTCAAAAGCATCGGCCGAGTCTCCTCGGTTCGCTTCTTGTTTCTCGATCCCAAACCCTTCGCCAGAAAGGCCTTCCCGGCCGATAGTCACAGCCGCGTTCGCGGCGACCGTGCCGTCCATGCGCAGCCTGCGCGCAGCCCTTGGCACGTGTCCCTGGTCGCCCAAAACGCGCGAGCGCGCCTCCATCTCCTCCAGCCGTTCCGCTGACCCCACCGGACTCCGCCCGTACAGTCTTCACTAGGCGGTCGACGGTCTTCACTAGGCGGGGGTTTGGCGGCGGGCTCTTCCAGCGTGGAGCAGGGCTGTTTGGGGCGTTCCAGGGAGGTCTCTTTGGTAGGGGCTGTCTGGGGCGCTCCAAGTGGAGATACCGTATCATTTGGACCCGGTTATATCAAACCGGGGCATGACTTGCAGCGTTGGCGCCCCCCGGTTGGCTCTCCCCGGTCGCCAGCGGGTCCAAGAGCCGCGCTTCGCCAGCCCCGGTTGACGATCTCCGACCTCCTGACGGCAGCTCTCAGTGGCGGTGGAAGAGACGCGTACGTCTGGATTGTGGAAAGGCTGAACACGTTCTCGGAACGTTGATTTCTGCGGCCGCCGTCGCTTGTGGCACGCTTGTGGCGCATCGAGACGTTGGACTCGTGCTCAGTAAACAGGGATGCTCGGGAGGCTTGATTGGCCCTGAATTGCTGTCTCAGTGAAAGTTCGGCTGCTCATCAAGCTGGGTAAGCAAACTTGAGCGCATAAGCTTGCTTCTCCGACCCATAACTGGCCCGTAACCAGGTTAAAAGTCTGGGTACTGCACAAAGCTCCTCATTGGACGTACAATCAGCCGCTTCTAACCAGCCCGAAAGATCGTGATAAACCGCTCAAAACCCTGTTTGTTCAACTCAGACCTTAAATGCTATCTAGGTCACAGCTTAGAGCAAGATAACACTGCATTCCACACACTCCAGACTTGATCGATACTGGGCCCGCAATCAAACTGCTTCAGATCCTGTCAAGATCAATGTTATTCAAGCAACGTGCCGTCAAAGAGTGAACAGGCGCGTCGGTAGGCCGCACAACGTCCCATGTGACGTATGCAAACCGTCAAAACCAGGCACGGCCCAGAACTGACTAAACCAATGGCTGCGACGCACTATGTGGTGCTCGTGAAGCGTATGCTTAGATTCTGCACTAATTGATCGGCCCTTTACTGTCATGCGCGCATTCGCGCATGTAAAATTGATCATGGCCGGTGCTTCAAAATCAAAGTTGACCGGGTGTTCAGTAATCTAGCAAGAGTAAATAACGTCAGCTTGTTGAACTTAGATTCAAACAAGTCTTTGCCGTGAAGCTTGAATGAGCAACGTTCAGCAGACGTTGAAACGATTTGGTCCCGCATGAGAGTACATTGAATAACTCGTCCGTACATTACCCAGTCGTCGAAAGTTCAGCTTGCCTCGCCCAAACATTCTTCGTAGCCAAATGACATGCTTGTACATTTAAGGAGACAATTGATTCTGAGCTAGTCAGTATGGCCGGTCAGCGTAGAAGAGTCGAAGTTGGATGGGTTACCATGGAAGACCACATGCTGCAATGCCACTTGTGACTCAAATTAAGAGGGGGCTGTGAGGACGCCAATGCTAATTTTCAACTCAAGCTCAATGCAAGCCAGTTGGAGTCTGGCGTGAATGGTGGCATATGCATGCATTCAGTTTGATACGTTGGGAGAAAAATGTAACAGGACTCTTCTTAAGGACTCGTGATTGGCTTACGGTTCAAGTAACTAAATGCAGGATTCGTCTATTTCACCTGTTCATAGTTCAGAGCAATGTACCCGGCTTTCCGCTTTCCGTTGGTCTTTCTCAACTCGTCAATTAGTCGGTTCCAATTCGATCCCAACACACCTACAAAGAAATCAGCATCCGCGGCCAAAAATAGATTGACAAACGCCAAGTCCGACCCCGCTCTGGCCGGCGTGTGCGTCTTCCAAGGATCCTTTTCATTAGAATGGATCCGCTCTGCCTTTGTATAGTACAAACTCCAGTGAGGCGTATACTTGCTTACAGCCTGATCTAGTATATCTTGAGACTCGGTACTCAACCAGATCGACCGCACCGCTGGATTATGCTGCCGAATCCTCTCCGCTTGCGCCATAAAGTCAGGCAAGTCCACAATCCGCATCTCGACACTCTTCTCATAAGCGTGCCGCACATGCACGCTTATGAAAGGCCGCGGCATAAACACGTCATCCTTCCACAACTCCTGCTCCAATGCTCCAGAACGCCGGGGATCCCCAGCTTCTTCCGGCGCATGCTCGCCCTGAAAACGTATGCTCTCCGCCAGCCCTGCCGCGACCTCCACCCCAAAGGCATCGTGCCTCGCGCCGTTCATCAGTCTGCACAGGTACGCGCTCGGAGCCCTGAGCAGATACCGCGTCGCCTGGGCCCTCCACCAATTCATGGGGCCATATATCTGTGCCCCGTAGTTGAATGGGCCAACTGTTTCGTCCACTATCTTCCCCTCAAACTCAATCGAGCCCCGTTCCAGCTTCCAGGGCTCCCCCCACAAGTCTGGCACTATGTCCATAAGCGTGTGATCCATCAATGCATATTCGGGGAGTAAAACCACCCGCTCTTCCAGACCCTGCGCCGCTGCCATGAGATCCGCAGTAGATCCTGGCCTGTGCCGCTTTCCCGCGAGCGCGATCGCCGCGCACTCCTTCGATGTCGCCGGCAGGACGTAGCAGTCCAGCGTCCCGTTGCTTTCACCCGCACACCCCTCGTGCATTGCGCGCTCGAAGCTGTTGTCGACCACAAACACCCGGCCCGTCATGACCGCCAGCGCAAACCCCCCGGTTATCACATGTAACTGGGACCCTAACCCATGGGTCGATGTGTCTACCCATTGCGCCACCAGAAAGCGGACGTCCGACGCGTTGCAGTCTTGCGGATGCTGCCGCAGCCACAGGTCTTGCTGAACGTGCCTGGTTAGGGGAATGTTGTCCACGTCAGCGCCCCTAACCCAAAACGGGTCAGGAACCGGGTGTCCCGCAAACCCTTTCTGGTCTGCCCAGTCAGGAAGGCCCCCGTCAGGTAGCCTGCTGTCTTGGCTTAGCTCCTCTTGAGACACACGGTCGCAGTCTACCAAATGCGGGGGCAACGGTGGCCCCTTCTCCGCCGTCTGCGCTTCGCTTCCCGTGCCAACCTTGCCGTCAAAGAAGCGCGAGCTGTTCCACGCTTGGAGGAGCGCCTTCACAGCAGGACAGGCGTCTAACTGCTCCGCTGTCCACTCTTTTCCCGACCAGGTGCAACTGAAGGGAACCGCTGGAGCGGTCACATTTGGAACAGGGGGGCAGGGTTTGCAGGGCTTCTCTCCCATCAACTCTGCCCCCCCAAGGGCTGGAGCCGCCATCACATTTGCAACAGGGGGGCAGGGCTTGCTGTGCTCCTCCCTCATGATATGTACCCCCACTAGAGCAGGAAAGGAGGTGACCAGCAGAAAGTGGTCGCTGGCTTTGTCGCCCCAGAAGATAGCCGCAGGGACCAGAAGGAAGAAGCTGACGCTGAAGGAGAAGAGGACCCAGAAGCGGGAGCAAGGGGACGCCATGGCAAGCTGGAAAGGGTCGGCCCAGATTGGTATGTAGGTCTAACAGAGCCTCAGATCAGGCAGGACTTACTTGAGCAGCATTTCTGATCTGCTGGCAACGCGTTCCGCTTCGCAGCCAGCAGGCGAGACCCGGGTAGGAAGTCAGATTCAAAGAGATCTGGGTGTGGTTAGCGCCCTGAAGTTGAGGGCAACTTTGCTGAGGCAGGACCGCCAGACGTCTTGTCATGTGGTCATACCAGCCTTGCCAAGTCAGAGCATTGCATGCATGTGGTGCCGTGCTCCCAACGTTGGACATCAACTTTCAATCATGCAAACGCACCTGCATTGGCAATGCTGCCAAATCTCCCAGATGCATCATGCTCAGCTCAAGCCCAAGGCTTGAGTAGTACCGGTAGGACCTACTACTCGGAGTCGGTACTCGGAGTTCGACGGAGTACCTACCTCCTCCTATTAGTAAAGGCTTGCTCTTTTCAAGCACGAACGTCGAAGCACTCCACGGCCGATCGTCTGGTACGATGATGTCGCCCCAACCGGCGCAGTCTTCAGGCTTTATGCAAGCCAGGGGAGTCGATAGGGGCACCTATCGGCCCCCCCCAACTCGCAGAAAGCCGAAGATTCAGGCATATCCCCGACTTGAATATGTCATATGCCAACTCGATTTTCCGGCGATATGCCCTATGCTAGCCGGGTTTTAACCCTTTGTCGGCGGGGAACTTCCGGTCATTTTTACCGTACGCGAATTTTATCGATATTCGCAAAAATCGAATTGACCGTGCGATTGATCGACCGGACGGCGTCGATGACTATACTGACGGAACGGCACGCCGGTAGCAGCTACGATCGCCGTCGAAACTCGAGAGTTTTTCGCGTAGGGGCAATCGGAGCCACCGGCCGCCATTGTACGGCATAAATGGACGGTGCCGAGCATGGTCAGTATTGGCAATTACAAAACGGTATAAGCGCGAACTTCGGGAACTTGACGAAACTTGTATAAGTGACTAGGTCCTATTATTACAGTATAGCTTATATGGAAAATATCAGGCGGCTGCAGCTGCGGTACTAAGATTCGCATGCACACCGGTGGTACCGAAATTATCAAAGTGATCGAGATTCCGGAGTCAGGAATTGACCTAAGGTACATGCTTCTCAAATCATGTTGACTAAGCCCATTTTGACCAAGGATAGTGCTCGGGGTACGAACAAACCTCAAAAACTAAACCGATAGGTGACACTCGCTTCGCGCACCCGTTCCCACTCTAACCAGTGTGCTAACCCTACCCGTCCCCCGGGTGCTTTTCCTTAGTCAACATGGCCTTAGTCAACATGAAATCGAGACCTACCCTAGGTACAACGTACTAGGTAGTTGGTAGTCTATTTAAAATAATACTGGCGTTACTGTCGTATACCGGGTGGATCCCGGCAAGTGATGCGGGCAGACGGTCATCACATTTCGATCATGATTGCCGACGCGCGACGCCGGCCGCGGGCTCGCGGCCGGGCGTTCCGTTCTTTCAGAACTTCACATCTAGATTCTAGTAGCTGGGACTTGCACAAGCTAGTTGCAGGCGCTTGCTTGCCCCAACAAACTGTCCACTTCGTGTCACTGTTGATACAGGAGTCCGTAGGGGGGGCAGAGGCTAGCTTCTCTTTTAACGCGGGGGCTTTGCGGCAAATATGGCGCTCTCGCAAGTCAGCGCCGGCATGTGCAACCCTTTGCTGCACTTTCCGGCCCTGACGACCTCTCCATTTGTTGGGCCAACGTTTGTTTTGTATGCATCACATTGCTCACCCGCAAGCAGCACTTGCAGAGCAATTACCAGGAGTCGCCCTCAACGGGTTTACTCATCAGTGGCCTTTGGGTTGACACCAGCGCCCTTGCTAGAATCCTCTCTCTGTGGTGGTACTTTCAATTCCAGGCGTCGTTCTTCTCAGCGTCGTTTGCGCACCCGATTATACGTTCACAATTCCAAAAGTGCAGCGGTCAGTGCCGAAAAAGTTGGTGAGAGGCAATGCAGCGCAATCAGAGTGGAACAGGTCGTTGACGCGAGTGAGCATGATGACGTCAGCAAGGGGCGGAGGATGGGACGGAGAAATGTATTGGAATTGGCGGCGCTGACGATTTTGGTGGGCAACGCAGCGATCGGTGCGTCGCCGGCGCACGCATACAAGCCTCCGCCAGAAGGTGAGGTCCGACAGGATTAATTGGAGACGTAGAGGGAGGGAAGACGGGAAGTTAGCCATGACATTCACGTTTCATTGTTTGCATTCTTGCTGGCGGACAAAGAGTTGGGCGTTGAAGGAAGGCTTGCTCAAGCAGCTTTCAGCAAGAGGGTACTCGGTGAGCGATGCAGCGAACGCATATTACTTTAGGTCCGATACTCTGGAGTTTTTCCAACCGCGAGCCCTGCAAGCTGACCGCCAAGCTGCACCACCCCTGATTGCCGTGGCGCAACTCTTATGGCAGTCATTTCCATCATGAGGGTTCTGACCACATTCGGGCTTTGCCGAGGGATGAACAATCCATGTCCGAGGTTCTCTCTGAACGCTGGGATTGCTGTTTAGACAGCCCGTTGAGTGTAGAAAGTTGTGGGGAGTGATACTGCAGTTACGCCCCAGAGTGGATCAAAATTGTCTGGAGATGAGCTTCCGGCAGTCACGTTCTCCTGCTTGCTTTCTGCAACAGCAATGCTTTTATAGACTCTGATGACGAGCGTACTCTGTTCAAGGATTTCAGTTGCTAGAGAGCAGCCTTAGAGACCTGGACTATTGAATCTATGCTGTCACCCTCAGAAAGCACAGTGGCAGAGGAAACGAAAGTCGGCAGTTTTTGCATACCACTTGATCCCTCCTGAATGCTGAGGTCGCATGACAAAGCAGGCACTATTCTTCCATTATCTTGGTGTCTTCATGTTCGAAACTGCCTGAAAGCAGGCTGCTTATCTACGGCCACTCCCGTTGAGAAGCCTGGATCCTGCCGGAGTAGTGAGCTCCTTGAGAGCGGTGTTGAGGCACTTCTTGCAGTGTCTCACAGTTACAACCGCAATTTGGGGCAACGCCTTCTCTGATACTTTGCTGCGGCAATCGTGAAGCGTTTGGGGCTCCGCTCATTGTCGCTTGAAATCCGGTTAATTTCTTGACTTATTATCTGCTTCAAATCCTGTTAATCTTTGACTGCATAAGGACTCGCATGGAGTGCCTAGCAAGCAGTCGACCAATCCCACTCGTTTTGACGGATAACGATTCTTGTTTCGTACTAACCGGTTCATGTCGTGGGGTTCGGGAAATGATTTCCCTGTGCCTAAGCATTGTCATGGGATCGTTTGATCCGGTTCCGTTGATGCACGAAACTCCTGGGAGATTCCAGTTGCTTTATCCCCTAACACCCTATCGAGCCCAGTGCGTCTTTGGATCTCAGACTGTCAAAGCCAGCATCGTCACGCTAGTAAGGCCAAGTCCTGAGGGCGGCTTGTAGTTGCCAAGAATGAATCATCCGAATAGATCGAACTCTTTTGATCCCGTTCAATCGTCAGGTGCAAATTGCAAGGTGCACTTAGCCACAGTTGTATGAACATTGTCGTTGCTCCCAATGTTCAGGTTTCCGCCGGTACACCGACCGCCTCGACGGGTTCACCCTCCTCGTTCCCGACTACTGGGTCCAGGTCCGGGGGAGCGGCGCTGAGGTGCAGTTCCGCAGCCCCCAGAACGGCGATGAGAATCTTTTCGTTGCGGTTAGCTCGCCGAGTTCTTCAAAATACACCGGGGTTAAGGATTTGGGTTCGCCAGAGGAGAGTGGGAAGTTCATCAAGAAGCAGTACGTGGCGGAATACATGTCGACGCGGATAGGCGTGCGGCGGACGGCGGAGGTCGTGAGCGCGAGCAGTAGAGAAGTGGAGGTGAGGCACCAAAAGCTTCTGATCGTCTTCTGCTTCATTTTCCTTTCCCTTTGTGCCGCTTTGATCGCATGCTACTTTTGCGGTGGCGATTGTTGTGGTTTCTGCTTTCTTTGCGATTCGCTTTTATTCTGTTCTCTGTTTCTGCCACCCTTCTCTCAACTTTCGTTGGGTGCTTATACACCGCCTGCTTTACGCCTCGTAGCAGTTACAACAGACCATCTCTTCACCTGTTTATTTTTGTCGTTCACCCCGAGGCTCGTTCTTTCGTGCGTCCACCTTGGAAAGGTGGGACGTGTTTTGTCGTCTCCTTCTTTCGGCATCCCCTCTTGAAACTTTGCACAAAAGCCGCGTCGACTGGAAACTTTTGGTGGACACGAATGGCATCTGGAATGCAATATATGACTCTTGGGCTTACCTATTCCTGTTCCAACTCTTCCAGCCCTCCCTTCTTATGTGTACATCGTCATGACGATCCATGGCACAACACGCACTAAAGCTTGCTCTATTTAAAGATATTTCCTTGCCTCTTTTTGCAGGAGGGGAAGCCGTACTACCAGATTGAGATGAGCGTCAAGTCAGAGGCGAACTCGAACCAACTGGCGGTCACCCCCGAAGAGAGGGTGCCCTTCGTCGAGTGGGAGAGGAGATACATCACGGTTCAGGCGGTCGAAAATAAGCGACTATACGAGTTGCGGGTGCAAATACCGGCTGATATCTATGGGCGAGAGCGGGCCCTCTTGCAGACGGTGCTAGATTCATTCAGGACGTTCCCTGTTGAAAGCTTTGAAGGAGGCAAGCCTGTTTGATAGATTGAGAGCATGCGGCCCTTTCCAATCATCTTATTTGACAACCTGTGTCCAATTGCCAAGTTGAGTGTCATGCTGATTGCCTTCAGAACGGCTCCTCTTCTGCATGCGGCCGCATCAGTTGACAGCGCTTCCAAGTCTACTGGCCACGATGACAAGGCCTGGTGGATGGATGCATGCATGACCAGAGCTGCTACGAGGAACCATCTGCATGGCGCATCAGCCTGCATATGCATGACATATACTGTGCAAGAGTACGTACTTAACAGTGCGTGAACTCGGAGGCTAGGTTTAATTCAATCAAGCGCCTGGCCTGAGAACGAAGTTGAACATGATGCATGCTTGCTGCACATGTGAGCTTACACGCGCGCTCGTACGTAACGGCGGCCCCGGGTTCAACCATATTGAGGATCGTGTACCGTCCATGGCCACTGATCGAAGAGCTAGAAATATGGCGATGGCTACATATAAGTATATATCTTACAGATGAGTATATTGTAGAAGATATCCGTCGGACCGTCGATTAAATGCTCATGCAAGGATGTCGACTTCATAAATGCCTGATCTCTATATGCATACTAATATAAGATTCAATCTGCGTGCAGACCAGCTGGATCATCAATTGAATGCTGATCGACGGTTGTCGCACCTCATCATTGAATGCTTACGACAGGCTGCCAGTACTAATGCATTCAGACGCACTACAGATGCCAAGCTGCTATACGTGATCGCAAAGCTCTAAAGGACTGGCCATGATAAAACCATGCATGTGCGATCGAATGCTGTTTTGGTTGGTCGATTGTTGGCCGAGTGCAATTCCTAAGTCACTGCTGGCCGCGGATCACGTTTCATACTGTTACCGAGTCTTTACTGTACGTTTGACGTGAACTAGCTTTATCTTTGCGGCACCGAACAATCTTATTATCCAGAATCGACCGGGGCCCTCATTTGACAACACGCTATTGTAAGCGTTAACGAATGTGCATGTATTAAGTGCCATTGTCACCCTCAAGGCTCATGCCTGGACGCCTGGCTGCCCCCTTCATCTTCCGATTCCGCGCCCGCATCGGCTGCCGCGTCTGCGGGCACCCCTCGAAGTTCGCCAGTGTGTCGACTCCTCAGCTTTGCTTTCAGACTTTGCTGCCTAGCTTTCAGATCGCCCATCTCTCCCTCCCCGCCGATACTAACCCGATACCCGTTCGACGCTTCTGGATCGTACCCCCACTCGTCGTCAGCACTCATCTCATACCCGGTCGGCAGTTCCGGACCGCCCGCAACCCCGTCCGTGGTCCCAGTGGCTGGAGCACCGTCCGAATCTTGCCACGTCTCAGCATCTTGGAGGTCCACGTGGGCCTGCTTGTACATGGCGGCGAGCGTGCTGGATTGGTCCACGTAGAGGGCCTTGTGGTGCTGGAGCTGCTTCCGCAGTTGGGCGTGGACTGCGTACATGTACGGCTCCTCGGGATAACTGGTGAAAAGAAAAATGTAAGTTCCCGTTTAGAAAGGAAGCAAGCTTCCGCAGGTAGGGCTTTGATGTATTGCCGAGCTTCTGAGAGACTCCGACAATCTAAGAGTTGAGAGTTCGCGGATTGCGGGTAGCAGGACTCCCTAAGAATCAGGTGTCAGTTCTGTGACTCATGCAAGGACTCTGCGGACAAAAGGCCTAACAAATCGGGACCTTCTACGGGCACATGAAGGCAGCAACTGCATGAAGGCTTCCGAGCGGTCTGCAAGAGGTCAAGATAATGAGCACGCTGCACGAGGACCACTTTCTGTGCTGACAACAGAGGAGCCGCTTGAATCTAACACATCCGTTTCACGCGTTGCAAGCGACAGAAGGCCCAGATCCTTGCACGCCGCTCGCTCAGGAGCGGCATGAGGTTACTAAACGACAACAAAAATATGGTCCTGCGGCGCCACGTGGCAGCCCACCTGCTCGCCACGTTGACCAGGTACGCCAGCGTGGCCTTATTCACGACGACGCCCACGTCCTGGATGTCGCCAATCACCTCCACGGCACGTGCGACCTGGTAAGAGGCAAGTATGTTCGTTACCATACGACTTCGCTGCATCTTTCACCTTGTATAACTTCTTCTGGTAAATGACTTCGTCAGGAAACCTCCGAGTGGAATCGCTTATGTGGGTTGAAGCACAAAGACGCAGCTGATCGACGGTGACATTCTGAACGTCAGCGGAGTCAGATTGCGGGCGATTAAGATGTTGGTGTGCGGAAATCATACGCAAGGAATTTGTGCTGGTCACGCTTCTCGCGTCCGATAGCTTGGTCCCCCAAATCAAAGGCAAGAAGTCCTCTGCAAATCGATCAGAGGCACTTCCACGCATTTTCCTGATCAAAGCACATTTAGAGACACAGAACAGGGCCAGGCAAGGACAAAGGGAGAGATGCAACGAACAGAAAGCGGACCCAACTCACCAGCCCCGCCCCGCAGCAGCCCTCGATGAGCGCCTCGTACCCGAGTGCCGGGATCTTGGCCAGCGGATTCCGGTAGTTGGTCACCCACCGGAATCCGCCCGTCTGCTTCAGGCGCGCGAGCTCCGCCACGGCCTTGGCCTTCACCTGGTCGTACAACTCGAGCGCCATGGAGAGGCGCCCGGTTCGGGCACAACCGGCCACCAAATGCCCCAGAGAAGCGACCGGTAGACGCACCCCGTGGTCCTCCATGTACTCGACGACGCGCACTGCCCGTCCGACCTGGCGGGATAGGCATTTGGTGAGGAGGCGAACGGTGTTCCGAAAACCGACTTCTAAGCAAGGGACAATCGGTATCAGATTCTCAGATTTGGAATTGAGGGTCTGAAAATGGATAACGTAATAAGAGTTTCAGGGTCTGAGAATTGTTGGAAGATGGCGGAATGAGACCTGGAAAGGGTGCATATTTGTAGAGATGCGATGCAGAAGTTCCCGCATAAGCTTCGACTCCTTTAGCCGGTTCCCTTCGCCTTTTACAACGAGGCCGGTTGCGGGCTGAGCCCAATCTGAGAGCGTCAAGCGACCACTGTATAGCAGATGGCAACGCATCGTGAGACTGGACAGCAGAAGGAAAAGAAAAGCACCCACCTGTCCCGCAATGCACAGCGCCGAGACGAGCTTCCCGTACGGCTTCTGATCCGAGTTCCATTCTCGCGACACCAGCTCCTTATGGAACTGGTAAGCGGGTTCTACTTGGCCGTCCCGCGCGAGACCTTCGATGAGAATGAGCAGCGAGCGGCGGTTCGGCTCGACGCCCATGCTGCGGCAGAGGGACAGCACGCGCACGGCGCGGTCCACGTTGCGGGTGCCGTCGGAGGAGCAGAGCGCGAGCATCAGGCTGTAAAGGAAACAGGAAGCGCAAGAGAAAGTCAGTCGTTTGCTTACATCTCGCGAGCATGAGGCTGCGGGGCGGTAATGGAGGGCCAAGTATTTTCATTCCTTCCTCATACGAGTACGCGTTTTTTGGATGTCGTCAAAAGCCTTCTATAACGAAACGAGTGCTTTTTCCAGTCGAGAAGAGAAAGGAAGAGAGGGCAGTAAGTTGGTCAAGAAACGGTACACCGCACAAAGCAGACTGGAGGTTGACTCAATGGCGACAGTGCATTTGAAACATCTCGGAAGCCCGCCCAACGGCATTTCGCAAGCATGCAGTAAATCGAGAATGGCAACGACATCAGGAACTCTGAGCGCACCTGTTAAAGGACCCGACAGTGACCGCGTTGTGCTTCCGGACGGTCTCCTTGAAGACGTCGAGCGCTTCCTCGATCTTCCCTGCTCGGCTGCATACCTGCACCAGGCACCCTGAACATTTCAATATTGGACAAGGCCGATGATTTATGATATAGTCGCTGTTTTGAAGCCTTGGAGGTGACGACAGGGGTGAAACATATCATTCATAGACTAGAACGGTCAACCGTAAGGCATTGCGTCTGCTTTGCGCTTGCACGACTCAAAAGCAGGCTGTACGCTTAGTGATAAAAGATATGCACTCCAGGTGCGATTAACGCCGAATCTCCACGGAGCCTTCGTGGGGCCCGTGCAAGAGATTTTCCACTGAAAGCCCCTCCAATAGTTGTGCCCGTCTTCTTATCAACGTGTACCTTTTCAATTTCGGGAAGTTTTCCTCGCTGTTGACGTGAATGACCCACTTTGACCTGCCCATGTTTGCCGACATCCCTTCTTTTTCTTTCGAGATGTCCTGGTCCAGCGCTTGCAAGTCCTTTATGCCCTCAGACCTTCTGAGCGGAGATGCCCAGTTGTGACTTTCTCAAGGAATCAAGGCAAAATACATTGCACGGCCTCTTTATCCTGCCTGCTGACAAGCCAATCTAGTCGCCAACGCCGATGGGCGCAGGGCCAGTGATCTTTGTCCCACGTCTTACGCCGATAGGCGTACTTTCATAAGCAGGTCGTAGCAGGTGTTTGTGGGCTCAATCCCGTTTTTCCAAAGTATCTTCTTATCCACCTCGCCAATAGAAGTTTCAGGGCCAGCGACCTTATCCCACGGTTTCGCAGAGAAACGTACCTTGATAAGGAGATCATAGCAGGTGTCATTGGGCTCGATTCCGTTCTCCCACATGTACCGCCACAGCTTGAACGCCTGCTCCGAGTCTGCCCGCACAGCGCACGCGCCCAGAAGCGCGGCAAACGAGTCGGCCGTCGGCAAGATGCGGTCATTCTGAGGGGAAAAAGAAACAGTCAGAAAGTCTGTTACTGTGGAGTTGCCAGGAATATTGGAGGTAGTGAAAAAGGTGATTCCGTACAAAGAAAGCAGACTGGTAGCGAGTAGAGGAAAACTGGCCTTCAGGAAGTTGCGAGTCTGTCTCGGCAAACTGTCAACGGGGTCGCAATGTTTGAAAGGGTTTGACACATGCCCCACCAAAATAGAAAATGGAGAGTGCGTTCTCTACATCGTGTCAGCGCCTCTTCACAGCATGCCGATTCCAAAACAGAACCTGACACAGGCCCAACAACCCGAAAGAAAAACCAAAGAAAGAAGATTTGATGAGGCAAGGAACTCGTAACCAAAGCCGAGGAGAGTAAGACAGCAGAGACAAATTCAAAATGCGAAACCGCAACATTTATCAATACTTCCATCCGCCTGCCATCACCAGAAAATACAATCTGCGGACCAGCCGCCTACAGCAAAGTGGGTTGCAAGGAGTTTCGGAAAAACAAGAACACCAGATCTTACCATCATCTGCCGGAAAATCCCAAACGCCTGCTCCGGCACCCCCGACTGGCTGCACGCCTCCATGAGCCTCGTATAGATGTTCCGGGTCGGAGCCAAGCCCCGGTTCTTCATCTCGGCTAGCAAGCTCAGCGCGCGATCCAGTTTGCCCACCCGCCCGCAGACGTCGATCAGCGGCATGAAGGTGCGCTGGTTTGGGACGAGGCCCTGCTGTTGGAGCTGTTTGTAGACTAGAAAGGCGCGGG